TCACCCAACCTCAAAAAGCACACCGATCGATCCCAGCCTTGCCAATCAAAAACCGACTCTTCCTCCCTAAAGAACCCAGTAACCGCCCGTAACCAGCACAAACGATCAAAGTTAATGACGCACTGTCTCTGCACATGAAGAGTCCATCGCAACGGTGGAGCGGCAGGTTTCCCGGCAGACACGGCTTGTGATCTCGATGGCTCTGGTTGAAACACAGGTCGAAGGATGTTGAGAACGAGCTACCACCCCGGCACTCTTCCTCCTTCGCCCGAAGCTGCGACGAAGTTGAGTGGACGAACCCTCGAAGGCTTCTGCTCCGGCACTTCCGACGTAGACCCCGGACGTGGCTGTTCCCAGGATTGGGCCAGAGACTTTTAGAGTTGCCGACCCAGGACTGGACTGGACATAATCAGTGCCTCCCAGGGATAGTGCAGGGACTCCATCCCAATGGATCTGGTCTCTCCGGGTGGTCGTCTGGTCTGGAGCACTCTTGCAGGACGGTCTTTCCGACGGAGTATTGAGAGTTGGGCGATCTTGCTCGACGCCGTCCAAGACGCTCGACGTTCCGCTTTGGTGAAAGACGGGATGACCTCGGACGACGGTGCTCAAGGCATCTGGCATGGTGATCGTTTGTTGAGGTGTTCGTGTCATCCCTACGTTGATGATGTCCCTTGAAGATAAGTGACGGTTACTTCATTAGAAGCTGCCGCTATTTCCTTGCAATGGCCCTTGACCTCAATTAACATCTACTTGATTTTGAAGTCTGGATGTTGATGAAGCGAGACTGGGCACACTCTGTGAAGACAATGCTTGTGGAGACGTTAGAATGTAGAGGCTCTAGACATTCCAGTGGATACGGTTCATCTTGGGTCTTGTCGCGTCGTCGTTGGAATGGACAGCTGCTGTCTTCTTGTAACCGATTTCGTCAAGGAGACTCGTAAAATAGATTCTTTTCAAAAACTCGGCTGCTTTGTCTGACTTTGCTCTCGGGGACAAGATAGAATGCAGGGGATACAGAAATGTGCCCAGACAAGAAGACCTACATGCAGGGTTTAGGGTAAGCTCCGTGGGTGCCCTTCAGTTGACAACTGGAGAGAACTATTTAACTGACTGGTAAGTGACGACAATCTGAAGGTTCAAGATTCGCCACACGGGCAATGGGGGAGGGACTAAACTTGGTGTGGACGGGAATCATCAGAGAGCAGCAGGGCAATCTTCTTGAAGACTTCGATGACTGGAACATTCTCAAGATGAATGACTGCCCATGTTGTGACAGCAACTTTGTGGTCGATGCTCCACTTCAACCGAGGTCATTCGGCACTTTGACGGTCAGTGTAAGAAATGGCCATCTAATCTGCGAGGTTGCGGATGCTTCTAAGATGTGTCAGCGTCAGCAAGCTGCATACGAAATCTTGGAAATGACTTGAATCTTCAATAGTGGTTCTCGAGACGATGTGACAAGGAACCCAAAGGTTCTTTTCCGTGATGCTTCGGCCTCTGAGCAGCAAGTCGAAGATGACTCGGTAGCACTCTGTCGTGAGGCTCCTTCGAGCTTCATCAGTCGTCAATGTCTGTGAGTGGGTGAAAAAGGTCTTTCCGGGGACGCCTTGTGGACACCTTGTGAACTTCTGGTGGCACCAGACACCTCTTGGAGATCAGAAGCATTTCGAAGACCTCTTGCAGCTCGAGTAAGTTGTCAGCACGACATCCCTTTGACTCTTGAATCTTTTTCTCCGCCGAAGACGTTGGCAGGAAGATAGGCAGGTAGACGGGCCAGTTGAAAGGTGAGATGCTCCTCAATCATAGTCGTTAGTCGGCCCTGGAGGTGGGGGCGTTCACGGTGGCTTGGGACGGAACACGGACACGTGGCTCGAAGAACCGTAGACCGTGTGAAGCTCCAACGTTGGCCGGATGGTCTTCGTCAGCACAGCAGGTGATGCCATGCGTGCACCGATTTCACGTCACCATCAACACGAAAGATGAAACAAATCTTATCCGTTCCCCCTTTTCTGCTCCCAGAAATGCATAAGAAAGAAAATTAACCAGAGTAAGCACGGGGCCCTGACTACACTTCTTCATGTAAAGCCCCCCTCACTGTTTGTGAAGGCAACTGATGCAGCTGTTCTCCCACAGAGCATATAATAGCAAATCGCGGCCACTAACGGCAGGGAACGAGCGAATGAAGGGGCACAGATAACGTTCGGACCCCAAAGCGGCAAGGCACCCCAAGATCCCAGACATGTAAGCCTGCACAACTTGCTACTTTGAGTCCACATGTCATGTTGAAAATTAGCCCAGGTAGGAAAAAGAAAATGAAAAGTGGAAGAAAGCAATAAAAAAGGGAGAAAAACAATGTCTCAATGTTGAGACATTGTCTGTCTCTTCCACTTTGAATCCTCTCTTCCATACCTCAGTATCCAGTTGATTTATATCAGGGTAAAGTTCTACCAGATTGGATGTTGTGTGCTTTCCCATTTGCTGGTCTCTTTCGGAAAATTGTGGTGACAGGCCCTTATGCAATCTTCATACGAAGGTGTTTAGCAAAAGCCCAATACCTCTGGATAGAATTATAGTAGCAGAAATATCATTAGACTCACAGTACCACAACATAATTTCTCCCGCTCCATCAATAGTCCCTTGCACAAACTTTGCACCGTCTGGCGGAAGCCTTCCAAAATAATGTGCAGGTGTTGTGGCGAATTGTGCCTAGCTCTAAAGCGGAGCACGCTCTTGACCTGACTTACTGACGATGTGCAACAATGACAATGTTGTCGTACATCGTCGGTAAATTATAACCGCACCTCTTTCCAGGTGCCCTTCTTTCCTTTCCCAAGATATGCAGTGGTGAGTGCAAGGAACAAGTGATTACCACACAACGCGATGCCCACGCAGACGTCCCCATTACGAAATTCACTAAGTTGCGTATACACGAAGTACAAGCTTTGAGAACTGTTAACGTAAACGGTGTAACGCGCAGTAACCGTCAGCTTTACCATAAAGAAACGTCGCAGTTTCCAGACATGACGGTACAAAGTAACTTTTGGGGCAGCGTAGTACGCTCATTATTTTTGTCCACCGTGAAGTGATCACTAATTTCAGCCAGACTTGTGTTCTACCGTCGGCGGCCACATCACTCGCACTCATCACCCCAACAGCTGTCGCGGTTGCCAGCAGCAATTTGGGAAAGGGTCTATCGTCATTCCCTGGCTGACGTTTTTTAGAGGCGCGCGGCATTAAGAATAGAGTTGATCCGATCCACAAGGTCTCTAACTGAACCCCACTAGTACGAAAACGTCGTACTAAAACGGATCTTAATTTAAAATAAATAAATAAAAGAACTGGAACACTTCTGCCTTACCAGTAATGAAGTACTGTTAATATTCATTGTGATGTGGACAAATTAGGAACCAAGGCACGCAGTACATCTCGGAGAAAGGAAAATCCATGCGGCCCCCAGGACTGCGACTACGTTTTAACGAAGCAGAGAAGGAAAAACCGAGCAGCCGCACTGATCCCACATATTTTCGGGGCTAGAAAGACCCACCGGGCTAAAACCTCAGCGCTGACTAGATGCCAACCTCGCGTAACTATACTCAACCTCAGAAATTGCGCAGAGGAGCGCAGAGGCTATGTCAGGCACGAACTACAACAAAATAAAGTTGGGATGTTCGCTCACTTCGACGGCAAATGAGAGCGAGAGAGCATTTGAATGCAGAATTTTATTCAAGCAGATGCTAACTCCGATTACGTAACCATGCAAGGTGCGCCACACCTCGCACGGTTACGTAATGAACCTTTTTCCAGTAAGCGTCTGCGCACGCGCACACCCTTTTCCCTTGACCTTGACCGCCCTTTCGCCATTCTTGGGGGGCACTGTTTTCTTGCGACACTAATCTGTTCCTATGGGAGAAGGCGAGTCCGGTTGCCCTCCATTTGTAGTTGGCGGCGAAACCGTCATGAGGCACTCCTTACTGGAAAGAGGTCCATTATTTATAAAAAGTAAAGAAAAAAGCTGCATTTTTTTTTTATTTTTAGAGAATCGGTTAGCTAGATGGAAGGGATAACCTACCTCAAAATGCAGTTGCCAATTTTCTTATTACTTAGAGACCCAGTCGAGGTGGGAATAACACGCAGTCACCTCTGTACACAACTAGTGAGAGGAGACGCAGCTCTGTTTGCCTTCCACGTCGACCGCAGTCTGCCCGTTTTCTCCGACCCTACTGGTGCTCTTTGGCGGTGGCGGCGGCGACAGGCAGACGGCTGCCGCAGAATCTAATTCGTGACAAACTTGGCAACGCAGGCACCGCCACGACGGCACGGGGTTGCCGGCCGACGAAGTCCCGAAGAGCTTCAGTGCTACGGCCCGGCCCTTGACAGCAGCCTAACAGGCCGGACCCAAACACCTGAGCTCGGAAAGCGGAAGAGAGTTGCAGCACTGCACCAGTACACATGGCCACACACACAGACACACGCTCGCGCACGCTACAACGGGTCACATAGCCCGGAACGCACCTCCGACCGGTGCATTCGCCGTCTTGTCCGAACCACGCGTGAAAAGCGGTTCCCAAGTGGTAACAAATTACGCCAACAGGAGCCAGGTCGCGACCCCGGCAAAATAGGCGATCGGGTGCGAGAGCCGCTGTCGTCGCGGCGTCCCCTCTCGCGTCTGCTCCAGTTTCCGTGGGACGGCTGGCTGGAGAGCGATCCACAGCAGGAGGGGCAGCCGCCGCGCCGCCATCTGCTACCGTGCCACAATCACGATTGCGGCAGGCAGGAGTGCTACGCTTCTACAATAACGTCGGGTGGAAATCGAGGAACCACATTTGGGTACGCGGCAAACCGATACCATCCAAAAGACGAGGCTCAAAGGGACGGTGCGGACCACAACTTCTGGGTGGCATCGGATAAATGCACCGGTCGGAGACGCGCTCCAGACACCGTGTCCAAACGTCGCTGCCGACCCCACCGTCGAGGATCACCAACCGTGCCGCCCGGCTCACCATGTCCTTGCTGTCCTCTGCCTGCACCACCTGCTGCTTCAACTTGCCCACCTCCCTCTCGTAGCTGGATGTGGGCACGTGGAGGTCGTACATCGAGAGCGACCAGAAGGTGACGTAGAACTGCGGGCTGCGAAGATGGAGACACAAGACGGCGGATACGATCCGCGGTTAGCCACGCGTGCGTCGGGCGGCCGGCGCGACGCCTCGGGTCACCTGAGGTCCTCCCACGTCTTGGACGGGTGCAGCGGCCGCACGCTCTCGACGACCCGCGACATCACCTGGTCCACCGCGTCGACGTAGCGCTGCAACTGCGAGGTGCGAGGCGCTGGGACCGCGGGACACGGCGGTCGAGAGAACTCACCTTCTGCGCGGCGGTTAGACTTTTGAACGTCTTGTCCCTCCTCTTGGCGTCGTCGAACTTGAGCTGAGGCAGAACGAGAGTCGGACAGCGCGACTGGTGAACCGTGTAAACCATGCTCGGCAAAACACGAGGAAGGAAAAACATATCTTGATTTTACGAATAAAGTTAGTACACGCACAACGTGTTTACGTGACCTTCTTTGGGGCTTGCGGCAGACTTTGCCGTTATTCTTGATCTATTTTAATTTGCTTCGATTATACGGCTGGAAATTGAGGGAGAGGAGACGAGAGCGCATAGAGACATCGAAGGACCGAGCTCCAATTGGAATTATTAGTGGGTAGCCGCGAAGCTAGCCGCCTTTCTTCCTACTCACCGTTTGAATGGCGAGTAGAGACAAGGGCGACGAGCTTTGCATCTGTCGCGACTCTTTGGAGCAGTGGCAGAGTGTCGGGCTCGTAATCACGACGTCGGCGGTTCGATTCCCATCTGGGCACGTTCAGAATTTTGTTCTCGCTTCTCAATTATTGTATCTTCCCAATTATGCACTCTTTTCTATGGATCGTCCTTCGAAGTATGTGCTACAGATTTCGTATCTGCTTTCGTGATGTTCCTTCACACTTTCCTCGGAGACACCGGCCTTAAAACACCTTCCGCATTAAAATACCGCCTCAATTGCAAATGACACTGCAAAAACCTGCGTGGCACGAAAGAATAAGAAAACTTCACCCGAAATTTCAGTCCAGCGCAGTTTTATTTCATAAAAATGTGCTGGACCGTGCAAACTCATTTCTGTACTTACTGAAAAGTCAATGAGGTTTTCTGACAAAGGTTTTACATCCCACAGAAATTACTCGGGCGATGCGACCGTTCGATTCTGCATGATCCCTCAAGGTCCCCGTTCACCAGTGCGGGTACTCACCGCGATGGAATGTCCGAACATGGGCCTGGCCAAAAAGAAGGCCACGTCGGCCTGCACGTGGAACCGCGAGAGCAGCTGGTCCACGGGCGGCAGGCGGCCGGCGTACTCTTCGGTGCTCAGGCTGCTCGACAGGAAGCTGCCAAACTGGACCAGGGTGTCCTGGCACTGCAACGACACCGCACGGCACTCAGCGTGGCCGGAAGGCCCACCACCCCTGGATGCCTCTATGCACCAGAGCCCATTTCAAGAGACAAGTTCCTGCAGACAAATCCAGGCATTGCCGTAAAACGCCTGGAATGAGTCTTCGACCGACGTGTTCAGCGTCCCACACTGCCCATTCTAGATGAGCTAGGCTTAGAGTACCGATTAGATACCGACAGAGTACCAATCAGAGCAGAGAGACTAGGTTTCCAGGCGCTTTCCAGCGAAGCGGCTACAGCTCCTACGAGTCTTGGGAGCGACTATGGTGTTTTCTATACCTCGTCCGAGACTCCAGCCAAAGCTACAAGCACAAGCAAGCCGGCGCTCCTGGATTTGAGACGTGCTATTCCAGTGCGAGCGCTCGTCCTCCAAAAGAACACTTCAAAGTCACGATCTCGCGCTTATGGCATTGGCTGCAGCCTTAACATGAACAGGGTACGGACAGCACGGTCAGGCTGCCGGCAGTTGGGCGGGCGTGCTGCGAGCCCTTACCTGGTCGTAGAGCTTTCCAACCAGCTTGAGGTGGGAGGCCTCCTGGTCCCGGTAGAGGATGCAGTTCTTCTGCTGGGCCATGAGCAGGCAGAGCGGCAGGGCCAGGTCCTGCTCCAGCAGGGCCTCCTTCAGCCGCTGGGACGACTTCTTGGTGTTGCGCAGCTGGTGGAAGTAGCCGCCCTGCAGGGAGGAGTGACTGAGAACGCTCACCGTTTGCATGTTCGGTTGAGCAAGCTTCAATGCAGAATGTGTTTTATCAGCCCAATTCTAGCATCACATTATTTTTTTGCAAACTTTCTTTGGTGAGAGTTAGACGAGTGATGTCTTCGACGTGTATTTATCGGGCTCGGCAGACATTAGATGAGGGGATAATCTTTGTAAGTTGATAAATAACTAAGATCTGTCAATTAATTTTTTAATTAATGGTTTTTTTAATTAATGGTTTTAGACGTCCTGTTACAATTGCAGTATTGATGGAAATTACTATTAGAGGCTAGACCAATTGAAATAATTCGCAAAAATGTTATAGTTTTTATGATACTAATAATTTTGCAAGTTTTTTAGCCCAATTTAGAAGTCACGCGCAAAAAGAGTGCCTCAAGTCCTGCCCATAATGATACTTGGAAGTAGTCGTTTCAATCATGACGTCACTATCTCTGCAGCATACCCTTGGCAGGTGCACCAACGACAGAAGAGACGACGTCACAACTATACGCCACTTTTCTTAACGTCATTGTGGACAAGGCTTGCAACACTCTTTTTGCGCACAATTTCTGAATCGGGCTCCAACACGCGAAAATTATAAATGAATATCTTAAAAACTATTACATCTTCGCAAAATATTTTAAATGGTCTGGCCTCTAACACCGCCATTAGTGCAATTCCAACATGACCCCTAAAACCAACAATTAAAAAGTTAATTAACGAATCTTAGTTAATTTGGCAAGTTACCGTGACGATCATCCCCTCAACTAAAGTCCGCCGAGCCTGATAAATATATGGTAAAGACGGCTCTTGTCTAACTCTCACCCTCTATAAAAAATTTAAAAAAAAAACATGTATGAATAAAATTTAAACACCCCCATAAAGTATACAAGCCCATGAGGACGTCACAATGTCACAAGACATTATGAGGTCAAGCGACATGTCACACACACACAGCCTCTGCCCAGCTTATCTGCAACCTATTTTGTGCTTCCCAGTCCTTGTCAGCAGAATCAAGCTTGTGTAAGTATTTTACATTGTATTACCACGTTTCCCGGCCTCTACACATTTACAAGCTGAAATTTTAGTGGGAGCTATACAAGGATTTGTTTCCTCAAGGTTGTTCATAAAGACGAGATGGATTTTGTGAATGCCAGTTTATTTATAGTGATGGTTCCTGTCCGACGCAAGCTTGTTTGTGCGCTAATAAAGCGGGAACTTTTCAAGGTGTGCCGTGTACGATAATGTTGCACCCAGACTTTGTACTAGTTGCAAACTAAGCATCGGGTGTGGACTATCCAAGGAAAATCTGCTTTTTCGGTTGAAAATTTGCCCTCCCAGACTACACAGCAGGTGTGGACTGGAGTCACTCAATGAGCTTTGCTTACAGTATCGGCTCTCTGTTCCTCGATTTTCTCGTGGGCACCGCCATCTTTGAGCTTATTGCAAAGCAGATGCAACATCCTCATAATTCAAAAATGCGACTTCCTCAGCTTTAGATACAGCGTTAGAAAGCTCAGATGATATTGCTTCTTTCTGTCGCAAACTGTTTAAACATTTCTCGAAACAAAAAAAGTGCTTCCTGCACTTTCCGATAAGGCTTCATTAAACTGGCAACCACAATTTTAAGTTCCAAGATGTCCGAAAGGTTGTTACTCTGAAGCGTAGCTTATGTAGTGGCTCTAGTGTGGACTATAATCCTGAAAATATGGCACATTGTGCCAGATTAGACTATCGGCTGTTTATGTGCGCAGAAATAAAGAGACGGCGATGACAATGACGACGATCACGACGAGTGGTGCAAACGAACCTCGGCCTTGAGCAGTTCGCCACCGCACATCGCCTCCAGTTGGTCCTGCGTTGCCTGTTCCGTCGACTCGATGCCGGTCATCTTCTGTACGATGTCCTTCAGCACCAGCAGGTCAAGGCTGCGAGGGTCGTCAAAGCCGTCAAGTGGCGCGCCTCGACCATTGCAAATTAGAACACTAGGAATGATAGAGCGCAGGACATGAGTGCATCCAAACCGTCCGATCCGACGCCCGATACGCCGGGAAAAAGGCCCCCCCGAGTCGCCGGACGCGACAGTTCACGACGTGTCATTCTGTTCGTTTCCACCCGGTTCCAGAATCGCCATACGAAGGGGAAGGTCGTCGGGTGACGACATGATGTCTGTGCCACCATCCGCGCTGCCATCGGCTGTGCCCGTCGGACGGTCGGACCGCTGCGCGGCAAACATCTGGCGAGTCGGTCACGTGCGGGAGCGTTGATTTGACGATCCGGCACAACCAAACCCGTCGGATCGCGCTGATGTTACGTACGTCGGATCGGACAGTTCCGACGTGCATGAGTCTCGTTCGCACTGAAAAAAACTGACGAGCACAGGTGAGTGTGCTCACCGAGCAACCTCGTAATGGGGAAAAGCAATGCTTGCAAGCTTCGCGGGTATTGCTTTCCCGCAGTACACAGGTGCTCGGTGAGAAGCGCGCTCAACGGGGCTAACTTGCCACAATGAACAAATAGTATGAATTAAGCGAAAATGCAGTTTGAACTAGGCAGCTCATACATGCATTGAAAACATAACGGGACAATTTAAAATTTTTAAAATCGTTCGAATTCATTGGAAGTAAGAAATATCCGAGTTGGAATTCATGCGAGTCCACTGTACAATCTCAACTGGAGAGTGGTGTAGCCAGAAATTTTTTTTTCAAGGGGAGGGGGCTAAGGTAGTTGGGATGTGCATGACTTGGGATGCAGAGGGAAGGGGGAGGTCAAAATGCATTTGTGTATTATAGAGTGCTGAAGCCCCCTGAGCTCCCCCCTCCATGGCTACGCAACTAGAACTTCATGGCACATAGTGGAATACAGGCACGTAGCCAAGATTTTGTTTCGGGGGGGGGGGGGGGGGGGGGGGGCCCGCCCATGACAAAATGCTATATGAGGGGGAGGGGGGAGAGGAGGTCCCAGTAAAATGGAGGATTTTGGGGGGGGGGGGGGCCTGGGCCCCATGGCCCCCCCCGGCTACGTGCCTGGTGGAATACAACCTCTCCCTCGACCCGTGGCAAGTTACGAGCAATGCTGCATCCATAGTTACTGACTAAATGAGAACAGCAGGGCACGGGTGTTGCCTCAGTAGAGTGCACAAGCGCTCGGATAGAAGCGTGCTCAAAAGGGATTGCGAGACAAGAAAGTATGATTTATATGAAAATGCCACTCAAACTAAGTGGCTTATAAATATATTGAAAACTTAGCGAGACAACCAAAACTTTGAAAATTGCTTGAATTAACCTGAAGTAAGAAATATCCGAGTTTTAATTATCGCGAGCCTACTGCGGAGTCCAAACGTGCATAAAAAAAAAGATAAAGCAAGAAAACCAGGGCACCTTTTTTCTGCCTTCAGCTGATTTGCGACGAGTTGCAGCAGACCCGTCAGGTCGATGGAGTACTTCTTGAAGACGGCGCCACAGAAACTGGCCAGACCTGGCATCGAAGAAACGGAGGAAAAAAGCAGGTTCTCGACTGCGCCCATCGCCGGCAGGGCGGGCACGTGAAATCCCACTCACTCTGCAGCCAGAGGGAGATGCTGGTGCCGTCGTGCTTCATGCGGTCCTTCTCCGGATTGCAGAGCGCCTCCGCCACGCAGTCTACAAGCAAGGTCGGTCAAGGAAACCAAAGACGCCGCCACCGAAACCCGGACCAAACTAATTTTTTCAGTCGCACACCAGTCACCTTGCTGTGTTTGGAGATTTGTGTTTGTCCTTTGTCCCTCTGGTTCCCCTTCTCCAGGGATTATTTTCGTCATTCTTGTCCAGCTCGCTTGCACCTTTGCGTTTAATTGCATTATAATCATATTTATTATAGTCAAACCCATTTACAGCAAACCCGAATACAGCTAATTATTGTCTATATCGAACAGCCAAAATTTTAGAACAAAATTGTGCATAAAAAGAAAGTACCTTTGTAACGAACAACCGATTGGGTATATTGAACTAAAAATGCAGACTTTTAAAAGGTGCGAGCACCAAAAAAGAAAACTGAAGATACACGAGTGCCCCTGCCTTGTTTAAAAAAGAAAAAGAAAGAGGAATGTGTAAAGCTAAAGCATCCCAAACAGCAAACAAAAAGAGTGACTGCAGAGAGTGCAGAAAAACTCTTGCACGCACACACACAGAAAGAAAAGCCAAGGTCAGGACACGCTGTTGAGACGAGTCCCCACTTGAAGTTTGTCTTTCTCCTCGCCAAGTGTCCTACAATTGCCAAATTTCAGAGACCGTGTCAGCTGCTTCCTAACCACCGCTTGCTATGTTTTGTTCGTTAGCTCTCTTTTTCGTTTGACCTTCGCGTGATAATCCGGTTCACGCGGGAAACGGCAACAGTCTTTGTCGCTCTTTGACTAGCTCGAAATGATGCCTTGGAGCAACGTACGGATTTTGGCGATCGTCGAACTTCTGCCTGCGATCATGGGGCATTCGCGGCTGAATAGGAGACTGCGTTTGCTTGCAACCAACGATCTTCGCTGCGGCTCAGCTGCTCTGTGCGGCTCTTTTTTCGTCTCTGTACGGTTCCACTGGTTTTGTTTGGACACTGGCTTCACGAGAGCAAAATCACAGTTCTTTTAAGGACACGACTGCCGTACTGCAGATCGTGGATATAAGTTGAGACGAAAAGGCTTCGCGGTCAACTAAAACGGTAAAAGATTTATCTTTCCATGCGCGCCTGGGTGCTCCGATTCTGTAAGTATCCTCGCAGAATAAACAGTTCAGAACCTGTTTCTTGTTCCAGCTGTTAGCCCGCTAAGAGCATTATCAAATATTTTTTCGCGGGTCATAATTTTTTTTTTTGGCAGTTCACTGAAGTATGCATTAACGTGTTTACCATAGGGTCAAGAAAATAATTGTTTGTTACGAAGCCCCGGCCTCAAAATTTGCGGTAGGCCCGGCTTCGATATAGCCAATTATGGGATATATCGAACTAAGTTGCGTGTCTGATGGAGTATGTTATAAACTGGTCCCACCGTATACTCCCCAGCACGTGCGCAATCGTTTCATGTGACGAATCTGAATTTTCCTCAAGGGGGGGGGAGGCAGCGAAAAGAAATGGTATTGCATGTAAACATTCTTTGCATATTCTCAAAATTCTTCCTATAAGTATCCTTCGCAAAAATAGTCTTAGTATCCTTTCCACATCAAGCGATAATTAGTGATGCAACAGCTTGAACTTACAAATGGACGTAGAAAGGACGTCTATTTCTGTAAGTTCAAGCTAACGCATCACTAATATGTACCAACCAGCTCAACTTAAGCCTGTAACCAAGTGACGAATCCTGGTGTTTGGGGACAGAGGGCAGGATACAGGCGAGAACGTCGTAGGACAGCATGGTGAGGTACTTGAGGGAGTCCACCACGGGCACAATCAGGTTGTCCCAGGTCTGGATCTGGGACAGGATCTGCTCCCACAAGCACAAAGGAAGTCATTAGTGCAGAAAGGACTGACACACTTTAAAAACTCTCTTCGTTTCGAACGATTGTGACTTAGCAGTCGAGATCATCACAACTAAAAAGAACTGCCTGTCTCTCTGGTACACCCCAAAGGCGCTCAAATGCGCAGCACTTATAGGTCCTTTGTGACATGACAACACGTCATTGTGCCACCCGACGTCACAATATCACATGACGCCATGACATCACAGGGTAACATGACGTAAAGTGTCATGAAAAAACTATCGCCAGGAAGCTTCCTCTCTAGGACCCACGACCATTCCAGCACCGGGGTCAAACACCAGCCGTTGTGATCACCGTGATGTCTCTATCGAGGCTAAGTCCCAGGCACAGAAGCACAAGCACAAAGAGCTGGCCATATAGATGCTATGCACTTTAAACAAACTGATCAAAGGAAAGATCTGCCTAAGGGACTAAAATCAATTAAAGATTTTCAGAGCCCAAGCTGTCAAAGGCAGTGATGTCTTCCTTCGCGGCTTTACTACTAGATCTTGGGCAAGCTACGGGCAAAGGTGGCAATCAAATTTGGAATGTACGTTAAACCTGCCCTGTGCTGGTATTTTTGGGGAGCCCAAAAATGCCACCAATTGTGACATCTGTCCAATGATTGGTACCTTTTTTTCTCCCGCACTTCCGCATTTAATGAATGGTAGCGACACGTTTGGGGTTAGATGAGTCTGCACATTGTATAAATATCAAACAAAAGCCACAAAAACGTGGAGACAAAGGCAAGGACACAAAGAGAGCGCCGACTCCCGTCTCTTGTTTCCTTTAACTTCCATAAACACAAAAATAAAAGACGAAGAGGGAAGAAAAACATGTCCTTGACACAAACACACACACAAAAAAGAAAAAAAAGAAGAAAAAGAGGCTCACATAGTCAAAGAGAAAGCAAGGGTTGCTGTGGCTGAGCTTGCCAATCTGTCGCCCCGAAGGCTTCACATTCTCCTTGCTGAGTCTCCTGCACAAGCATCAGAGACAAGTGCAAGTGGTCAGATATGGTCAACGACGGAGGAAGGGTCACTCAATTCCAAAGTTAACTAGACCGCTTCCAAAGCGTCTGTGCCGGCTACTGCAAATTCTCTGAGCTTCCGAAGAGCTGGGCGTCCGCAATAAGTAGCGCACCGGCAATCCCGGCTTTGTAAAGGAAAGACAAAGTACCGAGAAAAAGGCTAGCTCCATTCGCGCTAGTGGCGCCGAGCGTGAAAAAGGCCGTACTGGGTGAGATTGGATTACTAAAATATTGGCTTTGTTATGCTCTTAACTCGCTAAAAATATGCAGAGAAGTAATGCCTCCCTTCTGGAAGAATGACAAAAGATCCCTTAGCCAGAACCGAGAGTTGTAACGTCCGTGGGAAATCGAGAAAAGTTGCTATGGCGCACCTCCCCCTTTTTACAGTCTAAGCTCGTTATAAGAGACCTTGATTTTGACTAAGATTTCGGTCTGTTGTAAAAGGAGTATGTTGTATGCAGATATGAAGTTGAGTCAATGGTGCGTAAAGGAAAACCAACCGAACTTCACAAATCGGTATGTTATATCCAAATGTCGGTTGTAACCAGGTCTGTTGTAATGAGCTTAGACTGCATTCCGCGACGAAACAATGGGTCAAACTTTGTCACCCTCCTTCGGAATATCCGGTTCTGATCGGTAATTTCCAATTTAAGCTGTCCTAGTCCCAATAAACCTTCCGAGGTTAAACTAAAAAATGTGTCCCCCCAACCTCGCATTTATGACGAATCATGAACGTGCTCCACGAGAAACGATTTACGTCAACCGCATTGGGTAGGTACAAGTCTCATTTTCTCATGCCGCACGAAAGACAGAAAAGTGGTAATTCTTAAGAGTTCATACTCACTTCATGATGTACTTGATCCTCTTGAGTGAGTCCGCCTTCACCCGAATGAGCAACGGGTGACTCACGTATGCCTCGTTCTTCCACTGGCTGTACAGACGGTACCTGAAGGCAGGGCCACAACAGGCACCCGTCAAACAGCCTCCAGCATAGAGCCAAAATTAAGCGTGCCTCGATCGTACCCGATAAACTCAAGATGCACAAAAGATATGTTGCGAATCAACCGGGCACATGCCATGTATGTGTGCGACGTTAAACGATGTGTCGAGGTCACGTGGCTGTATGGTGTCACGTGACACCCAGATGTCAAAGTCCTGCGCGTCAGTCCAGCGTAACGCTAAAATGGAACGCGTCGCTCCTGTAATAAGGCTCAACCATCTGTGTTGAAACTGTGGAACAATATTTGGCTGCACTGTCCAGGCAAAGCAACACTGGTCTTTGAAAGCCTGTGATTGGTTTTACTATCAAACAGAACAATTAACAAGTGCAAAGTTAGTCTATACGCCACCTATTGTAAACAACTTATACCTTGTGGCAGCCTATTTTTCACAAACGGAAAACGATCGCGGAAATCTGCCGCCCTTGCATGGGGCCCACAGGCCAGTTTGGTACCCTTCATTTCAAAATTTAATTCCCACCAAGTATTTCCAAAACTAGCACGCTACGGGCAATTATGCCCTAAACTTTGTAATTTTTTTCGTCAAAATTGTTTGAGGTATTGCATTTAAATTAACACCACAGACAGTACATATCATTACTATCTGCAGAATACAAATTAAAGTATATATTGTTCTTTTCACATTGAGGAATAAATTAGCTCGGGGAAAAAGATTTCTAACATTGTTCAAATTCAACACGTCATAAAAAAAAAAAAAAAACATTTGTCAAATTTTTTTTTTTTTTTTTTTTTTTATTTCACTTTTTTGGGACGTGTTTCTTTTAGCCTGTACATATGTTGGTAGGAGAAACTTGCTTCTTAGTTCTGGGCCTCTGAATATGCAAGAATACCACACTTCCGGCAGATTCTTGATAGATTTTTTTTCTCCAGCTTTTTTTTTTTTTTGCATTTATTGTTATGTTTATTTATTTATTTTTTACCAATGGCACAGTTATTTAGATCGAAAAGACATTGCTTTGAACTTCCGAACCACTAAGCATGTGACGAGTAGTGCCTTCTGACAACGAGTTTCTAACAATGACCATCTACGCGACTTTTTATGCAGTGAAGAGCGACAGTAGCTACACATATGCATAAATAATTTCAGATTAAAATAAGCTCGACCATGCCCTGTTTCCCCGTATTGTTTTCCTTAACAATCCAAAATATCTTGGGGGGGGGGGGGGGGGGGGGAGAGACTGGAGCCCCCCCTCCCCCGTTTTTCCTCTTCCAACGCTGCCGGTATGGTAGAGCGTTCCTCGACCTCAAGTTGTGTCGGCTACTGTGCATTTTGCTCGGCGTTTCCTCCGTCTCCGAAATCAAACCTCCAAAACAATTACAAGCTAAAAAATTGTCAAGGTGCATGCGAGCTGGTGTATGTTGATCATGATGCAAAATCCCGAGACTGGGAATGAAATTCCAAAGAAATACCGTAAAGTTCCGAAAGAACGCCCACCCAAAAAGAAGAGATAAATGGTGAAAAACATAAGGTGGGCTATCTTTGGGGACCCCACAGCAAATCTTTATCAAAAGCCGGCTACAAACTACGCGGACACCGCAAATTCGCGTTTCACGATGCGATAAACACGCGGGAACCCGCTACATACTTGCCTGACACAGGAACCGATATCGCGCGCGCAGATCGCGGACAAAAAGGCAGGAATCCGCTACAGAACTCGTATGTTACGGGAACAAATACCGCAGATCGCGAACGCAGCAAAATCGTATTTCACGATGCAATATAGTACAGGCGGGACCAACTCGCGTGGAATGGAGATCACCCACGCAGATCGCGGACAAAAACGCGGGAATCCGCTATAAACTTGCTTGTCTGAGCAAATTGCGCGGTTGATGCGATTCCCGTAGGACATTGCGTGACGTCCGACGGAAATCGGGGGGTGGGCGATGTTTCGGAATTTTTATGTTACCGATATTTAGCCAGAAAAACGGGATGGGCGACCTCTCGAGGGTGGGCGTTCTCTCGGAACTTTACGGTAGTGTAAGAAGAAAAAAAAAGGGGACAGGAAAAAGTCTCAAACTCAGTTGAGTTGAGTTTGAGACGTTATTCCTGAGCTGAGTTTTCAGCTGAGTTGAGTTTGAGACATTGTCCTGTCCAAGTTTTTCTGTCTTCTTACACTTTTTCTTTCAAATTTCATTCCCAGTCTCAGGATTTTGCATCATGTACAAACTAAACTTACTATATGCCAGCTTCGCTCGGGCGGCGTTCAAGCGGATTACTACCAGCGTGCAAACGGGTGGGGAGGCAGTGTGCCAGATCGCTTCAAGGTTTTTCTGAGCGTCAAGTGACCCTCAACCACCTGCCTGCCCCTGGCCGATTCGAACTGGATGAGTATCGTTAAACAGTGCGTTCGTGTGATCACTACTGTCTGATGCACGTTAAAGACACCCCTCCCTCCCTCCCCCTCCCTCCCCCCTCCCCCTCCCTCCCTCCCCCCCTCCTCTCCCCCCCCCCCCCCCCCCCCCCGGGGATGGCGGCCACAATTACTGATCTGCACACGTCACTCTGCACTGGCAAATAATTCAGTACATCCGGGACACTCGTCGTTTCATTTAATTGCCTAAAAAACTTCGCGCAATCTGAACATCACACCCAAACATTTCTAAACCTGATTTCGTGAAAACCAGTGAAGCGTGAAAACGTTATTTGAAACTGAAACTGTGGCGGAACATGAAAACCGGACTTCGAACTTTGCGCACTTGGACTTTAAAGGGATACTTCAACGAAATTTGAAATATTCCCGTCGCGTTCAAAAATAGGTTGAATATGATCCACAATATCCGTAAATGACAATCGCACGTTTGTATTTTGAGCCTGGTGGCTGTACTTTTCGTTATAAACGGCCCACTTTGTCAAGCGCTCGGAGAAGGCCCAGCGGAGACCACGTGACATCTAACGCAATTGTGACGTAGGTCGTCTCGGGACGAGCAAAGCTACGGCGAGGCTGACGTCGAGGGGATGGCCTAGTCATTCCAGCCACCGAAGCGGCTGCTTTTGTACGGATTTTGAGTGACAGGTTAACCTTCTATAATCTTGTAGGGGGACAATAGCGACCTCTGCGACACACAAAAGGCATTCTAGGGAAGAGGGGAGTTCCTCCTTCCCCCCTTCTCTCGTCGTGGCCGGAGGCGAGACAACCTCCGTCACTAGCTGTCAAGGTTCCTAGACGGGCATTACAAGCGAGACGTCAGCGACATCCACCAGGTGCTCTTTGCTAATCATTTAATTCACTTTAAATTCCTTTTCGAGATTTTTTTAACAAAATATTGGTATGTTCGATGTGATACTGCTCCTTTGAACACAGATAGACCAAAAAATGAGCGCCGAAATTTCGTTGTAGTATCCCTTTAAAAAAGTTCTAAACCTAAGTTTGTTTTCCAAATTTGCGCTAAAAGAGAATCGAAACCTTCAAACTTTATGCAGAAAAAAATTTGAAATCTTCGAATTTATCGAATTTTATGTCTATAAGAATTCGAAACATTTTAATCTCTCGAATTTCAAGTTAAGAAAGTTCGAAAGCTTCGAATTTCTCGAACCTCAAGTAAAAAAGTATTCGAAATAATCGAACCCGAACTTTTAGAAACCGTGAAAGCTTCGAACTTCTCAAATTCGAAACTCCACGATTTTTAAAAGTTGTGAATTTTTCGAATTCAAATCTCTGTACGGTCGAAAATATCGAAACCTTTCGAATTCAAACTTCAGTTCAGTTCGAAAATATCGAAATATTTAAAAATCGAACCTAGGGAGGTTCGCGGCCTCCCGAGTTAGAAGTACTTTTAAGATTAACCCGTTATTAGTGATTTTACCACACACTGAAGTGCAGCGCTTGATGTGTGGCTTCCAAGTAATAAAACAAAATATAAATAATATTTTGTTTTATTATAATAGCATAGACCTATGTTAAAAAGTCTGCTCTCAACATTGTATGCATCACACACTTAGCTGCATGTTGCAAAAAAGTTATACTCCTATCTGTCCTACATGCCAAGAAATTTTCAGAATCCAAAAATTGTTTTGGGAAAAGGTGTTTCAGAGTCAGTTTCAAGGCACATTCAGCCCGCATAGACATTTTATATTGACGCATAGCTCAACATTCATCCACGAAATTAAAAACCTGGTAGATTTAGAAGAACAACAGCTGTAGACGTCAACATTGCAAATTCCAAACGAATGAAGCTTTCGAAATTTTTTGGCTCCAAAGACCTATGTCCCCCGCTTAACTACCAAAACCTCAAAGTTCCAAGAAGGCATATTTTGGCGGAAGTTTGGCCTTTCGACGACCACCCACCTCTGCTGGTAGGGGTAGAGCTTGAGCAGGGACCAGATCTCGTCGGCCACGCAGCAGTTGCAGTCGAGAAGGGACAGGGAGGGCAGCAGGCTCTCCCCGACCAGGGTGAGCAAGTCGAACCGCAGGTCTCCACCCGCCGAGGAGCTGGCCTTGTGCAGGTGCGCTCTGGCCAGGCGCACCACCTTGGCCATGAACAAAAAAATCTAATTTGACATCCGTGTTTAAACAGCACAAGGTCAGTCTGCTTTCAAGGCACGGAGACACTGGCTTGCATATCAGACAAGAAATATTGCCGCACGAGTGGCTGAGTTGGAACGTACTATGCGGCTGCCACACGGAGGAACAGCATTCTTTTTTTCTTTCTCTTCTTTTATTAATCTGTATTCTAGTGGAAAGTTCCAACACATCCCCGGCTGTCATCGAGTGTTCTGGTTCGGAATGTTCCCGCACGAATCGCCCGCATAAAAGCAAACAGTAACGCGCTGCTTCGGGTCAGACAAAATGCACGGTATAGCTCCGGTTTTATTTTGAGGTGCAAGTTCACCTCATTAAACATTCATTTTTAGGGGTGTGCAAATACACAATAATAGTTTTCGAATCGAATACCGAATTGAATCAAGAAAAAAAAAGTCGAATATTGAATAGCGATTTTATTTGTAGGAATTTTTCAAAGTGTGCTGCGAATGAAATTATTATATGTGCAGAGTATGCGCCTGGTGCAGAATATGCGTCATGTACACAACAAAAGCCAAAATGTAAAAAAAGTTCTGGTGAAAAAAAAGCAGTTGCTGTTGGACGTTGGGCACTAAAGATCCAATTTTATGGTGTAAACATAATCCATCTACCCTAAACGTCACAAAAACCCAAAGTTGCAGCCACGCGTGCCTTTTTTTCTCCGTAAAAGCACAACCTAACACCGCGACTTTTTGAAAAATATTTTTATATCTCAGAAAAGGGGCATTTTGTGATAGTTGGTCTCCATTTTAAGGAAAACAAAAGAGCACCCGGGATTTGATTTCACATAAATAAATAGATAGGTGTTAAATCTGAGCAAACAGGCTTAAACAATGTAATCTGAAGTAAGAAAAAAAAAAACGTTGTTAGGTGGCGCAAGTCACCGTCCAACTGCTGCCATGCATCCATTTTTCCGTCTATCTATCCTGTTTTAGAAAGCCTTGATTTAAAAGAGGGAGCAATTGAAACTGAAACCAGGGAGACAGCTCTAGAGCAGATTGATCGTGAGTGCGCATGTGTCATGTTGTCGCGTGGAAAAAAGGCAAGCAAACAGAAGAGAAACGACGCCTGCCCTGCCTGCCCGATGCCAATCGACGCTTTCGTCTTTTCGTCACCTTCTCGCAGTTCGTAATTAAAACGCGGCTATCGAACTGTTGGAAACTCTTTCAAATCTAGGCACACTATTTTTCCGTTTCGTTTCGTTCCGAATCAGAATTTGCAGTATTTGCGGTTCCAAAATGAACGACGACGATAACTCGGCTGGTTTCATCGGCGTGGTAACGTGGTTTTCTTTCTGTGATCGTGCAGTAGTGCAGTCGCCAATTTCTGCGACTACGGCAAGTCTGTTTTACATCGGCGCTTCAATTTGAAACAAGGGGCTTTACTCATGAAAAGAATTAGGTTTGGCGCAAATTCCGGCTTCCCAACAATTCCTCACTGGAAGCGGCGCAAACGGGATGTTTCGGTTGTGATTCAAGGGTAGATTGTGTCACGACCGTGAGTAAATCTGCATGCTATAAAGTTTATGGCGTTCGTTACTTTTCTTTTTTTTAACCTGTGCGTTAGATTTTTGTGGAATGGTAGGACCAAGAGGTGTTTCTCGCATAATCTGTCTAACATCACGGCGCTTAGATCGGGACAAAAAACGACTTTTTTGTCAGCTCCGCGCCGTCCGCGCGTATTTCGCCGAATATATTGAATATTCGAGTAACCGAATACTAGGAATTCGATTCACGAATTGAATTATTTGGAAACTTTCTATTATATTTGAATTTGTATATTTGAGTATTTCACACCCCTATTCATTTTTTCTTGCATTTTTCTACACTGTTTTTATTCGTGACAATATGGTCGGTGCAGTGCAACCACTATACTCTGTTCATCCCTAAAGCGCGGTCCAAGCAGACACATATTTCTCTACAAGCTTGTTATAACAGACCTTGATTTTGACTAAGATTTCAGTCCGTTGTAAGAAAAGTATGTTGTATTATACAGATATGAAGTTGAGTCAATGGTATGTAGAGGAAAACCAACCGAACTTCACAAATCGGTATGTTATATCCAAATGCCTGCTGTAACCAGATCTGTTGTAATGAGCTTGCACTGTATGTGCGCCGAAAGATGTATAGATTCCCACTTCTGGTTCCGATGTCACCGCTCCGTTCTTATATGTTCCTGTACGTGTACTGAAAGTTGAAATATTTCAACTTTTCTAGGGGCCCGTATTCTGACATGGGTGCCCGTATTGAGGGAGCGGCCAATCACGAAGCGTGCATGATGCGCTTCCTTCTTACTCTGCCATTGGCGATCACTTCCTCTTTGCATGCTTGACAAACGAACGCGATTTAAAGTGGTCTGCGAAGCCAGGGTTGCCAAGCATAGGGCTGGCCGGTTGCTGCCGGCTTCTGGCAGTGATTGTTCTGCGCTTTACGTCTTTCTCGTCCTAAACATATGTTGGTATCCACTTGTGCGCACGGTAGTTTCTCTGTGATGACGTGCGAATTCGCCTGTTGTGCCGCCAACGGGTGTTGAGCGTGTAGACAAAGTGCCCGTCGAGACTGACATACACCCGAATTACAATGTCGGACGTCACGTTTTAGTGCTGCCCCCTCGGCCTCTCGCACCAAACTTTAAAATGTAATAACTTTGCAAAAAAAAACACCTTACCATGATTTGCAACTTCGGTTACCGGTTCAGACGTGTTGATTAATGTGTCGATCTAATTTTGAGGCAAACCGGCGACTATCGAACTTTCGTCGAAGCTCAGCACGGAGAGCAAGGGTCACCCGCGGCAAAACCGGCATCTGTCACGTCAACCCCCGCTGCCGTGATGCCGCCGGGATCGGGTGGAGATCGAGAGAGCACTCTTTTGGGCACAGTAAACGGACCGGTCGAGACGCGTTGCGGGCGCCGCACTTTCGCTAATTGCGCCCCGAGATGCGGCACGTCGATGCATCTCAGGGCGGCCGAGGGCTCCCACCTTGACGATGAGCACCGGGTCCAGGTGCAGCATGGGGCCCAGGGCCACGAGCATGGGCAGGGCGCGCGCCTGGAAGTCCCCGAAGGTCTCCACGAGGACGGGCGGCCGCAGGCCCCCCCGACGGGACGACGCGTACGAGCGCCGGAAGCCCTCCGGCAGCCCGCTGTGCCTGTCGGTGGACAAAGCGTGGTTTTTGTAGCGTGAGCTATACTGGCCGAGGTTGAGCAGTTTCGCGTGGCTCGCATAATAAGCCGTGCTCCGTGCTGCGCATGCGCGAGGAGCAGTGACGTCACACAGCGCACAGCTGGCGCACCTGCGCCGCCGCACTTGCCTCACCGGTCTGCGCATTCCAGAGGATTGGCGTCATAGCCGCGGCAGACGCACTGGCACCGCCGCGTGCCCAGCTGTGCACCTCCGTTGCGCAGTAGCCAAGCCTGACGCTGCACCGGAGCATCTTGATAGCGCCTCTCATTTTGTGCGCATAAGCTCGTGCTACTTATATCCTGGCATAACCGAGCTAAGCCACCGCAATTTTTTTTTTTTTTTTCGTCACCGTCATTTGTAATCTTGCCAAAGAAACTATACTACAAAATCCAAGAAACCCTGTAACAAAAATAAATGCACCACTCAACATAAGACATTTCCCAAAGGTGTTTCAAGTGCGCAGCATTTACAGGGTCTTATCGCTCTCCTCTTCTTGCGGGCACCGAAAAACCACTGAAGGGCGCACTGCGAGGGTTTTGCGAATATATAAAGCTGTCAGTGCCATGTTACGTGACATCACGATGCCACCCGACGTCACAATGCCACGCAACGTGACATTACACCGCAATGTTGTAGTGTCAGCTGACGTCAGTATCGTGCGACGCGACGTCTTGATTTTGCATCGTACTGTCACCCGACGTCACATGACCACGGAATTTTGCATGACACCGGGACATCGCACTGTCACGCGACATCGCAGACAAACTTTACGCTTTCAGGGCACCTTTAGGACGACATCGTGGTGTCGCGTGACTTCGTCGGGGCAACTTCCCGGTGCGTATACAAATGTCGCTGACCCAGTCCCATAAATGCTAAGCATTTAAAACGAAGCCCCTAAACGTTTCACTTCCCCACGCGGGGAGGTGAGCAAACGAAGGGGGACCCCTGGCATCCGGCGGGGGAGCGCCGCACCCTCACCTGCGGTACAAGGGCTCCACCAGGGTGTGGACCAGGAGGCAGAGGCGCCGGGCAATGTGGGGCTGCGACACGGCGTAGTGCTCGGGCAGGCGCGCCATCAGCTTCTGGGCGTTGGGCCAGTCGCCCACTTCCAGCAGGGCCTCGCACAGGCCCAGCTTCTGGTTCTCCTCCTGCAAACCCACGTGCAAGAGACTCATGTTCGCCACGCGCGCGAGCTTCCACGACAAAGTTGAAGCGGCGGCTCACAGCTCGCCGCTCCGAGCACGGCACAGAAAAATACACCTAGTACTACCGTACTTACCGCGTTCTAACATGTGCCTTTCGTGAGAAGAAAAAAACGCCCGACAACTTCCTTTGCGTTGCTATCGGATGCGAGACCCAAACCAGGTGTATGTTAGAATAACCATTGTGCAAAAAAAAAACCGGGTGCAGTTTAGAAGCGACCCGGGGCTACTCAATAGATGGCGCGAGCCGGTGCGCCAGGGTGTTAAGCGGCAACGAGGAAACAAACTGCACTCTGACGCACTGAAACGCAAATGCGCAAACTAGGCGTTCGTCGACCCCACCTCGAGATAACGAAGCCACTGAGACATCAGAGCAAGGAGGACCGAAGCCTCACCAAGGTCAGGTCGTCGTCCTTGTCCTCCTCCTTCTTCTCCTCGTCCTTCTTGTCCGACGAGACCACCACCACGGTCGCTCTCCGGGCGTACGTCTTAGCCGCCGCCACCTCCTTCTTGTGCTGCCTCGACAGGGCCCCGTCGTCGGGCAGCAGCTGTGAACGACCACGACGCACTCCCATCAGATGCGAGCGTTCTTCGGTTCTATCACACGACGAAGAAAGCCGGCATTTCACACTGGGAAAACTAGAAGGCGCTGAAGAGACATTGCCTAGCATAGACGCAGAAAGGAGGAGGGTTTCTTCGGTCGCCGTTTGAGAACCCTCGGCATAAAGAACTTCTTCGTCCACGCACCTCTTCTTTCGGGGGGCATTGCACGTCGGAAGGAAAACGAAAAAAGGGAGTAGGGCATACCCACTCCCCTCTCTACCACCTTAGGCCCCGAAAGTATACAAAATAAATATATAAATAAAATCCTACGGACAAACTTGGGAGGCACAAAATGTACGGCATGTTTTCAGCTCCTCCCAACGGTCTTCGAGGCAACGCGGGCACACACCGGGTGCTTCGGCGAAGACTTTTAAATATTCCTACCAATAGGGTAGTTGACAAATACAGAAACGCTTTTCGCGAACAAACTGCAAGCCACAGTAGAGGTGGGGGTTGCAAAAAGCATACTAATACGCCTCGCAAGTGGGCTCATTTTCGTCTTCTGCGCATGAGAAAGGAAGTAGCGGTGACGTCAGAACGCCGAGTCCTGATTGGCTGATCGCGACCCCCTATTGAGCGTCGTCTGCTCCTTTGCAACGTCGTCTGCTCGCAACATCGTCAGCGTCTGTCTTAACTTTCCTGCGACTTTCGGAGCGAACTCGACTTGGCCTTTAAGGGAGGGCAGACGAAATAACTCGAGCGGTACGTTGTTTTTGTCTAACAACTAGCAGACGCGCATCAAGGAGGGAAGTCAAAGGACCCACTGGCGAGGTGTCTCGGGGCGCCGAGGTTTGTTTGCTTAGTGTCCGCAAGTTCCCTCCCAAATACTTTTTACCTCCATTCGTGTGCGGCGAGGCCCCTCACTCTTTAACGGCGCCGGCGGGTTGGCACAGTTTTTTGTCGTCTGCTTTACGTCTGCTAGTCAAAGCGATGGCTGCTTTACCTTTCCTGCGTCTGTCGGAGATTCGCCGCTTTTTCACCGGCGAGTCACCGTTGCCTCGGGAAACAAGGAGATAACAAGAGGAAGAAATTGACCTCTTAATCTAAAATTGAGGTCAGCGATCAAAGTATAACACGGGAAGGGTTCACAAGGGTCGCGCGGGCATATTCCATTCAGTACGTCAGCCGGTCGTGGGCAGACGGTCGCCGAGTCGCGGAGTGCTTGCTAGGCCTAATTGCCCAGCTCGTTTGGTCGCGTTCGGTGGAATCGTCGCCGTTGGAGCTTTTCCCCGGTGTCTGTGGATCCAGCGTTCTTGTTCGTCGTGCTCTGTTTCAAGTAATTTTTACTTTTTTTTTGCTGCTTGAAGTCAGGACGCGTGAGAAGCTCACGTAGAAAAATAAACGTCCGTGGGTCATCGCGACCGCGACACTGTCGGCCATGCTGACTTGATCGTAAGAAGTGCGTAAGACAGCTTCGGAGCTGCCGTAGGATTTCGCCGTAACCTGCGCAAAACTTACGAAAATTTCGTTTCGTGAATACGAATTTGTTCTTAAGTTTTGTCTTACGCACATTTTTGGCGTAAGATCGTTTCGTGAATCTGGCCTGCACTTCCGAAAGTCGCAGGAAACGTAAGACAGACGCAGACGACGTTGCGAGCAGACGACGTTGCAAAGAAGCAGACGACGCTCAGATAGGGGGGCTCGATCAGCCAATCAGGGCTCGGCGTTCTGACGTCACCACTACCCCCTGCGCAAGCAGCAGACGAACTTGCCCTCCGCATTAGCTCGTTAATTTCCTCAAATTTACTAACAAACTTTTTAATTAGTGGAAATAAACATATGGCTCCACACAGAAACTTGCCGAGCGTCCTCGAAAACCCCTAAATCTGTAACTTTAAGAAGACTTAAAGAGCAGGTGTGTGCTAAAGTTAACACTCGTTCAGCAGGCACAAGGCTGGCGGTGCAAAAACATGAATGACAAGAATATCATCCACATTTTTGCATTGCCAGACAGAAACAGCACGTCTATGCCCCGCCGTTTGCAAGCGACTGAAACGCATGGGGGCTAGTGGACCTTTCACTGTACTCCGTTCTTACTCGTAAGATGAGACTGCAGCCAAGGCTACAGGCGCCAGCTAGACCACACCTGCTTTGGGACAAGCCTTTTTAGCGCGAGCACTCGTTCTGCAAAAGAATGTTTCAAAGCCGAAGTTCCATGCTATCGCACTTTTAAAGCGCGACAGCAACATCGAGCAACCTCAGGAGCCGCATAAGCATGAAATCTGTAGGTCAGTTAATTTGTGACCACTAAACGATCCGGAAAGAGAAATATGTAGAGCCTTTTCACTTCATGTGAAGATAGAGGACCAGTGAAGCTGTTATCTTCACAATGTCTAGGACGATGCCTAGAGGACGTCGTCTAGGACAACCTCAAGGACGACTTCTTGGACAGATGCCGCCTAGAGGACGTCAAAGACGACCTAAAGGACGACGTCTAAGAAGACCTGAAGGATGACTTCTGGGACAAACTTGAGGACGCCGCCTACAGGACGACCTCTAGGACGACCTCAGGGACATCTGGGACAACCTCAGGGACGATGTCTAGGAAAAACTCAACAACGTCTAGGACGACCTCAAGGACGACATCTAGGACAACCTCAAGGATGACCTCTAGAATTACCTCGAGGACAGCCTCTCAGACGACCTCAAGGACAACTTCTAGGACGACCTAAAGGACGACGTCTAAGAAGACCTGAAGGACAACTTCTGGGACGAACTCAAGGACGCCACCTAGAGGACGACCTCTAGGACGACCTCAGGGACATCTGGGACGATCTCAGGGACGACGTCTGGGACAACCTCAGGGACGACGTCTAGGAAGAACAACGTCTAGGACGACCTCAAGGACGACATCTAGGACAACCTCAAGGATGACTTTTAGAATGACCTTGAGGACAGCCTCTCAGACGACCTCAAGGACAACTTCTAGAACGACCTCAAGAATGACGTCTCAGATGACCTCAAGGACGATATCTAGGGCAACCTCAAGGACGACCTCGAGGGCAACCTGTCGGACGACCTCAAGGACGACGCCTAAAGAAATTCAGCCTCTCCGCTCTGGTCAAAACCAAAGTGGAAAGGCTAAATAGGTTGCCGCCATTTATGATTGGCGGCGGCAACCAAACCGGCACGCCAGTTGTCTGGTTGCCGCCGTCACTCATAGATGGCGGTAGCTGTCTGGAGTTTTGTGTCGACATGTCGCTTATCCACGGACACTACACTGGGGAAACTAGCCCTTAACAGCTCCACTGTAAAATAAACGGCAGCCGGAGTCAGGGATTGATACTTGGTCACAGGCTTGGTGCCAGGGGTTGAACCCCGGTCACCGGCGTGGAAGCCGAGCGTGCCGCAAACCGAGCTACAGACCCAGCATGCAGGAACGGGTGGAGCAGAAGCAGGTGGTGTGAGAAAGCAGACGGAGTGGAGAGGGGTGGAAAAGGCAAGAAAGGAGCAGAAACAGGTGGTGTACAGAGTGCACCAAACGAGATGCACTCTGTACACCGGGTGGCCGCGTCAACCGCCCGGAAGAACAAAAATAATATTACCGTAATAGCCCGAGTCATCGCCCATCCCCGAGCCATTGCCCACCCTATTTTTTGGGCCAATATCGATTTCCGAAAAAACACAGAGTCATCGCCCACCCCTTCAAATACCCCAGCGCGGACTCTGCGATCCGCGAACACTCATCCTACCCGAATGACGCGGCCGCGGACCTTACAGTTCGAGGACGTCCGTGACAAAATAAAACGAAGGAGGGAAAGACACTTCTTTTTGTTTACGCATTTCCTCCGTGAGCGACCCCAAAGTGGTTGTGTATCCGCGCAAAAAGAAAACGATGGAGATAACAAAATAAGAGTTTGTTAATGTAACCGCAGAGTGTTAGGTCAAAGTCTGTCCGCCGAAGTAAGGCCACCGCGAACCCGCTCCTCCTTCCCGCCCCTCGAGACCGCGGTTGTGCAATATTTTAGGCAAAGCCAAAGCGTAAATAAAGCTTTTCTGGAACGTCCTACACAGACGTTTGCAGAGCGTCCCAACCGTGCATTGATAGCCCGCCGTGCACGGACGCGCGTATGTACGCACCAAACAAGAAAGTTGCGCAAGAGCTTGCAATTGACAAGGCGCCCGACTTGGCCCGACGCCAAAGTATTTGCCAACGCGACCGCCGGCTTTCCCGCTTTCCCAGCATTGCTCTTGGTCGCTTCTTTGGTCCGCTCGCTCGCTCGCTCGCTCGTTGCGCCTGGTCGGTTTTTCTATTTTCTTGTAGACTTTTCTTTCTTTTTTTTACTAACTAGGAGAACATGGTGACATCCTTTCACGGAACAAAGCGGTGTTTCTAGCGCGTATGCAAGCAACGGACTTCGCTATAGTAAAATATTCTTTCGTGAGCATTTTTTTCTATAAAATAATGAAACTAAATCAAGTTTTGAGTTTGATGTATCTCTAGTGCATCAGCGCTAGATACGCAGAGAAAAATAGGCGGTTTTTTCCGCTTTTTTTCAAGTGTTTGTGCTCACCCACCGAGACATGGCCCACCCCACTTTTTTAACGAATTTCAGGCGGTAGGGGGTGGGCGATGACTCGGGATATTACGGTAGAGAGTTTTCGTAGACCGCATGTCCTCCTCTGCAAAGCACTCCACAACGAAGAAGTTGCTACTGCGCCTGCGCGCCGATAGCCTTGACTATAGAGTTCCGGGTTTCGTAAAGGGTTGCGGGACAGCGAATACGATCCACGAAAACTCCTTATTCTCTTTTGCAGACGGATTGGGGAAAGAGGCACAGAGCACCCACTCCCCACTCCCTCTGCAAAAGAGATTTTTTTTTTTTCTTCCAAACAATCAATGCAAGCGTCCATAAAGAAAATAATAAAACCAGCATGTTTTGCAAGCTGGCTTTCCCTCAATGCGGCCCCTTGCGTTGGGGGAAAGCCAGCTCGCAGAGCAAAACGACGCTCTCGGCAGTTCCGATATATCGGTAGCGGCTGCTATTTTTGTTCGATGTAACCATAGTTTTTGCTATATATTATCACTGTAACATTACTGTGCATAAAAATTGTTCGATATAAGGGATAATACAGCGTAAATGGGTTCGATATAGTCGGGCTTGACTGTAGTCGTAGCCTTTTGGGGTGAAGGGAGTATAGGCAACAAAATGGCGGCTCCCATAAGACAATCGGGCAACGGAGTATCGGTACTCTAAGCGTAGCGGGTGACCGACCAGGGAGTAGAGGTCGTCCAGGGCAATCAGCTCGTTCCTGATCAGGAGGGCGGCCAGCCGGTACAGGGACGCTGGAGTGGGCTCCCCCGCTTCGCCCTGCAAATCGACGGGAAACACGTCATCAGACCGGGGTCCTGGCAACAAACTTCTAAAACTCACTCTCAAACTGCGCACCTAGGTTCCCCGGGATTTCCCTGGAGTACACTTGCAGGCTTCCCCGAGCTCTCAAACTTCCTCGACTTTCCCTGACCACGAGTAAAGTGTTCTTCCAGCTGCGCTATTTAACGGAGGACACTACTCCAAAGGGCAACCTTCTTAACCGTTAGCAAGATTTGTATGAAATCTGCAGGACGTATTGAACACTGTAAAAGAGGTTGCCACATGAAAGTACATTGAACAACCACCGTGCCCCCTTATCATTACCACTTAGACTTGGTAATGATAAGGACAGGTTCTTCCGATGAAACATAGTATAACATCATTGCCACACAGCTGCAGAGAGGAACTACAGAATTAGCAAAATTTTTATTTAAAATAAATAAATAAAAAAAAAAGGATCTAGACGATTTAGTTTTTGCATGTATACTAGGTTAAAGAAATAGCAGCTTTTTATTAGAAAAGAGCATGAAAATGTATTAAGTTCACAGTTTCGTCCTTTACAAACTTTCAGCATAGAAACTCCAAAAACTGGCTGCACACATCAATTCGTTTTGATGGCAAAAAGATTTTACCAAGACAAATGCGTTTGAATGTTCAGAAAGCTGCACTTCAGATGTGCAAGCAAGTTGAAACTTTCAAACAACATTTGTGACATGATCTGCAAGCTAATAGGACCACATGCTAACAAACATAACTTTAAATAATAATAGTAATTTTTTAGGTAGTTTTTTTTTTTTTTTTTTTAGGAGATTTGTGTTATTATGTGATACAAGACTGTGTATCAAACACTCCCTAGTATGCACGTTACTGTTTACGAGGTCTGCGGACTTCTGCGCTGCATTGTTTCATCAATGACGAAACTGGGAAGTTCCTTCGCTGCCATTCAAGGCAGATAATACCCCTTTCGTAGACATAGTACCGTCGACGACGTCAATTTACGAAGAAGCGACTCTACCGCACCGGAATCTTAACCGTGCAAGTACACTAAATGTCCGTGTTGGACTTACGACCTTGCCACGACCCTACTTGGCGGCAAACTCTCAACGCTTGCAGCCCACTGGGCCCCAAGCTAGTTGAAGTTTGAAGATCCGATACAAAATTTTGATCTGGAAAAACTGTACTCAGTCTATGCCTTCGTACATCCCTCGCTCATACACAAATTTTCATTTGTACGGTCGGCTCTCAGCAATTCAAAGTCGCGTTGTGCAAGGTCAAGAAAGTGAGGCGCCGAAGACGCCACATCGACAAATATTTCCTCTTCCTTTTACATAGAGAAACCTGCTCGTCAAATCAAATTACCCAACTTCCAGGCTCTTTATGTCAAGATCCTAAAAAAGAAACACCTCAAAGGCTTTGCCCACGACCCTGTTCCAACCAGACTGGGTGAGATAGTCTATAATTGGCCGACTTCCGGACAGCAGTGCCGAGAGTGTTTTTTTCCCTATGCGCCGAAGTACATTTGAAACAAATTATAAAATATATTGAGGCCAGAGATTTTCCCGTCTTTCACTAAAAAAGAAATCGGCAGATGTTTTTCACTGTTTATTTTTGTGATATCATTGTATTTGGATTATTTGTTTCAGACAAATGCAAAAAACGATGACCATTGGTGAGAAAATTTCATTTAAACTAAGAGTTCAAATCTAAGAGAGGGTTTCACAAACGCAGTCCTAGCTGGGGCAACGATTTTTAGAAAGCGGTGTTTTTCGGTTTTAATGGATTTCATAATGTTTACCTTGGGCGAATGTTTGTCAGTACTGTTCACTTAAAATCGGAAAGTTTCCAGTCAATATATGTTACGAACGCATTTTAACTACCAGAATATGCATACCCCAGTACTGACCCTCACCTGGTAGAAGGTGAACTTGAAGCCCAGCACCTGGCTTATGGTGGCAGGGTTGCGAAGGAACTTTGTCAGCAGAGGGACAAAGAAGTCCTCCAGATGGAGTCGGCACTCAAACGCCTCCAGAACCACGTCCAACACGCGGTTGGGGTCCAAATTGAAGCAGCCTGCAGAGACGAGCAACAAATCAGTCACAAACTAAACATACGCATCTCATATAATCCCAATATAATTTAAAAGCACTTAAATTGCTTGTATGAACAGCGTTTGTCACAAAATAAATTTCCAATAAAGTAACAGCTGCCACTTTTAAATGCACTACTACTTGCATCACAAGACTATTTTGAAGTCAAGAGCGATTCCAAAACATACCTCTATCTCTGGGTTGACGTCTCAAAATAGGAGCACGTTTCGAAATTGCTTCCAACTCAAAACATGCAAAAAAAAGAACATTGCACTAAAGAGTTGTGTTTTCAAATGAAGGTTTATTTTGGTGACTTATTATAAACAAATTAATTTTTGCGGGCTGAATGATTTTGCAAATTTTGCATAGTGTGGGTTCCGGAAATATTTCGCAGACACAAAATTTCGTTACCTGAAGCGACATGCCGTGTATGTGTGCTATATAGGCTGACACATTCGCATGATCAATTTTTGGCAATATATTTTAGGTTGTAAACTTCTTAAAAATAAGGTCCTCGTGAAAACTAAGCCATTAACAGCATCTGCCTTGTCCAGGTACATAAACAGTTTGGGGAGAGTTCAATGTCCCTTTAAAGGGACACTGAGCTCCCCTCAAACTGTTGTCTGCTTCGCACAACCAAAAAGACAAAGAAGAAAAAGAAAAAAAAAAGGTGGTCAAATGTGGCCCCATAACTTCCGGCAACTCTCTCCTCCTCTATATTTCTCCCTCCTCTCTAGTGGATAAGTCGCACCATTACTTCTTGCTCGTGTTTCGGTCTCAGGCAGTTGCGTTTTTTGGCTTTTTAACAGCTTGCCCACTAATAACGGACCATGAAGCTCGACCACAAGCGTGACTCATGTTTCGGTTTCAGTGTCTGCTTAGCGCGCTCTCCAGCAGAAGGCAAAACCCCCCCTGTTGCTCCATTTAGCTTATGTTGTATGTTTTGGCAGTTTGAGAGAGAGAACGCTTCATTTTGCCAAGAAAGAAAAAAGCAGTAGCTTGTAAGCGTTTGCGTTAGGACTACATGGCTTTGGCGCGGAGGCCCGCTTTAACCGACGAAGAGATACAAAACCTTCTTTTTGAAAGTGATCAATGCTCGGGCTCATGTGACAACGAATCCTTCGGCCTCTTCGATTTTTCGGAATCAGACGATAGTTTGATGGACAGTGACAGGAGTAATGAAAATGATTCGAATCCTTCAAGCATTCCATCAACTTCGGCGTCTGCATATCCGAGACTCGGACCAGAAGTCCCAATTCAGAGCAAGATACCACACATGGAAGTCAAATACGTTTGTGTCTTATTTTAAAGCAAACTGCCCATTTAAAACAACAATTTTGCTGTACATTCCTTAAAAAAAAAATGAGTAGGCAAGGGGTTAAAAATATACGTGAATCTGTAGCAAAATATTGATTGGGTAGCCTTTTGACACTACCGTAAAATACCAGGCGAGCGCTCACTAAAACTTTGGAGATAATCACAAAAAATGGGGGATGGGCGCTTGTCCGGTCATCAATTTTACATACAGATGTACTGTGTGTATTTTCTCAGATCTTACAAATTTGGTAATGGGCGCTTAATGTGGAACGGGTGAATGTGCGGTATTCTATGGTATATTAAATTTCCTGGCAAAAAATAAAAATTAAACTTGGGGGGGGGGGGGGTGTCAGCATTCCTTTAAAACAGTTGCGAGAATAAATAACTAATTGTAAAAGAGATGCACGATTTCTACAATATGCAAGAGGGTAATTAAGGTCAGGCAGACACTACCATAGAGCACCGCATGAAAACACTGTGCAGGATCGACAAAAGTTGAAACACAGGCAGACCAACTCGTGGACGAGTCAAAGCAAGGTGACATTAGTCGAGTCAAGGTGGCAACGATTTGAAATGATTCATCTAGCAGGAAAAAGTAAAGACAGCTAAAGGAGATAATATATTTCGTCAGACTACATCCCAATCAAGCACAAACGGGAACAGATTATCCCACAAAACCACTCAAGAAAGCAAATAAAACTGCAACAAGGCAGTGCAACAAGCTTTCAGTAAATGCCACTCGAAATTATTCCTCGGCACTTATAACCTAGAAAACACAGATTAGATTTTTCTCTACGCAGTGGCAGTCGCGGAAAATTTTTAAAGAAAAACAAGCGGCATTCCCTCCTTTAACTAACAGCCAGAACAGGCGGCTACGTGATCTGGTGCCAATTGTATACCGCCCATACAATCATAGTCACGCGCAAGTTGGCAAAGTGCAGGACATGTGCCAAGTTCCAGACAATGTTAGGGTTCAGCGACTTCGGTCATTACGGTTATCTGACACGAACTGCTACCCGAGTGCTCGTCGAGGCATTGGCCCGTCACGAACCCAAATCACGCGCTCACGCAGTGCTAGCGTCCAGTCTGAGTCACATTTGATAATCATCACCCCGCGGGTATCCAAACACTGCGACGCCCGTGACTCCAACACAAAGTTTCGCGAAGGAGAGACCGAAAGCCTTCATCCTTGAAATCGCACAGCCACAAAGAAGCTTCCTTGTCAGCGGTGACAGTGAGTAACATTCCAACTGAATATCATCGCACGGCTCCTTAGACGATTGCCGTTTATGGCCAACCGACGCTTTGCTGTATGTCTCCTGGCTTTAAAGCGTTTTCTTCCCGCATGCCATGCATTTGACTCCATCGACCCGGGAACACCGAACAATTCAAACCACCTCCCTGCCTCCTTCGCTACCGTCTCTGAAGTCACACACGTCGAGAAAGTTCCTCTCTCTAATGCTCTGGACCTTGAAAGTGTAAAAATGTGTGAGTAGATAAATGGAAAGAGTGTCGAGCGGGCCTCACCAATGAGCGAGCGCATCACTTCTATCATGTAATCGGGGCTGATCTTGCTGGTGATCTCCTGGCTCAGCTCCGTGGTCAACTTGGCGTAGCCCTCGCTCTCTTCCCGGAACAGGTTGTACTTGTTCTGCTTGTAGCTGCGCGGGACAGACCGGGCGCCATTGTAACGTACAACCACAATTTATATCGAAGCATGGCACGGCTCTATCCTACATCCAATCAAATCAAAGCGTGGAACTGCTCCATCCTCCAACCAATCAAGGCAAAGCACGGGACAGCTCCATCCTAAGACCAATCGAATAAAAGCGTGGAACAATCCCAAACTTAACGAATCAAAACAAGTAGCCCTCAAAAAACCTGTCCGACAGCCTTCCAACTGCCATGTCGTAGGTCGGACAGATTCCACCGTGGATGTGGCCAAAAGATCCACCATCCACACGGAAGAATTCGCATAAAGCGAACCTTTGCTTGTTTTGCTCGTTTGGCCTTTAGGTCAGTGTGTCAGGACCCCGTCCCAAACAGACAATGCACTCTGTGTCAGTCGGCTTGATGCGAAGTATTGAGGTAAATTAAAATTTTCGTGACTCTCCTACGACGAACTGTGGCAGCGGCGGCTCGCAATCTCCGATGTCACTAGTGACTATGAGTCATGCAGTTGATGTCACCATGTCACATGACCGCTAAAATGTCACGTGACATAAAGACGCTAGGCAGGTACATCTTAGACATAGATTGTCACGTAACCTATAGGGATTACACTAATGGGGAAAGGCTTTGTGCATACACCCACCACAACGCTGAGAAAATTTCGCCGCTAAATTTAGCAGGCAGATTTCTCCGCTAAGTTTAGCGGGAAACTGCCTGTGTGCAGCAGAGAATGCTGCGCCTCGGGTGTTGTCGGAATTAATCCGCAGGACACGACGAGGAACTGGGATTCTTTTTTTTTTTCCTCATAAGTGACACCCGGCCGTGTTATCGTGTTTTCACAACTTTTTGTGACACCCCGGACCTGAAAACTAGCCCTAAAACAAGTTCTATATTTAATACCACTTCTGCCAAGGTACGGCACGATGGCAACACTCACAACAGTCGTGTCTTGATCTTGACAAACTTGGTGAGCATGACACGGCTGTTCTTCACGATCCCGCCGTCTCCCAAGGTCTCGATGTCCAGCCGCTCCTTCAGCAGCGAGTCGGGAACAACCTGCAAACGAATGGCCACACCAGAATTCGCTAATCGTTTTATCGAACTTGCAGCCAGATAGCTTCTTCTAAGCACTTTGGTGTGGTCTTGTAGTGGCACTTTTCTGGCACTCGTGTCAAGACCATAAGCCTACAATTACGGTCCTACAACTACAGCCACCCTTAGATTGATCTGAACCCACCGGTGGCACCGAACCCATGAAGACGGCACTGAGGGGACAGGTCAAAAAGTTGCGAAAGTTGGGGAAGGGGAGCGTGCAAAAAAAAAAAAGGCCGAAAAGAAAGCAAAGACGTTCACTGCCGAAGTATGGGGATGCTACACAATGTCAATCGGAAGTGCTCCCAGTTCCTGTCTAACCCCATTTGAGATCAAAACTGCAGTGTGGCCTTCGAATCTGAGCGAGGAAGCGGCACATAAAACTCCCTCGCAAGCCACGGGTTACCAACCCGTCTTACGGTATCACTCGATGTCACAACGATGTCGTAGAGTCACATGGTGAAACATCACAATGGGACATTGTGGCGTCACGCGATGTGACAATGGGCTACGTCGTGCGACACCACAATGTTACAGAACGACCGTCACGCTAATGCCATTGTGCAAACACCGCAATGTTACCATTGAGGCTAATTCCCACAGACACGAAAGCACTACAAGCTGACCCTATGAATGATTTGCATTCAAAATGGTCAAAAAGGTGCGGCACCGTCGCATTTTCCGGCATCTATCATGTAATGAAAGCCAGAAAATGGTATCCAAAGATGTTACTTCACGCTTGCATCCTGTGCAGCCCGAAGCCTCGCGCCCCGCTGCACTCACTCTTACCGGCTGCAGAAGTCTCGCGAGTCAGGCGGGACGGCTCACCTTTGCACAGCCGCCGACGAGCCAGTAGAAACGGTCCCTCTGGTCACGGTTCTCCACCGACAGCGTCTCCATGTCTGAAAAACCACGACACTTGGGAACTTGCGCCTGCTGCAAGTGTCGAGCTTGCACCTCTCGTATCTCTTCACAAAGTCATGACACAAAAAAAATTACATGTCATGTCTCTTCACAGAGCAGAGACCTAACAAAAAGACATGATAGAAAGACATGACAGAGAAATGTGACAGAGACGTGAAGCGAAGCAGTGAAAGAGACATGACAAAGAGACACATTGTGTCTCTTTACAAGGACTTGACAGAATGACTTGACAGCGAGACATGACGGAGACGTGACACGAAAATGTTAGAGACACGACACAGACATGTCATGTTTCTTCACAGAGACCTGACAGTATGACACGACAGCGGGACATGACACAAACATGGGAGAGTCATGTCATGTTTCTTCACAGGGACCTGACAGAACGACACAACAGCGAGACATGACAAAGATGCGACAGAATGGTGAAAGAGACATGACAGACGCGGCACAGACATGAGCAAGACATGTCATGTTTCTTCACCAAGACACAACAAAAGACATGACAGAGAGATGCGACAGATCGACATGACAAAGACGTGACCCAGGGGCATGATAGAGAAACACAAGAATGAGCAGCTCACCCAGCAGAAAGATGACGTCGGCCAGCATCGAGGGCAGCTCCTGATGCAAGGCCTAGACGAGACAGTGACACTCTGGAGATTGTTTTCCACTCCAGTGGCGGCGGACAGAACCAAGCGCAGCCACCGCCGCCGTCACTGGATGGGCTCGGCCCAGACTTACAGTCACTTCGGCCAGTGCCGACACAGCTTGCTCGACTTTCAGGCGATCCTCCAGCACGTGCCAGCAGAGGTCGTGTAACAGAAGCTGCATCTCTGCAGCAGCAAACAAACAGCACAAAGTTAACCCAGAAGTGGAAACAAGTTTTGAACTCTTTCCAGTATGGTGCCTGGAGCACATCGCTCACAGCTACGTTTAGTCTTCTGTTCTATGCATGCAACGAAAGCGGTCGTGAAGTGGCAACGAATGATGTCACAAAAGTCAATGTCATGCTGTCTGATGTTGAAAGTCTGGCGGTTGGACGTAGTTCTGGACAAAAGTGCGAGATAATGTGAGTGTCGCCGTTATCACTGGATTCCAACAGACCGACACAACCAAGCGTTCAGCGCACACGTGATGCTGCCCTAACTTCAGTTCACTAGAGGCAGGCGGCCAGGGGCGGAACGGTTTGTGCCGTCTCGTGCCCTACCCACGCAGAGCTCCGTCAAGGTTGCTGCAGATGCTGGAAGACTAAAGTTCCCTCAATGCATTGCAGCAGGAGTGGCATAGTCAAACTGGCTGGTGATGTTGGTATGCTCCTAGCTGCCGAAGCTTGCGCGCACCGTCAAGCTGGAGGGCAACCCACAACAGAACAGGCGTCTGCCACATACAGCACCACTGTTGCGACACTGTAAGGATCACAGACGGCGACAGCATAGCAATGTGATGACGTCACCACATGGAAATAAAGGGACCACTTTTTAGAATGTCGCAATTGAAGAGCCTTTTGGAGGCCGGGTACAGTCAGTTATTCCCAGTGTGGTGACGAAGCCGTTGGGGCGGTTTGCTTATGGTCCTCCGGAGACACTTGCTGAAAGATGTGGTTTCTCCTCCCTTTTGGCGAGCCGTTTCGCATAATATTGAGGCTGTGGCGTCGAAGTCTGGTGTTAACACATTTTTTAGAGTGCTACACAAGCTTATGATCCTAAAAAAACACTGGGATCACGTGGTGTTTTGTAAAATGAGGGTTGTTCATGACATACCCCTCAATTGTGTCTTTTTTTACATAGGACAGACTAGTCGTTGCTTAAAAGATAGCCTTTTAGAGCATAAAAGGGCAATTAAATATAAAGCAACAAATTCCTATATTGCAAAGCATTTGGACAAATGTAACAACTGTGAACCCAAGTGGAAGAGCACTGAGGGCTTACATAGAGAGGCAAGAAACAGTAGGCGAGTGCTAAGAGAAATTATGCATATTGTAAGCTCTGGAAATTGTATCAGTCAACCCTTTGTATCTTGATATGGGAACAGAAAGTTTCCTGGCTCTGTAACTTACCTGCTTTTTTTTTTTTGGGGGGGGGGGGGGGAGGGGGGGGGGGAAGGGGGTTGGGTCATTTGCGGGGTACATATTTTGACCTTGTTAAGTACGGGAAGAAGATTGTGGCTTGGGTTTATTCTTTTTTCGTGCCTTTTGTTTGTGTTCTTTTGTGTTTCGGTTTTCGTGTGCGGTCTATCCATATTGATAAGAGTTTAGGGTACACTGTGTAGTTTGGGTGAGGACGTGTTTTGAATCTGTGAAGGAGGTATTTTCGTTGAATTAACTTCAAAGCTGTGCTTAGACTTGATTGTTCTGCTTGCTTTCTTATTATTCCTCTGTCCCACGTGTATTATGGATGTCATTTACCAGCTCGCCCACATTTTTTCTCTTTTTCTTTTGTAGTAAACAGACAAGTAAAGAGATACATTCCAGGCACCATACTATGGGTAAGCAAATCCTCACAGCCTAAATCATCCCTCTATCATGAGTCTCGACAGGGATTCTACGCATGGCTTGTATGTGACATCATAGCACCATGCGGGTGGTCATTCTTACTTGATCATGCCAAGGAAAACTAATTTAGGTGCAAAATAGACACTAAAGAAGGCAAGCGTCAGCACAACGGCCACTTATGTGGCATCAATGCAGGTCATGTATAGATTATTATATAGAATCTACAAGAATAGATCCTACAAAATAGATAAAACCTTGTTTTAGTAGAATAAATACAACTTACACACTTACACAATGACCTATGAAATGCATATATTTGTCTTACAGAATTTATACAAAAAAAAAAACGAGAAATTTTACAAATTTGAGCGCGCTAAGTTACAGGGATAAGGAAAGCGACATATAGGATGAAGATGTCGCTTTCCTTTTATCCCCCACAAAAAAAAAGTCAAAACTTTTCAGGTTTGGCAGACCTTTTATCAGTAAACTTAAAAGTGAAGTATGGTCTCTAGAATTAGAACACAAATTCGGCAAAATAGTATTAAAACCATTACCTCAAACTCGTGCTGATGAATTTATCCGAAACATTTAAATGCGATCCCAATAAATAAGACAACACAATAAATAAGACACAAGGACAGGTAGAAGACATACAGGGCTGTGTTAGTGTCTCTCTTCTACTTGTCATGTGTCCCTCTTGGAGCTGTTTTGTGTTATTCTGATCATGCTGGGACTCACCCAACTACGCACCTCGTTATATAAAGGTGATATCTGCGATTCTTTACTTTTCAACGTTAGACCCATCGCGGTTAAGTACAGTAGTCGAGTACAGCCCAGGTAATACAAGTGCAAAAGGTGCATAGATAGCTTACCTTTTCCACCTTTGTCGAAAGGCAGCCTCGACGTCTGCATGCATGATGCCGCTGAGCGACATAGTTTGACACTAGAAGAAGCAAAAATTATAAACTTTTTAGATCACATATTGTCAATAAGATCGTCATAACCGCTCTGTCGAGTGCAAAAATATTTCGTTACACATGAAAACTACGTTATAACGATACATACCGTTATAACGTCTTTTTCTGCGACTAACAGCCAAGCGGGCATGTTTTTCTTGGGAGCCCGTTCGCGTGGCGAAAGATGAATGGAAGCGGAAGACGCATCAAGGTAAACAAAACGTGTCTCAGTACATGTAATCGCAGTCCATTTAGTACATAATTATGACTGTAAATGGAAGTACAGCTACATATACCTTTATTTGCTTTGTGATAGCAAGCGAATGCCATCGGCTGTTACACAAGCGCAAATCGGCAGGGTTCTACGCATAGGCCTAACATAATCCGTAATTTCTCGAAAGCGCAAAGATGAAGGCAGAGTTTTAGTGTCTATAAACCGCCGGTAAGCTTTGTTACTCAAAGAGGGTATGTGTGTGTCGACTTACAAGTCCGATTTCCCCGTCCTTTCCCAACTTTTACAAATGTCCAACGGTACAGACCGGCCCGCCATGACGGACCTCGCAACTTTAGAAGAGATGGATGGACAACGACAAGTTCATAACAGATAACATTATGGACCATTACCGTAGTCATTGTTGAATGGGACGGTAGCTAGCGCCGTTGGTCAATAAAACGAAACTAAACTACCCCACATTTAATTTACCTCGGTGTATAACTATAAGGAATAAATAAACAGTTCAAGCATGTATAATATTATAACAGTATTTTGAAAAATTAACAAACGGGTTGACATTGACGTCGTTTAGTTTCGGATGTCTTCATCAGTGGCGCCACCGGCGCTTGAAGGATTTTGTGCTGGCTGTTTCAACTTTCCAGTTTCCGAAATATTCTGTCCTCAAGTTTCTCGCGTGACAAGCAAAAACAAGGCATATTTCCTGGAGACTCGAAGGTGTGTCCATTTAAATTAAACAGTCTCGAATCGCTTGCACTCGTGCACTGTAGCTACATTGGTTACTTGAATTTGTTGGGAGATACCGCTGTAGCAGCGCTCGCGTGATCGTTTTTCTCACGAGGTGTTTGTTTTCCCGATTTTAAAACCAATTTCTTGCTGGTTTCTATTGGATTCCACAGACATGGGGTCGTCAGGAAGCACTCGGAGGGTGACCATCGTCAACGAGAACTCCCCAGATGTCATCAAGATCTCGGACTCCGTGGTGAAGCGGCTGAAGGGTGAATCCGAAGCGATCACCGCCTCGAGCGCGCCTCGAACCACGGCCAGCGCTCCGTATGACACGCGAGGCAGCGGTGACGTGATGCAGACCAGAAAGCTGTACCACGAAGAGCTGAAAAAAGTGGACGACGCGTGGAGGGAGCGACTCGCCGAGGTCGAGCGACAGAACCAAGAGCTCTACAAGCTGGCGACCGACAAGTTCGCCGGCGCCGTCAACGAAGTCGAGCAGAAGTACATGAAGCACAAGTGCGTGGCCATTTGCGAGGAACAACAGCATAAAGTGTTGGAGTGCTACCAGAAAAATCAGCACGCCCCGCTGAACTGTTCCAAGGTAGTGGACGCCTTCACGAAGTGTGTTCACCAAGCGAGGAAAAACATCATCACTCAGTAGCGTTCGCGACGTCCGACATTTAAGTTGTCGGGATGTGTCGAGTTTCTTGGCGTTTCGTTGTCTCTGGGACAGCGTAGCAGTTAATATAGTTGAATAAATGATATACCGGGCATTTGTTTTCGTGTTTGAGTTTGTCAAGCCAGTCAAGCCGGCCTGGGGTCACTGTAATGATTGGTTTCAAGGGTGCGGCGAAACCAACACGGAACATGTTCAGACCAGGTAAAAGATCGAATATTTGCTTGTAACATGCATTTCAGTCTTGGCAAAACGCACTAAAGTTAAGCATAACGCCGTAACTTATATTAATTTGCGAGGATACCCCAGCACTTCACAAAAATCAGTTTCCTGAGCAGACGACAGCAACCGAAAATGTTGACTCGTTGGCAGCGCCTCCTGCTCCGCAATCTTATACAAAACAAGGACCTTTCTGGCGGACTGTTTTATGGGGCGGTTCAGTTTAAACTTCTTTGGGGCCTAGATTACAAACTTCGAAGAGTAAAGCTATACGCACTCCGGAGTGCGCTTCGGACGGAAATGGCTATACGCACTCCGCTTTTCTCGTATAAAAAGAGTGGACACAACGAGCTTCCTAACCGGTGCCATGGCATAGGGGTTAGGGTGCCCGCTTCATACGCAAGTGGACGCGGGTTCGATCCGCGGTGGATCTACTTTTTTTTTTTTTTTTTTCTCAAACATTTTGTTTTGTCGAGGCATTTGGCGATATTTACGACATTTCCTTTTTTGCGATGAACAGTAAAAAAAAAAAAAAAAAATCGAATGTTGTCGAGAAACTTCGCAGAACTAAATGGTATCGGACTCCCTTTCCGGAGGTGCGATCGGGGGCAGCGGGGCTTGGATTGCCGGCTGGACGCCGCGAAGCGGCGTGTACTGGTTACGCTTTGTAATTAACAGCCGATACTGTCGCCGCGAAGCGGCGTGAACGCAGGCGGGGGGCTGTGTTAACGAGCGCCCCAGTGATTCACGCGCCGTTCGAAAAGGGTGGCCCGAGCGGCATGATCTCTCGGAGGAGTGCGTATAGCCATTTCCGCGCGAAGCGCACTCCGGAGTGCGTATAGCTTTACTCAACTTCGAATGTGTCCGGAAACGGTGATAATACGATATTTCGACGCCTAAAAATGCGATCAAGTGCTGTAAAAGGTAGCCAGGGAGTTGGGGCAAACGACTATCAAATTTCACACGGTTTATTTTTGGTTTGATCGCTCCGAAACGACGAAAACAAGAGGCGACGACCGATGGGGCACCAGTACGAATCTCTTCGAAATGATCTCGTTGACATGGGCTATTCGGAGACTTTCGGCGCAGAATCGGCGTCTTTGATAGCTAGACTTTTCGCGGATGTGTGTTCCTACAAAGAGCAATGTTCCGATGCGAGGAACAAGCTACGTGCGGTGCTCCAGGTATGCTTTCATTTGGGTCTGTTCCTCCGGGAGAAACCCACCTGACCTGCATTAGTCTAATTGTTTTATCGATTTTTTGTCGTCAAACAGGAAAAGCAGGAAAAGGACGCTATGGCTGAAGCCTACCGACAAGCGAACGCCAAAGCGATCGTGGAAGTGAATGCTCTGCACCAAAACATGATGTATTTCAAAGAAGATCATCTTCGAAAAGTGAAAGGTGATTGCGACGATAATCGTTTTACTTGCGATGTCCTTTCTACATGTATTTTTAAATCCTTCGATCAGAGTTTTTCAGCAGCGTAGGTCATTCTGAAAGCAACGCTACTATATAATAGTTGCACAGTGAGAACCTCCATTATTATAATTTTCGTGATTACATGCTACTAACTTTTGTGTCTGTTTTGTTTTGCCTCGGGAATCAACTTGCAGTGCTACCGACATGCTATCAAATGCTGGCGGCGAAATAATGGCCGTTAATAACGGGAAGAAAACCTGGTACAAATTGCCAACACTTAAGTCTTGTCCGGCATTTTGACCCAAGCAGAAACTTCACATGCAAGGTTTTGAATTATTTACTGCACACAATCATTTCTCTAGAAGCAAATTTACAGGCTAACCTCATACACCTCACTATATGTGCTATTCACTGAGTGCCACATTTGAGCGCGGTATTCACAGTGCGTACTCAGAATGAGCCCCCACTTTTTATAAAAGAACTATAATCTTGGTGGTGTGGGATGCACATTGGGGAAGCATTGTGGAAACTCATCATAAGCTCGCACTTAGCAGCAATGGACTTGATTATGGCCACCAGTGAATACCACTTAGTGCTGGATAGATGGATGGATAGATACTAGGCTGTACCCTTTATAACGGCCAATAGCATGCGCCACATGGCCTAAAAAAAAAAAAATCTGGTTTCTTCTTTCCCCTTTTTAAGCCAATGCATTTTTGTAACTATCACCAGGCAGTCTTTTTGGGGAATGAGCAAAACAACTAAGACGATTTTCCGCCTCCACCCCCTGACGAGGGAGTCGTTAATTTTCCTCTGGTTTAACCTTGTCAGCGTCAGCTCACACCAGAACCCTGGAAGACAGGGTTGAGACTTTGGGCCAGAGTCACATGGGGTGAAGTCCCAATTCTCTGTCCCCCAGCTGTGCTAGTTAGTTTTACTTTATCCAAGTTTCCCTAGATGATTTCCACCAACACTACCACCTTCTCTTCGTTGCTGTGCTCTTCTATAATTCACCTAGCCCCCTCCTCCAGTGAAATCCAGGGCTACCAGTACATATGTCGCCCCTTCAGGAAGGGCAGAACTAAGCTTCTTAGAATTTAGAATCGCACTCTCAATTGTTTCCGCATCTCGGAGCATAGTGTTGCTCGGTGGTAGATGCAAATCAAGCTTGACTACAGACGAGTACAAAGAGTGTGCTCTGCAGTTGCCAACTTTTTTTCTCGGAGGCTGTGCTGCCTGTGCTCCCCATCAGAATGACCGTCTCAATCTTCCGCAGCAAAAGCTGTTAGGGGGTCTTCTCCCCCGCTCGAAATGACGTAGGATGCTTGTCGTCTATGTCTCCAAATGCCTGAAAAAGAAAACTCCCAAAATCCGTCACAGTTTTCTTGGGATTGGCTCCAAGTCCGCTGATCGCGAAGAGAACATGCTACCAAAGAGCCACGCCGGCTGCTTCAACCCATCAACTAAACCGCATCCTTTTTAAAATAAACCCAAATATGCACAGACTAACATGTTCAAAAATTTTCCTCTTCTTGCCAATTCGGATTGGAATAGCCTTCTGAGGGAAATTGCCTCCATCAGTGATTGCGAGTCTTTCGTTGCCACCCTAAACATGATGCTGCTTGTGTAGGCTTTGTTGAATTGAAATTTTTTTCTTTCATGTTGTGCACCTTTTCTTATGGTACCTTTTTTATGTAAACATTTCTATAACTGCTGAAAGTGCCGAAATGCGTTGATATATTGTTTTTTTTTTTGTAAGCATGCATTGTTTTCTATTGTTTGTGCGTGTTGCTGCTTGGTTTTCATTTTTCAAATTACTGTACCGTTGTTCCCTCCTATATAATGCCCATGAGGGCCTTTAAGCTTTATAAATGATAAATTACCACAGTTACGGTAATGTTGATCGCGCCGACTGATTCTCTCACCGGGTCCGTTAGAGGGCTTCTGTACATATAAAATAAACTTGTGCGTCATCCTTCGTCCGCTAAAGGGTTGGTGCACATGTGCAGTGCCATCGCGCGGTTCGCAAGATCAATCGCAGTTTCATCATAAGGTCATCGCACGTTTTTTGCAACATGCATAAGGATACATTATGTTCTGATCAGGTGTCACAGCCATCACTCCGACCACGCTGTGGATTCACACAGAACTGGTCCTTTTTTTTTGCAACATGTGTTTTGCACAGAGCTGGAGGGCCTACTTCACAAAGCCGAGGAGCACCGACGCAAGTGCGAGTTTGTGAAGGTGGAGTGCCAGAAGAGGGTCAGTCTCCTGGAAAAAGAATCGCAGCTCAAGTCCGACAGGATCCTGCAACTTCAGTCACGGGCATCGGCGCAAGCCATCATACATGTCACAGGTCTGGCAACCTCCGGTATTGCTCCAGAGGCCACCTCTGTTCCACCGCACATTGCAGTTCTGGCCTCCATCTAGCGTGCATAATAATAATAATGTGCCTTATTGAGCCGATGGGACCACTCAAACGGCGTCAAAAGCGCAACATCGTGGTGTTTGTCATACCCCTTTACGTGTTCTATCATTGCTAAACAAATTATGTACAGGGAAGGCCCATCGACTTGCACTTTTAGTAGTGTTAATGGTTGTATCTGTTTGTGTCTTTGACTGCATTCAGACATGATGAAACAAAGTACAATGATGGTGCCTTGCTTTTCTTGTAGTGCCCAGAAGCAACTGTAATGCTTTTTGTGTGGCATATTAAAGGGGCACTGACACCCCAAAGGTCGTATTCTTTTTTATTGTCTAAAACGATGCAAGTTGTAGTCATAGACACGCAAAGAAAATCGCATCGCGAAAAAAAAATTTTTTGCGCGCGCGCGCGCCTTTTTATTTTTGGCGTTTATATTTCCCGCGCTAACCTCCTTGCTTCTTTTGATCGGTGACGTCAAAAATCAGGAAATTTTGAAGCTTTGTAGGCGACATTTCTATAACATTTAATAACGGCAATCGTAAAACATGTTTTTTAACGCAATGACGAACGCACTACGGCCTTTCTTTTTGGAATACCAAAAATCAGATTTCGGTGTGATATCGCTTCCTGAATTTGTGTTCTCCCTCGGAAACCTTGGCGGCGCTCGAGCAGAGGCTTATCGCCATGTCGGGGAAGACCGGTTTTTCCCCGTGTCGGCTCCCTTCTATCCCGCCTGCTCACCTCCTCCTCTATTCGGGTCGCGGTAGCAACGGCGCTTTGCTTCACAGCGTGGTGCGGAGGTCCGAAAGAAAGTCGAGTCGCAGGAGACCGCAAAATTTGACTCACTGCGCTGGCGCGGATCGCGCGGGAACTTCAAATTCGGCATTTGGAAATTGTTTTTTTTAATTCACAAATACTGAATTCCCAAGTTTCGAATTTTGAGGGTAATGTCCCGGCATCATTTTCAATCGTTTCGGATAATAAAATAAATTACGATTTTGATGTGTCAGTGCCCCTTTAAAGCTTCCCTTTGACAAAAGAAAGTGCACTTGTACACTTTCTGTACAAGCAATTGTACAAAGCTGCAGAAAACCTAAGGCTATTGGAGATAATACATATGGTGGATACAGAATTTACCTAGGTACAGAATGCACACAATATATACAAGGAAAGCAAATTTGAAGACAGATATAAAAGAAAGTAAAAATGAAATTATAAAAACGCAGCAACATCATGGCTTTAGCGCAGACGGTGTACACTAGTTGCAGGGTCTCCTCGAATACATCAAGACCATGAAAAATATCCGAATCGCACTATATAATGTTGTAAGCCATCTGCACTCTTGGGAACGGCAACTACACAAATTGTGTGAGGACAAAATACTGGAAGTGACAATAAAATACAAGAAAATCGGGGTAAAGTGCAAGATCTTTCTTTTCTTTTTCTTGGGTAGGAGGGGTAGGGAAGGGGGTTCATTTTCACCAACACACATAATCATTTTTTGAGTTCTTAGAGAGATGATTTCACTGCAAGAAGTTTTGCATTTTAATATCTAAAATTTCTCCCCACAGAGGCCACGAAGGCCGCTCCATCGCACCGTGCGCAAGGCATGGAAGTCACTTCCTTGCTGACGCGGCAGCAAGGGAGCACTGGCGGCGGCCATGCTACTACACCCAGGCATCCCAGGGATGCCCGCGAGATTGACGTTCTTCGGCTGGCGGACACAAGGATTCACCAGCTTCAAGACGAACGCCAACAGCTCAAGGAGTCGCTTCACCAGTCGAGGGCCACTCTGGAGCTACTGCAGCAACGGGCAAGTATGCCCAGCTCCCTTCTAGGGTTCGCGCCGGAGTCACCGAACGTTGCCACCGCCGGACCCGTAGACTCGCTTTTCAGATTGCTATGCGCTACGGGCAGAGGCTGCATTGCCGGGTACTTGGCCAAAACCTAACTTTAAATGTTGCAGGTGCAGATTGTGCTGTCTTTCACAGGCAGCTGAGACACAGTCACCAAAGCTACTATACTTGGTTTTAGCTCACGACGGACTGCAGCGGTCACTACGGGCCATTTTAGCCAATCAGGCGCCGTAAACGCATCGCGTGACTACGTACCCCACGTGTCACTGCACCCCAACCGAACGCCACGAGATCCTCGCACAGCACTGGATTGACTTGGATTGGATCGGAGTGCAGTGTGGTGGAATGGCCACTATCCTGGTTGCTAACTTGGCTGTAAAACTTGGTGGTCGGCAATAGCCTTTCCCTAAGATTAAGAGAAACGCAGATGTCACGTTTGTGCCGACAGTGCCGTGCCGACAGTGCCGTGAAGCGTGCATCTACCGAGCTTGATTTGCAAAGAAGAGTTTGGGGCTCTACCACTTACGTTTGCATGCATGTAGGAGGAGCATGCAAATCGTGCTGATCGTGTGGTAGAGAGAATTAGACCTGCCGCAATAAAAACTGCAGAAAATGAAACCGACAGTAATGGGCATCGAACATGTATGTTATGTACTATATACATTTGATTCAGACTAAGGGCCACTAAAGCACTTTTTGAACGTGGTTTTTCATGCACAAACTCAATCTATGTGTAGTAAAGTTGGAAGCTGAACTATCTTGTTGTACATGGTTATCAAAAACAGCTCAAAAGACAAGGACAAAAGAGGACTACAGTCGAACCTCGATTTAGCGAAGTCATCGGGAGCCGCTAATTATTTCGTTGAATCGGGAACTTCGTAAAATCGAGGAAGGGAGACCTCGCGCATAGGCTGCGCGGGGAATCCGAATAGCCTCGTTAAATCGGGAAATTCGTAAAATCGGGTTTCGTTAAATCGACGTTGACCTGTATATATGACAGGACAAGTGTTGATGTTGTGATTGAACATTGCAACATGCCTCTCTTTCTGAGACGTATGTCTCAGAAGAGGGGGCGTAATTCAGGGCTTTCTAGGGTGCATAGGCCGAGTTTGCGCCATACAAAGACGACCTCGGAATCCACTTTAGTGTCCCTCCAATGTTGCCACCCACTGTTTCTCGTTTCAAGGTGGAGGCGCGAGACAGGGAGATTGAGCGTCTCTCCAGGCTGCTTCGAGACGGCATTCCCTACAAAGCGCTCTCGGAGAACGGGAGGTGCAGCTGCAAGCTACAGGTGAGGAGAGACCGACGCACATCGGTCCGCCCGACCAATGTACGACTTGGACTGTAGTCACTAAAAAGATTGACCCACCCAGACCCCCCTCCCAAAGCCTGTAGCTTCGTTAAATAATTAAATAAAAATAGGAACGCCCGGGTGTTATTTCTTTAATACCTGGCCTCCGCACGTGCTCATTGCCTTCCACCGTTCTTAATGTGCACACTCAAAGCTTACAAGACGCAGAAGCAGTGTCAAGGGTAGGAAGCTTTCACTGGAGGCGGGACAACCAAAGGATCTCTCTGTTGTTCTTATCCTGTCACGGACTGTAGTGTGGGCTTCATTATTCTAGGCAAACTTTTATAGGGTAGTAAACCAAAACCTACGGGCAGGAGTGATGTAATGATTGTCGTTTAACGATCGCGATTTTGTGATTGTGCTCGTATTGTTTTTTTCTCCCGTGCTCATCTGCAACGTCTCAGGAGGAGCCTGCGCCAGACCCGAAGGTCACTCTTCCGGCGGACCAGGCGCCGTGTCCCGAGCTACGGAAGTCCGTGGCGGCACTCAAGCCGGCGAAACACGTCCGTAAAGTCAACGTGAGTTTTGGGGTTTGACGCGGTCGGGCGTTTAAGTGATGCTGAAGAATGTTCCCTTTACAGTTTGGTCACCTGCAGCGCAAGGCAGAGCCACTCGGCAAGGACCTGAAGCAGACCAAAAACGTGAGGAAAACTGTTCGTTTTTGCGAGCAAATTGTGAGAAAAAGGGCTACCGGAAAACATTGAGCAAGTGCCCACCCGAAATGGGCCTTTTGCGGGTGACGAGCGCTGTCCGAGTGGTTCTCCGCAAACTACAAATGAAGGGCAACCCAGAATTCCTCTGCTTTTCAAGACGCAATGGCATCATGCCATTGTATTGGGTTCCATTTGCTCCTTATGCACCATGCTACCAATGCTCCCGAAGGAGTCTTAAAATAGGACGTAACATGGATGAAGATAGGTGCCGACAGTATCGGTTGTACGGGACAGTGCCCTCCAAAAATGGCGACAGCGGGAAGATAGGGTCTGGACAGAGGGTGTACGGACGCGCAGAGGCTTACTAGAAAAAGGCCCATTTGGAAGTATAATCTCGAAAAACGGGGGATATGCACTTGTTTGGCCCATGAGCAAAAATGCGCTTGGGGCGCTGAGAGGACGGGCTTCACCGCTTTGCACCGAGATGCTTGGAGAAGTGACTGTTGTAGAGGTGCGTTGTCACGATCAGCATGACTCGAAACACTAGATGCAGCCTTTTTCTCTGTCCGCTGTCTCCACGATCCCTGTTATATTTTACGGTTTGTCAAAGAGTCTGAAGAGACCTCAACTTTACATTTCATATCTAAGTAGTTTGGACCACAGCTCTCTCAAAAAGTGGCAGGTGTGCTAAAGGAGGACGAAGTACCGTTTCAGCTCTTATTAAATGCGATGGTACCTTCGTTAGCTAGGTAAGCTCAGAAGTCTGAGAAGGTGCACTTGATATATGTCCTTTGCATGCTCGGTATTTGACAGTAATCGGACTAGTGACTGTTCTTGCGATCTTCTAAAAAGCGCAGAGACCTGCTAAAGCAGGGGTGCACAACTCAAAAAATGGTGCAGGCCAAAAAAAATGTTTATTGGGAACTGTACGGGTTTTCAACATCTGGCAGATAGGTTTTCAATATCTGACACCATCGCATTGGTTGCTGTCTTGAGCACATCTCGCAGTGTCCTGTCCACGGGCTGCACAGGAAGTGCCGCATGTTGTGCACCCCTGTGCTGCTTTACTGGTGCTAGTCTATGTATTGTGCATGCTATTGTGTATACCTGTGTAACAGCCACTGCTTCATCTTGCAAGTTTTAGGGTGTGAAGGCAGCATGCCATTACTTCACACCAGCATGGCGGCTTCTCCTGCATGCACCTCCGGATTGCGGAAAAGTATTTGAGAGGGAAATCTGTGTTTATGGACATGCACAATTGCACTAGCTCCTTACGAAATTTGAGTATTGAACCTGGCACATTAGCAAGATTCTTTTAGATGCATATCATTCATGAAGCCAGCCCCGAACAATGTCATGTCCGTAAAGTGTGGCATCAATGGTAATTCGTCGCTGTGATGGCGTAAGGGCGTTCACAGGATGTCATCAGGGTTTGAAAAAGTTAATTGTGACATCATCATGTAAACAGGTCACGGCATGGCAGTCGTGAATCAGGTAATAATACGGCGCAATATTGTGATGTCTTGCGACACTGTGATGCCACGTGGTTGCAAGACATAAGGTCACTTGACCATGTGCTTTTCTCATACCCTTGTGACGTCACTTCACAACACCAGTGCGACATGTGGTAGTGTCGGTTGATGTGATCTGACATTGTGTTGTCACGGGAGACCCGTGAATGCCATATATTTGGAGTGCCTTTAGGATGTGCGAAAGACGAGCGGCTTTCTTATTGCGCCACCTTCTGGTCTGCTCGAAACTCCTTGTTGGACAAGTCTGATTTACTTGAGCTCCGTGCAGACACTTGTATTATCAGATGCCAATTCGTAGTATTCGTGAACCTTCTATAGAGTTTTTGGGGGCAAAAACAACGAAATGTGGGTGGCTTTTCACGTGATCAGAAGCGCCTTGCAAGCAGTGGCGGCGAAGACGCATCCTGTGCGGAGAATGCCAAGTTCCGAGAGGTGCTGGAAGCTCTGCGGCTGGAGAAGAGGACGCTCCAAGAACGGGTGCAGCAGATGGCCAGCAATGGTGCGTCGGGACTTCTTTTTTCGCACGAACAGAAAGACTGGTGTACGATTTCATAGTCGTGGGGACAGTGCCACACTCCGATCTAGCAGAATGCAAAAACAAGTAAGCCTCTTTTGACGAGCATTTAGAGTTTGAAATATGAGCTTTTTGGAGTCTTGCCATCCACACTGGTGCTGAAAGAGGTTGAAGTTTGGTGTGGTGTTGAGCGAGCCTCAAAGCTCTAGGATTTGTCAGATACTAGAGCTTTCTAGAGTTGGAGCCCTCTGCATTCATTTGAGCTAGAGCTCTCGCTAGAACTCTCACGAGAGCTAGGCCTCTCACTAGAGATGGGGCCCTTCAGCTAGAAAGAGTAAAGTCACTAGAGGTAGAGCCCTCAGCACTCAGTTAAGCTAAAGCTCTTACTACAGCTAGAGCTCTCACCACAGCTAGAGCTGCCTTTAGAGCTAGAGTTCTCACTAGAGCTTGAGCCACCGTGACTAGAGCTCTGGAGCTACAGTGAGCAAACTTACTAGACTTCTCAGTTGAGCTAGAGTGGGCAAATTTACCGGAGTTAGTCTTAAGAACTCATGCAAAGGAAAAAAACTTTTTTTTTAAAACAGGCTAGATGGAAAAAGAATATTATAAAACGAATTTACAACGAAGAAAAAAAAAAGTTTAGAGCTATATTTACGGCGCAAAGCGAATTTGTAGTTGGCGCCCACGGGAGCCACCGCTGGTCACTTGGCGGGCCTGTGCGCCGCAACGCTGTGTCGCCGCCGCCATGAAGTCACGCTGCCGCCACATGCTGAGCATTGTGCAATGCCGCAACAACACGTTTCTCCACGCTGCCGTCGCCGCCGCTGCACAAGTTTGTCTGCTTCGGGGCGCCGCCGCCGTCATCTGGCCGGCGCACAGGTCTATCATGTCTGCTTGCGCTTTTTCAGGAGTTTCCTTTGGGCTCTAAAAGTTATTTATTAATCGTCGTTTTTTTCTTATACTTCAAACAAAGATAAATCAGTTACTTTTAGAGGCCACAGGAAGCTTCCGAAAGAGCGCAAGCACCACGTGTTAAATAAGGGCCACTTTTCTGCTGCGCCCGCCGGCGCCAACTACAAATTCGTTTAGCGCCGTAAATATAGCTCTAAAAATTTTTCTTTTTCGTTATAAATTTTTTTTTAATTTTTTTTTTTTTCCTTTGCATTCATCTTTTAAGGGGGGATGTGAGGCCTTAAAGTAATTTTATTATTTATGAAAGAATACTTATTATACTATACACTGATATAACACATCTCACACCTAATCCAAATATGCAATCAGATATTGAATATCTTTATTAAAACCCGAGTTGCGAAAAATCTCTAATTTTAATAAATCATTTATTACGAGTCATTAAAATTTTTTTTTTTTCGTAAATTATTAAAAAATGTTAATCATTCACAAAGCTGTAATTTGTGCAGTGATGCTATTTTAGATCTCACCTGAGAGGGTTATGTTACTAAAAAACGATTGTAATTAAAGTGTGAAAGACATGCTTTCTTGTTATTTACGGAAGTAGTTAATCGGATAAAACTCTCTTTAAGTTGGAAGATTATAAAAATAGCGTCATTGCACAGGTTCATTCTTCCCGATTAAAATGGCACCAAACGTGGTAATAATGTTTAAGACAAACTTCAGAAAACGCCCGTAAGGCATCGGTACTTGTGAAAGAAGTGTGAAGAGAAAAAAAGGAAAGACGTCTACAACTTCCTGTAATGCCGAATTAGAGTGCAGCTCTTGAGGAGGAGAAGGGGAGGGTTTAGAGGGGACGGTATGCTCCTCTTCCTCCTCTCCTCTCCTCCCTCCCCCTCCTCCTTCTCCCACCTCTTCCCTCCTGTGTGGTGCATTATGGGAAATGTCCCATAATGCATCGCGCGTCACCGTTATGGGAAACATCCTACATTATAGGTTGTTCCCCATAATGTACCGCGCACTGCCGAAACGTCACCGTGCCGAAATGTCGCCCTCGTGGCGTCACAACGGTCCCGCGCGTTGCATTATGGGACGTTTCCCATAATGCACCACGCGGTTATGCCGACGGCGACACCGCTCAAGCCAGAAACGGACGCCTAAGAGCTGCGCCCAAAAAGCACTGGAAGTATGTGTATTCTTATTGAATGTTCATAGAAAATTAAGCCTTCAAATTTTTTTTTTTTTTCATATTTGAAAATTAGATAGAGCAATAATATTTTGTACAGAGTTGGGCAGGTATGTCTAAACATCAGAAAAGCCATTTTCTCAAAAATGACTTTTCCCCAACTTTTTACCATTTAAAGGAGTGCTGATGCCTCCCAAAATTTATTTTTTATTTGTGGTTAGGCAATTTATTATAATGTCAGAAGACTATCCAATAAACATTTTGCTACAGCATCACATATTTTTAATAAAGTTGAAAAACGCAACTGCTTGACACTGAAACCTAAACTGGACTGGGGAGGAAGAAGAAGTATAAAGGAGGAGGGTGTTTCCAAAAGTCACATAGTTGTGCAACCTTTTCTTTTTTTTTTTTTCATTCAATGTATTTGCAGCTTTTTAGAAGCCACGAAAAATGGGTATTGTATTTTTCTTCTATTTTAATATTGAGTGTGTGCCTTCGATGACTTATGACTGATTATTTTTGGTGGTTGCGTCTAAACCATAGAAGATGGCACGCGACCGCGGAGTAGGTCAGCTCGACTCAAACCGGCCAGTTCTTGTTCGGCGTTTTTCGGGCGAAAAGAAAACGAATTTCAAGCCGCAAATTGTGTTTTGGGTAGTTGGGCTCTCGTGTCATGTACAAAGAAAAACCTTGGCCACCATAAATACCCTGTCAGTGTTCCTTTAAAGACCAGCCTCCCCCCTTAAGAGGGGACACTACCCAAAAGGGTAAACTTTCAGGGTGTCTAGCGATCGGGAAAACCGGGAATTGTCAGGGAAATTTTGATTACCGGGAAAAATCAGGGAATTGTCAGGGGTATTGTCAGAAATTGAGCCCAGTCAGGGAAAACGAGCAGGAAACGCCATTGAGTGCCCTGAGCAAAGACTTGGGGGCAGAAGAATATGCAGTAAATTCTGCTTAGAGCGAAGCGCGGGCTCTGCTCACCTGATGTAGTGTGCTATCCGATGCAAAGGGAACAGCCGACAAATTTAGTCCAAGCCTTGGATTGGATTGGATTGGATTGAGGACACGACACAAGGCTAGATCCAGTTAGAGCTACTAGATTTAGTAACAAATAAAAAGGCCGCAGACCCCAATCTAATCCAAGCCTTAAGCAAAAGTATCCAAAAGGGTCCATCTGGTGGCCATGCTGCCATTCGGTTATTTACGTGTCTGGTTGAGTTTCGTGTTTTTATTGTGTTTCTGGAAGTGGGGGCCTCTTCACTGACAATGTCGGCGGCAAGAAAGTGCTCGTTTAATCCGGACCGGACGAACCCGAATATTTTGGAATGTGCAAGTTGGATTAAGCTCGTGCAAAATGATCCTCAAAGTACTCAATGCTTAACGCCTTGTGTGGTAATGGTCTTATATATTTAATCGCCTCTACAGTGGTCAGGGAATTTCACCTGAAATTGTCAGGGAAAACCTGGAAAAGTCAGGGAATTTCAAAATAATAATTTGCTAGACACCCTGACTATCTAACCTTTCGCTTAATATGAATGAAAGTTACAGCACATACCAGCAGTTGCGAGGCTGAAAGAAGGGCAGAGTTTCATCTGCGTACATGAATTGTAAAAATAAATTATAGTTGTTTTTATGAGGAACACTCTGACTTTGTTTAGGAAAATTAATATGATACCAAACGTTTCTCTTCACTAAATATGCAGCAGAATGCCTGGACAGTGCAACTGTGAAAAGAAAATTTGCAAAAAGTAATTTATTTTATGTTAACATCACGATGAAAAATCAAATACATTTTTTGCCTTTTATGTCACCGTTAAAATCATAATATCTTTTATAAAAGACATCCACAAAGTAAAAAAACAATGCCTAAGTTGCACTGTCGATTAAATTCCAGTTAGAAAAAACAATGAGTAAGTCTTTCCTTTCATCCCATTCGGAAACAATAGTTTCCCTAAAGTGAAATTTGTGCCAAAAGGTGGAACAGAGAAAAACGCGTTGAAGGTGCTCCAACGTCTTCCTTTTCTTTAGCATCGGTGGACCGAGAAATAATTTATAAAAAAGTAACTGTGCAGTGTAAACTGTAAAACTTTCTGGGAATACCCTCTGGATTTTGGTGGATGTAAAGATGGCATTTATCAAAATCACCCTTTTTTGCAGAATTATTTTTTTCCTGGATAGTGTCCCCCCTTGATGTTAGGATAGGTTAGGTTAGGACAGATGCAATTAAACAAATAAAATCGCTTCACCAATTAAGAGGCATCACCACCATGTCTCTCTCTGGAGAGTGACCCAAGAGTGATGAAGGATGTGTCAGCCTCACTCAAACATTAAAAAAGCTAAGAGCATTGACACAAATTGTTCTGCACAGGCTGTGACTTATGCGGAGAACTGCCCTTTAGTTTATTTGAGACGAGATAAACAGATGCTAGCAATTGTTTCAATAGCTAAAACTCTTACCCATTTCTCCGCTTCGCAGAACGTGAGCTTCTGCGTGAAATGGAACGGCTGTGCAAAGAGCAGCACAGGGATCCGGCTCCGAAAGACCCAGAGTGCGACGGGCTACAGGCTCTAGTCCGTTCCTTGGAGAGGGAAAGAGACCACTACAAGGAGGAGCTGGTACAACTCCACCAAACCCTCGAGTCTGGTAACTTGCGACCCAAGAATGCAGCCCCGACCTCCACTCGTGGGATCTCCGAGAGCCAACAGACCCTGCCAAAGGTAAGCTGAACCGCGATCCACGACACCGACGAAGCATTCTTTAGATCCACGCGTTGCATCGACCAGGTATAGGTATAAAAGTTTTGCCGGATGCCACGTTGCTGAACTTTTGCCCAATGTCTTTCTATGCACGAAGGCAATGTTTTTCAAATACCCATTGCAGTTTGTTCGCGTCGTGATCAACTGCACCAGCCATAGTAGTCGGGCCTATAAAGGAGTGCCGGCTGGTGCTTAATTTTTACACGTATCGGTCTTTGTCCGAACTTAAAACGAGCTGGCGATCCGGAAATTGACCAGTCGGCGGCCTGAAAGGCCCTGGCAGATGCCGCCGGAGCGGCTTCCAAGAGGAAAAAAGAGAAGTAAGCACGCGTTTACGCATCCCAAATGCGTCCCCGGTCGTGCATCGTACTTGCCGAGTTTTGTTGTCGACGGAACCTCTTGGGGCCATGCCTGTGCATCTCAACAACACAAGAAAGGACGCTAATAAATGCTGAGCGTGTGCACGCAAACTAGTGGCAAAAGTGACGGACACCGTTTGTCAACGCTGCGGGGCGTGGCTCACCGGAAGTGAAAGGGTGTTTTGTAAGACCGGCTAATAGTGAAATGTTCGTGCTGTCGCAAATCAACGGCGGCCATCATTTTGGCAGCTTGTGTGGTATTACAGCATGGAGGTGAAAATCTGCGCAGCCATTTTTCCGCAACACTAAGTTTGGAACATTTTGGGAAGCAGCCACAAGTTCATTTTGGAGCGGCGAAAACAATCTCTTGGAGCACAAGCGCGCACTTTATTCTCATTCGTTCCACCGCTAATACAGTAAACGTTCGTTAGTTCGACCTCGGTTAATTCGACTTTTCGTTTAATTCGATCGTGTTCAGGAGTCCCGGCGAGCGCCCATACCTTTCTATGGGAGGAAAAATTCGATAGTTCGAACTCGAGAAGGCTCCGCATCGGATAATTCGTCCCGAGCAAACGTGCGCGGGCTTACATTGCGCAGCACCACGGCAGAAAAACCACCAAGGTACGGCAAAACACGGGCCCTTTGCTGCAAAGCCGAAGATGCACAAGTATGCGCCTGCTTTTCTACGCCGTTGAGATGGACCGTAGTGAATGGCACGAGCCAGCGCAGCCAATCTGGCGTGGAGCTGCGCGGAGAACATACACGTGGTCGGGCGGAGAGACAGCGTGTGCTCTCAAAGCGCTTTTTTGTAGCATCGTGTGCGGTCCATCTTGCGCGTCGGAAAGCGCGGGTTTTCTTTCCTCTTTTTTATTTTTGTTATTTTTCTCTGTCGCCGACGGTCTGGCTGCCTGGCGCCAAAGTCAAGTCGTAAACCTTGCTTTTTTTTTTTTGTAGTGCGCGATTTTGCGGGGACGTGATGTTTAGTTACGCTGCTCTACGGAGCATGCTTTTGGACACGCGTTTTAAGCGCAGAAGGCAGCAGACCGTCTGTGAGTACTGTGGACAATAAGAGGAAGTCTAATTTTAACCGTTTTTCTGTCCTTTTTTTAATTCTATCGTTCGGATAATTCGACCAAATTTCAAGGTCCCTTCGAGGTAGAATTAACGAAAGTTTACTGTACTAGATTAAGATTCATTCGTTGCCCTATCCAATTAAAAGACGCAGTTTTTTTGCCTTCCCATGTCTGCAACCACTGGTTAGCGTCCGTCAGAGAGCATAATTAAATCACAAAATTCAAGCATGCACTACAATAACATCGAGGCGCCCGCCGTAACTCTCCGTCCCAGGAGCGTCGTCCCGGTCCGGTGCCGACGGAAAACTCGTCGGAAGGACCGCCCTGGCTCCAGGAAGAGGCCACGCGACTGTCCGCGCTGGTGGGAGAACTCTCCGAGCACAGAGACCAGCTCCGGGTCGAAAGGGACAGGCAGGCAAAACAGCTGGCCGCCCTTCAGGAAGAGATCAGGAAAAGGGTGAGGCTTCGCTGCGGGCGTGTTTTCTGGGGCTACCCGAGCTAAACTCATTTTCGGAACGCCCAGTTCTACTCTTCACGGCGTGCCATTCGTTACCTCTATATTCAAAATAGCTGTTGAAATAACGGCGAATGAAGGTTGTGCCAAAACCGACGTTCCAATTTCTACGCACTTTCTAACAGGGTGACGTCATGTGTTGTAACATTTGCAGGTCGAGAAGGCCATCTAGAAAACGCAAATTGTTTGGTTTTTTTGTTGTTTTTCTGGCGTGAGTTCTTGTTTTTATTTTACACCATCAAACTCCTTGTAACCAGTTTTCAGTGTTGCCTTATACATCTAAATTTAAAAAAAAAATAAAAAAGTGAGGATTACATTTTTAATTTTTGATAGCTTTGCGAGAGAAAAATATTATTTTGACCTGGAGTTTGGGTCATCTAGTTCAGATGTGTCTATTAAAGTTAGTTGAGATATCATCTTTCAACAAAAGTGAAACGGCAGATCTATTTTGCCCTCGTACAATCTTGCTCAAGTTACTGTCTTTTAGTTTAATCAACCACATTCCGTGCAAATTTAGATTGTCCTCGTGTAATCCCCTATTTTAAAAGATACAATGTACGCATAAGAAAGCTACACAAATATAAAAGGTCCCTCGAAGTTTGGCGTAAATTTCAACTGGACAAATTATTGTTTACCTCACAGTACCACACAAAAGTTGGCCCATATAACTTAAGGCAAAACTTAATATTAGTAGTTTAAACTCGTTCACACACAAATTATGGAGAGCAGAGGTTAAGTTTTTTTATATCAGACCATTTAAATCAATACCCAATTATTTTAAATAATCTAAAACAATGCCCAATAACCGAAAAATTAGAAATAAATTATAAAATACCTATTAGGAAGCAATAAAGCCACCATGATATAATTTGTAAATTTTTGAAGAGGTATGTTGTATGCCAGTATATTGCAAAAGTGTGTATTTAAGATTGTTTGAAGCAAAATGTATACAGTCAAGCCCGACTATATCAAATCCGTTTACATCGAATTATACCTTATATCGAACAATTTTTGTGGACAGTAATGTTACAGTGATAATATATAGCAAGAACTATGGTTACATCAAACAAAAATAGCAGCCACTACCGATATATCGAACTGCCAAGTTTGCTCTGCAAGCTGGCTTTCCCCCAAAGCAAGTGGCCGCATTGGGGGAAAACGAGCTTGCTAAACACACTGGCTTTTTTTTTTTTTTTTTTTTTTTTCTTTGGGGCGGGGGTGGTTGCGTTAATTGTTTGGAAGAAAAAAAAAAAAAAAAATTCTCTTCGGCGGAGGGAGTGGGGAGAGGGTGCCCCGTGCACCCTCTCCCCGCTTCGTCCGCAAAAGAGAATATATACATATATATTTATTTTTTTTTCTTCAGGACGGTTGACGCGGCCGCCCAGAGGAAAAAAAAAGCCAGCCTGCTCTGCTAGCTGGCTTTCCCCCAACGCAGCATGCCTTAGGGAAAAGCCAACTTGCAGAGAAAAACGGCACTCTGTAGGAGAAGGTGTTCCTGCTTCGATCTGCCCCGTGCTCTTGGCATAGTTCGGCGCTAATGCGCGAATATAGAAGGCAGCGGCCTCAGCATTTTACAGTCCGTCGATAGCGTAGAAAAATATTGTTATCGCGAATGCAATGAAGAAAAAGCAGCAGGAGATGCAAGACTATTTCATTGTGTAATATGTCAGCAGAAAGTATTTTTAAGAGTCAAATTCATTAAAACTCTTATATCGAATTACCCGCTATATTGAACTGGTAGACGTTTTTTTGTGAGTCCAATATAAACGGGTTTGACTGTAGTATATCTGTTGAGCAAATTTCTGTTTCACCTGCTGTTTGTTTTTGTTTTGTTTTGTAATGACATATCCTATACGGTAACCTTGTTTGTATTTTTATGTTTGTATCCGCCGCTGCTAAGAGGGTCACTTGACATAGTCACATGACATCATCATGTCACAAAACACAGTGTCACAATGGCACGTGACACTGGGGTCGCATGACGCTAAATCGGCGATGCTAATTGGTGTCTGTCACGCTAAATTTGTTAAGTTCAGAAAGACTAATAAATAAACGCTCAACATGGCTTGGAACACGCTGCATGTTCCACATCTTGCAACTTTGTTTGTAAAAATGAAGGTACAATACATTTCTTTTACTTTTTTATTTTAGGGTTTGCGTTATTTGAGCCATCGAACGTGCCGAATTGATCGGCTTGCCGAATTGATCGGCTTGCTGAATCCCGGACTTCCTGGTCTACCAGGACGGTGGGTCCGACAAACTTTGAGCCCAGTTTGGAGTCGGAGGGTCGCCAGCTCTGGACGCTTTTGACTCGAACGTCCACTGCGAGTTTTCAATAACCAGATCTGTTATAGTTCCTGTTAACATGAGAGCAACGGGGCATCTCTTTTAAATGCCCCTCCTCGTGCACGCTCAAAGCTTGCAAAACGTTGAAGCGTCGTCCCAGGTGGGAAGCTGGCGCCGGAGACGGGGCAACCAAAACTCCTCCCTGCCGTTCTCACTTTGTCAGCGACTGTCAAGGATGTCGCGGGCCCGCAGAGATTCGAGTTCGACCGAGTGCGACTTTCTCGAACTTCCCAACGCGAAGTTCGACGGAAATTCGACTGTCGTGCACATGCGTGAAAATTTGAAAACGAGCCAACGCCACCTGGCGGAGAAAGGGTGCAATATTGGCTGGATGTATCACTTCACTGGTTCACATTAATAACGAAAGCATTAGACGTACCTCTGTATGATTTTATATCCTGTAAACATCGGTAACCATTTTATAAAATGTGAAACAAAACTACTTTCTAAGAGGGATTACAATGATAATGTAGTGATTGCGCAGGCGACCTGGTGGATGTTAACCATTTTGTTCTTAGCCCGAGACTGAGGCAGGAAAAGAGGAAAGTTTCAAAGTAGAAGAAAAATGAACAGTCGAGGACACGTCCCTAACACAGCTAAAGACAAGTTTTTTTGGTCACCTTCTTATATACACTCCACGAACTTTCACCACAGAACCTTCCCGATCTCGAAAGCCAGAAGATAACAAAGGTCTCACATCTTTTCAACACAATTGTCAAACGACCTTGAGGTTTTCCACAAAGCAACAATAGCTCCCCTCACCCGGAAGACACTTGAATGAATCCTTCGCGTACAGAGTACACTTTCCCCCTCTACTCTCCGACCCACATTCACAAAGCATCCTGGTAACAGAAGATATCAATCCACGTGATACACAAAGGAGGAAACCACTTACACCTTCACATTCAACAAGCACTTTACAAAACTTTCAAATCCGCAAGAATGATTTTGCACTGCTGCTAAGCTGTAACGACACCTGACTAATGCAGTTGCCCATTGATTTTATTCTTATTGTTTCTTTTACAACCCTTTTGATGTTGTTTACCTCCCTGTGTATTATCTCTGTTTCAGACCAGTGGAGTATACAATTATTACATTCTGAACATGTTTCGCTATTTCCGAATTGGCCACGTTGTTTTTGACATTCCTTTTGTGTTCAGTCAATCTGTCATTTATACACCTTGACGTCTGCCCCACATATTTAAAGCCACATTCCAGGGGGATTTCATATACCACTCCATTACCACACGGAATAGACTTTTCTCTATGTGTTTCGCAATCCTTTACACTTTTGTGGAAGGGTGTGAGCTTACTCAACTTATAATCCGAACTAAAAACCAGATCTACATTGAACTTTTTGGCACAAGCCTTTAAGTTGTGAGAAATTTTGTGATAAAATGGAATTACAGTAGTTCTATTTTTCGACCTTTGCTTTGGTTCTCCTGTACATTTGTTTGCGAATTTTACGGATAACTGCTTCCTTACGAATTCATCCTCATAACCAGCACTGTTTAGCCTTCTCCACTGTCTTTCTACCGATTCATCCAAGAAATGTGTACATGATCTTTCCATTGCATTTGTGATTAAAGACTTTACAATACCCGCTTTCACTGTTTTTGAATGGCAACTCTTTTTTGACAGCAGCGGTTTTGCGTTTTCTTTTCCATATTCCCAACATAGCCCTTTTTCATTCTGAATCATAAGTTCTAAGAACTGCAGTCTACCATTCGTAGGTCGTTCGACCGTAAACTTCAGTTCCGGGGCTGCCGATCTGATCAATGCTTCCAGAGTGTCAGATAATCCCTCCCGAAAAGAGCAGATCAAAATGTCATCGACATATCTTTTCACAAAACAGGACTCCGACGTCATCTCCTGCAATCTATCAGATACAATACAATCCAAAGAATTAAGGTAAATTTCCGCTAACGCCGGTGCAACACTCGACCCAATGCATACTCCCTCTTTCTGTAAATACTTTTTCCCTTCATACTCTACTATCGTTGACTGCAAGTAATAATCAAGAATGGCAAGAAAACTGTCCACCGAAATGCCTGACCGTGATTGGAACCTTACCAAATTAATTTCAAGCATCCCTTTTACCCTTTTCATCAGCCGGCTCTTCTCTAATGAATAATAAAGATCCTTGATGTCCATTGACAACACATCTCCTTCCTTTCCATGATGATCATCGAGTATTGTGGTCAACTCACTCGAATTTCTCAGTGACAATGACTTATCTAGAATTGCATGTTTTAAACCTTTTTGAAGAAACACGGAGACTACCTTCTGCCAAGTACCATTCTCATTGATCACGACTCTAAGTGGCATCTCCGGTTTATGATCCTTAATGAAGAATTTTACGCTCAACGCTGAGCTCGACTGTTCATTTTTCTTCTACTTTGAAACTTTCCTCTTTTCCTGCCTCAGTCTCGGGCTAAGAACAAAATGGGTAAAGGGATTACAAGTATGAACTTTCTAAACTTTGGTTCCCAAAATTCGAAATCAGCCGGGCGACACTGTTCATCAGTTGAACTTGGTCAAATTTTCTAAAACGGTTGAACCAATCGAACCGCAAGGTTCGACAAAAATTTGCAACACCCCTAGTGACTATAAAAAAAGAAAGAAAGAAAAAAAAAAATAAGGGAAACACGACCAGCGATATTTTTTATTGGAGCCGGTATATATGAGAAGAAGAAAGGTATATATATTTGTCTTCTTTTCTTCAGGACAGAGAGATGAAGAACACGGAGCTCACCTGCAAGGCCACAGAGGACCACGTTGAGTACGCCAATTTCCTTGGCCCCAGCCACCACCCTAGTTGCGGGTTAAGAAAACCAGGATAGGCTCCTCCCACAAAGCCCTCCACCCTTCCAATTTTAGCGTAGAAAATGCCGGAGAGCAGGCAGGTGGACTCACCTCCTCTTTTGCCCGTTCTCCAGCATGCACTTTGCTAAACTGGAAAGAGCAGAGGGCTTTGCAAAACGAGCCTGCCCCACTTTTCTCGATCCGCAGCAGAGCACAGCGCCCGTTCTAACGAGGCCCCTGCGTCTCATCCGCTTCTCTGCAGCAATCTCCAGGGCAGCATTCGCGCGAGAGAGCAAGAACTAGCGAGACTGAAGCTTCGGATCCAAGAGCTGGACGACGACGCCCGATCCGCACACGCAGAGATATTGCGGCTCGTCCGAGAGAACGGTCAGCTGAGAGACAACCTCACCCTCGTCGCTAAAGAGCACCAGGTACGGTCGCTGCGTCGTACAACGACTGGAGCAGCGTTTTTCTTTGTTCAGATTTTTAAGGCTACGAGCACGGGCTCGTGGCTTTGGGAGGTGCCCCTCTTTCCGCACAGCACGGTGTAAAGTGCACCTTCATGTTAGAAGCGAGGTGTTCGTAAAGCAGGCGCCCACCCGATATTTGGAGATTGCCCTCAAAAACTGGGAGGTGTAGTTTCCCGTTGGCTCCAAGAGCAAAAATGCGGGACGGGCAGAAAGGATCGGTGGCAGAGCGCGTTAATGCGTCTCATCTCGGAGCGCGTGGAGCGAAAGCTTGCGCCGCAGAACCTGGGGATCCTGGGTTCAATCCTCACCCTCGCCCGTTTTGATCTAGATGAGCGTCGTACTGGCATGCAGTCTTGTATCGCCACCACATGGTGCACTTTAAAGTCCCCAGGCTAGCACTGGTACTGCACTGGCAAAACTTTCCCATCTACAGAGGAGACACCAGATGCCCGGTCGGGCTGATTAGTAACTTTCCACCGTGTAAACATACACACAACGCAATCTTCTGACGTATAAGTTGCGATAGTTTTCTCAGATTTCCGTCAGCTTCTCTTATGCAACGGTGTGACTTAGGTATATGCATTGTTCTTTTATTAATATGGGCCGTGTAAGATGTATGCCATATCTACATTTACGGCATGGGAGAAAAGGCATAGCACCCCCGTCCAAAATGTGGCACCGTAGGTTCGCGGCTTCAGGGACTCCGCCTGCCAAAAACTACAGTTTATAGGGGGGTAACTTATGGACTGGAAGATACGGAAAATAGGGGCACACAATACGGTAGGTTTCACTGCTTTGCACGGGGGGGGGGGGGGGGGGGGGGGCTTGGAGATGTGGCCGACGATGGCGGCGAGCACTTCAGTTAGCCGACTGGGCTCAGAAGTCCCCGGTCGTCACTTGACTATTTATTTTTTGCTTAGTTTTCGAGAGTTTCAAAAGAAGTGGGTGGACGCTTATCTTGACCCAAGGGCATGCTCGGTATTTTATGCTGCAGTTGATACACAGCTCGTGGCTACAATAGACCTTTTTCCAGTCAGCCTCCCTACAGGCGTACACCCCCTCTCCCCCCAGCCTTGCTTCCCACTGTCACCTTTTCTGGAGGGCACGATCCCGCACGACCAACGTTGTTTGCGGCACCTACCTTGGTGCGTCATATTCAGTCATATACGACGCAACGGCACAATGTCAATGCGCTCTGACGAATGGAGGCACGTTGGGCTGCCCCTTGTTTGTAGTTTGCAGATAAACCTCCAGATGGCGCCCGTCACGCGAAAAAGGTTCACTTACCGTCGTAGAGCGCGTCACTTGAAATGACAAAGAGATGTAGGGCCAGCGTTTTCGTGCGCTAAGCGTAATTTCGACGTGCAGAACATGGCGGCGGACTTGGACAATGCCGTGCAGCAGCGAGAAGAATTCAAGATTCAGATCCAGGAGTATGTGACCGAGGTGGCGAGAGTGCAAGAACTCCTCCAGTTGAAGGTGGGGTAACCGAAACAGTCCAAATACAGTAAACAACTTTGTTTTTGTGAACTCAGTATTTAGCAAGTTTTGCGAACTGTGGCTTTGGGGAATACATTGCCAGCACACAATTTCGCTATTCAGAGTACTAATAGGCTAGATGTTCCTTACTATGAGATAAAATATTTATGTAAGGAATTTTGCACAAAAATTATAGATCCTAGCAAAAATTAAGTTGTTTACAATAGTCTGCTTTTTTTTTTTTTACATTAGTCAGTGTTCTTTTTAAGGTTGTGGACTTAGTGGTCTTGAGAGTATGCATTTTTTTTGCAGAATGATTAATGTGCAATAAGCCAATTTGTGTCTCATCATATATAGATTGATTTAGGGAAAGAAGTTGGCGTGGGGATTATCCAGTATTGCTTTTATAGCAGCTCAGGAATTAATCAATAATAGTGCTTGGTATGTGAAAACAAATACAAGCTACATCACACATTCTAATACTGTAGATTAGGTGGGTTGTGGGCCACTCAACTTGCATTAAGTCCTTGGCAAGCACGAGTGGATCATCTTAAAAACAAAGCGTCTTGCACATTTATTTTTTTTCGTGCTCTGAGTAGGTGTTCAACTGAGTTTTTATAGCTTCAATGAGAATTGCATTACTACTAAAGCTAGCTTTGATTTAGCCTTGAAAAGTGAAGCGCGCCACAATTGAAGTTGGCCGACTGCCAAACACCCGTGCCATGAGCTCAGCGGGCCACACAAAGCTACCATAAAAAAATATATATATATGAATATAGCAGAGGAAAAAACGATAAAAATTAACAAGAGGCAGGAAGGAGCTCTTTGAGATGCTTAAACTAGTAGTGTCGTGCGAATATTCAAATTTTCAAATACTAGCACGCTATTCGATATTCGCTTCGAGATGAACTGCAATATTCATATTTTTCTAAGCATTGCAGCAGGTTAGCCCCATTGAGTGTGGGCTAACCGGCCGTGGGGCTAACCGGCCGGCGGTCAAGGGGCAGGTTAGCCTGGCATGCATGAGTATATGTGTAAAGCAGAGATGCCCTGACAACCTGCATTAATAGCACATAATTGAAGAAAAGATATTTGCATATATCGTATTTACTCGCACAATGAACGCACTCGCGTAATGAACGCACCCCCCAAGTCGGCTCTCAAAATTTCGACTTTTTTTTTCACTCGCGTAATAAACGCACCCCCAACTCGGACGTCAAAATTTTGACCCTCCCCCCACGCGCGCGAAATGAACGCACTTTTCTATCCTGGTGCAGCGAGGTCGCGAATGCATGGGCAGCGTGGGCGAACAAAACGCCTTGCAAAAGGCGTTAAAAAAAATTCGCAAAGATCCAACGGAAGCAAGGAAAAGAAAACATAGAAAGGAGCTTTTTTTTTTTTTTTTTTTTGCACAGCGCAGTCTGGATTTTGGGTTCGCGCGCCGCCGCGCAAGGAGGTAAGAAAGAAGCGCTCTAAGCAGCGCTCTAAGCGAACTAAACAGCTTGCGAAGGGCGGTAAAAAAAAACACAGAACTAAGAAAAAAACAGAGCTTTTATTTTTTTTATTGCACAGCGCAGTTTGGTTACGGGGGGGGTCGCGCGCCGCGCGCAAGGAGGTATGAAAGAGGAGCGGAGAAGCCCTCTAAGCAAACGAAACAGCTTGCGAAAAGCGGCAAAAGAAAAAAAAAAAAAAACTTACCGAACTGAGAAAAAGAACAGAAGAAAAAGAGAAGCTTTTCTTTTTCTCTTTTTTTTTTTTTTTTTGCACAGCGCAGTTTGGTTATAGCCGATTCACACGACGGACTGATCCGCGGACGGATTGGTCACGTGATGACATATCCGCGGTTCATCCGTCTCCCAAGCGCATCCACACGAGGGAGACGACGAGCAGACGCCAGCGAGGACGGACCGATCCAGCTCGCCACCGCACAGTGCCGCGAAACTCCAACATCGCACCATGGCACCGTTGTCCAAGAGAGAAATCGACGTTTGCTACCGCGATTGAGAATCGTACGCTACTGTTACGCACAGATCGAGACAAAACACCGGGGCAGGCTTCGCACCAAGCGCCACTAACTTTACTAACCCAAAGCATGACAGAGAAAGCCTCGGCGTAGACGCGACGAAGTTCTGGGCTCGCGGAGGGGCGTTTGGAGATGCCTTCACGCACTCCGCGCTCGTGCACAACACTCAAGCACACCACATTCACAACTTACAAGAGAGGTCTTGGTCGGTGAAATCCTGATCGGACGTGCAAGAATTACCGCGGCGTGCTAGACAAATTTTGACGGGAGCTTCTTGACACGGACCCGGAAGAGTACCGAAACCTGCGTCGCGTCAGCCAGACAAGTTTCTGGAGTTTCTTTCACTCGTGGAATCAAGAATCGCGCGTCAAAATGAACCAACAACGCACAAAACACAACGATGCTCCATTTTGTTTTGAACGCCCAGAAGCAAAAAGCCAAGAAAACAATGTACCGTTGCCAGACTAAATGCTTTCCAAGTCAATCTGCCGCCAAACGTCCGCGAGTGAAAAAGGCGCTCGACTTTATCAGTCCGCGCCTCCGCGGAGGAGGCGCGGATCGCAGGAATCGGTGACGTGCCGGTCACGTGGTACACGGTCCGCGGACGAAAATCGCGATTCGGTCCGTCGTGTGAATCGGCTATTACGGGCGTCTTGCGTCGCGCGCAAGGAGATAAGAAAGATAAGCGGAGAGCCTTCGCCTAAGCAACACCTAAGCAAACAAAACAGCTTGCGAAAGGCAGCAAAAAAAAAAGAGGAACTAAGAAAAAGAAAACAAGAGTTTTTTGTTTTTTTCTTTTTCCATAGTTTAGTTTGGTCGGGGTTGGGCGCCGCGCGCAAAGAGATAAGAAGTTACTTCGATTTTTCAGGATAAAGGCCCGTCATTATGCGAGTAAATACGGACACAAAAAATTACTTGGCGTAATGAACGCCCCCCCTAACTTTGCATCGATTTTTCGGGAAAAAAAGTGCGTTCATTCTGCGAGTAAATACGGTAGCAAGAATCGTTATAAATCCCCTCGATTAGGTATAGCTGGACATCTCTATAAGTTTAATTTTATGTCAAATACTTGCCACCCCGATGTAGGCATTGTGCTTTTGGATGCCACACTCGATAAGTACAGTTAGATTGAGATTAACTTATCTTATAAATGGACAAGTGGAAGCTTGACAACGCCCATCACAAGTTCAGCTTAGGTTTCATTTAAGCATGTTGTAGTAGTGAAAGGCTAAAAAAAAGCTATTCGATATTTTATTTGAAAATATTTGGCCCACTATTTGCTTCGAACCCAAAACCAACTATTCACACATCCATAACAACTAGTATATTGAATTAAAAGACTCTAAACAGTGTGCTAGTAAGAGTAAAGCCTGGGGATTCAGAGAACATAGTTTGGGTAGCTCTAATGCGTACAACACAGCTCGGGGCTACAAGTGCACGGAACACAGATGCCCTGCCCCGCACATTGCTAGGACCAGGAAAGGACGGACCTGCTCGAGCAGTATGGGTCTCTGGTGGCAGCCAACGCCGACCTGCGGGCGCAGACGGAACAGAGCCAGGCCAAGCACAGCAACGGCCGAGCAGAGCTTCGACGTCTGCAGGAACAGACGGCTCAGGTGAGGTGCCCAGCGCTTCAGCGGCTGTAATCTCTTTCCCCCCAATGCCGCCACTCCTGTGTCCCCTCCTCTCCCGTTTAAATGCCACTGTTTGGATTCAATTTTTTTACGGATGCAAAGGTACTGGGTCAAAGCTTTCTGTTATGACAGAAAAATTTATTCTGAGTAAACAGAAAAATCTGTTCAGAACTTACCTGCAAACTGACTGCATACATGAATCTGAACCAATGTAAGTGAATAAGCATGCTTTTCTTGAAAATAATATAATCAAAATGTGTGTAGTTTGCAACTTACAAAAAAAATAAATTCAGAACATTTTTTAAGTTTTTTTATTTTTACAGCGGAGCTGTTAAGGGCTAGTTTCCCCAGGATTCTGTCCACCGGATTAAAAATGATGACATTGAACTGTGGACAGCTACCGGCACCTATGAGCGATGGTGGCAACCAGACAACTGGTTGCCTTCGTCACTCATAGATGGCGGCAACCTTTCTTCGGAGGAAGAAGAGCTGGAGTGGAACTAGCGGCGATGTGTGCAGCAGCACAAATGGCTCCGCAACCGCCGCGAAGCTGCTATCGCCTGAAGTTCCACTGCGTCGAGCGCTTCAGATTCCTTTGCGAAAGAAGAGCAGATCGCTTGCCCGGAAAGCCGCCGCCGAGAACATAAGCTACAGCTCCGCTGCTCTCCCTTCTACATCAGAGTGGAAAGGCTGAAAGTGTTTTTAAGATCGGAGATTCCTAATTGAATTTGCCAAAGATTTTGTCATTTTTTAGGTGTTTGAATAACCAGGCACATATCCAGTGGGTGGGGGGGCCCATGGGGCCTGTGCCCCCTCCTTCCCAAAATCTTCCAACAATTTGCTGGGGCCTCCTCTCCGCCCTCTGCCTCATAAAGCATTTTGTCTTGGGCAGCTGCCCCCCCCCCCAACCCCCCCTCCCCCCCCCCCAAACAAAATCCTGGCTACGTGCCTGATAAGACCCATGAGTCAGAACTAGTTCATGCACTGAACAAAGTAGTTCTTGCAAAATTTTGTTGTCAGAGGAAGGAACAATGTTGTTGGCATTTGAAACGTGGACGTCTTTATAAAACAACGGCAAGCAAATCTAAAATTCACCCAGATGTCTTCATTCACCACGTGAAGGAGTAAATCATAAATGCTCCGCGAGAAGCCAAACTTTTTTTTACTACATCCTCGAGGTGAATAAGAGTATTGTAACGTAATGTTTATGTCACAAGGCTCATTTGAACGATTTCGAAGAATGTGTCTGTTTCGAAATTGACGTCACGAAATAGAAGCCCTTTTTCGAATCGCTCCCAACTTGGTATGCATATAATGACGTAAATATTGCATAAAAATTTTCTTTTTTTTTTGGGGAGAATTTTTTAAACTTCGTAAGGCTGGTTCATGCACTTACGACCGCTCACGACCGGAGAGGCTTAAAAACCAGTTATGGCGTAGTCGGTCGTTGTCAAATGCAAATGTGTGAACCAGATAGCATGTGGTGTGCAGTACGAGGCCACGACGGTCAAACAGGAGGAACGGCTGAAGATCCTCGAGGCTTCCACGTCTTCGTTGGAGGAAGCCCTTCAGCGCAGCGACGCCGACAGACAAAGGCTGCGCGAAGAGCTGCAGCGGAGCACAGAGCTGCGTTCAAAGCTGGGAGAACAGCTGAAAGAACTACAAAAGCAGCTGGTGGAGGAGCAAGCCACCAACCACTCGGCAAGTCTTGTTTCGTTAGCTTGGAAACACTTCAGTTTGGGCGCCAACAAACAAACACGAGCACATCAGAACAACATCTATGTTGTCGCAGACGTCGAATGGTATACTCTGTGTCACCATAACTTGGCAAAGGCTGCGGTCCCAGCGAGCAAATGTGGAGAGCAAGCCTCCTGCTTCTTGCGCAGGAGTTGCGGTGACGTCAGAACAACACCGAGCTCTGATTGGCTTCGATAGAAAGGATGGTGGGTAGATCTCAATGCTAGATGCCTCGAGGTCTACCCACTATTTTTTTTTTAATTAGCCAATAAGAGCTCAACATTCTGATACCATTGCAGCCCCTGTGCAAGAAGCGGACGAACTTGCGCTCTGCATAGGCACGTCTGATGGAGACCCTCGAATATAGTCTATCTCACTAGTTACGCGCAGTGCTGTCAAAGCCACGAGCAGCGGAGAGAGAAAAGCCACTTTTGTATGAATTTTTAGCGACGGGCTAATCTTCGAGGGGGACAAAAGCGACCACTGAGACGCACAAGAGGGTCAGGGTAAGAGGGGAGTTCCCCCTTTTCAAACTGCTTGGGTCACGCTCTCCCCCTTTGGTGAGGGCTGCCACACGCTTCACCTCTGCCGCCCTGATTGACTCAAATGGACCGTAGCCCCTTTGAGCCAATCGAGTTATGGTGAAACAAAGTAAAAATGAGTGTAGTATAAAAATAAATGTATGACAAGACGAACGTGCGCCTCTAAGACGAAAGAAAAAGGAACATACATCTTGTGTCGGCAACAGAAGGGTAGCTGACCCAAAACAATGTGCTACACCCGCTTTTATAGACGCTTTACACACGCGCCAGATTGAGCCGCCATAGCCGCCCCTCTCTTGTCTTACCGAGATGCCGAGCCACTGAAGTGGGCGTTGACGGGTCTTCACAAGGGTCTATGCTGGGCACAAGAACACAGTAGCATCTAAAATGGCAATAACCTGTCCTGCTGTGGTAATGATGAAGTGAAGCGAACGGAATAAGAGGGAACAAAAACTGAAGGTCAGTTATGGCGGCGCCCATGCACAGCTGCTGTAAAGCGTCTATACGTGCTGCATGTTCAGGAAAGGTCTGAACCAAAACACTCAGTAGCCGCCAAAAAGTATCCGGAAAGGTAAAATGTAAACCAGGCCGGCAGGGTTTGAACCTTGTGCCTCAGCTGCCAACTTTCTCACGACAATACGGCGCGAGCGTCTGTACAAACAAGCAAAAATGGTGCACGGCAAAAAGTAGCCTGTTCTTATGGAAAACGTGCAATGGCAAGACTGGGCATAAACGCTACGGCAACAGAGCAACTAGTATGTACAGACACTTCAACTGCAATGTTTTCAGTACGAACGTTCAATCTCGAAGTTTCTGCCACTGGGACAACTGATGTGTCTCACCTTGCTCTTAGCTGTCGACAAATGTGCAGCAGCTCCTGCTGACAAAGCAAATTTTAAGGAAAAACACTGCTCTTTAAAGCAAAAAATAAATAAACCTTTTTTAGTTTTTTTTAAAGGTTTGCGCAGACTTATCACCTTGTCTTAAAATATTTTTTTGTGAAATAAGTCTCTTTTATCTCGAAGTTATGTACTTGAAAACATACTAAAGAGGGTCTGTGCCTTTTTTTTTTTTTTGCTATTACCTATTTCAAAATGAAATATTTCCCCACGTTGCTATTTTACAGATGCCATATCACCACTTGCACATATCCATGGTTCATCTTTTTTTTTTTTTTTCGTTTTCTGGTAGGTGTATGTGCAAGATATCCAATAAGGAGTACAGATACGTTAAATATGGCATCATGTCTTTGTAGATGTCTTTTATACTTCCCTCAAAAAGTCATTTTAAAACCGTAAAACTCGAGTGTCATGAAAGAAACTTGATAATTCATCCTAGAGCTTGCATTTATACTTTATTAAACTCCACAGACCGTTCCGTTCACTGAGATATGTTTATTTTCTGATTTTAGCATTTCAATTTGTTCCAATTCTTCCCACAATCTTGACAAACTAAACTTTTGATATTAACAAAACTAATTAGGCTGCATCAAAACCAGTTGCAGATTTGTCGTCAAATTGTAAAGACAGATAAGCTATGTAAATTTCATTTGAGTCGCAAGTTCTATGGAAAAGCTCTAGAAGCAGTGACAATCTCGGAATCCACTTTCATGACCGAGTGTTGACCTCTATTTTTGACGTTGTCGGCCTAAGATGTCCGGTCATCTGCGGAGGCTCGAGGACGACCTCTCCCTCGCTCGCAACGAGGCGGCCACTGCTCGGTCGGACGCTTCCGGCCTGGAGAGCCTTCTCTCGGAGTCGAGAGAGCGCCACTGCCACGCCGACCTCAGTCTCCGACAACTCTCGGTCGAGCTCGACGCCGTCAAGGAGCAGCTACGTCTGGGAGCTGTCAACAGGTACCACTTCCGCCTTTCACTCCCAGTAAAGTGGATAACAGCGGAGCACAAGCGGGACACAGATGTCTTTCGAGGACCCGACTGCGTTACTGCAGTTAAACTTAGCCCAATCTCCTATATGTGGTGCTGTATGTGGTGTCCGATTAGTGAACCACCAATTTCAACAAGATAGGTGTGAAGGTCTTCTGCAAGGCACATACAGAATTTATTTATGTGTTCTTGTACAGTCGAAGCACCTAAGATGTTACGCGTCTTAGTGGGTAAAGAACATGCCATTCCTCGTGCAACGATTGAGCTCTGAACCTCTTAATGCAAAATTAATCGCAAGTTATTAGTGTTGCCTAAATATTCGAAATTTCGAATATTAGTCTGGAATAATACACTATTCAATATTTGCCTCGATATGAACTGCGATAATAAATTTTCGAAGTGTTGATCGCGGTGGGTTAGCCTTGTTGAGCGCGCTTCTTTCCGAGCACCGGTGCACTGCGGAGAAGCAATACCCGCGGAAGCAAGCTCTGCGGATGTTGCTTTTCCGCAGTGCACCGGTGTTTGGAAAGAAGCGCACTGAACGGGGTAACTCACCACTGTGAACATTTGGAAAAGTATGAATATCGCAATTGTGCGCTTGGGAGAAAGGTACACTTTCAAAGCGGAATGGTGCGCGTGTGCGCCTGGTGTATTTAAAAAGAAACGAATGTTTTGTGAATGTTGATATCTACATTGCAGGAAAAAGTTTCATAAACCGGCTATTATGCGAGGCAGAAATGCCCGGACAACCTGCGTATAGCAAGGATTGTAAATCCACTCAATTAGATGTAGCTGGGCACCTCTACAGGTTTCATTTTATGTAAAATCTGTCGTCCACTTGCCATCCCAAAGCATTAGACTTTCCGAGGTCGCAGTCCATAAATAAAGGATTAAAATGAGCTTATAAGTGGACAAGTGGAAGCTTGGGAAGAACCTTCGCAAGTTTAGCTTACCTTTTGTTTAAGCATGCTGCTACAATAGCAAAGGGCTTTGAGAAACCTTTTAATATTAGATTCGGAAATATTCGACCAAAAGCACTATTCGCCTCAAACGTAAAATCAACTCTGTGCACACGACTACAAATTATGTGAAAGAGTGATTTTTTCTGGACCGTTGCTAAGGTGTCCTAAGAAAGGTTACCAAATTTGTGACTGTGGTAAGAATGTCATTAATTAGAAAGGGTTAACTTTTTTTTTTTTGATGCCACCTGGATAGAATTTAATTTTTCCTCGGATTTCAATTAACAGAAATAAGTCTCCAAGTTGTGAAAAAGGAGGTCGCTCTTTATCCGTTTTAAACGAATTAGCGCGGTGCTGAAAGCATCTTGGCTCGAGCTTTATGATTGGGGAAACTCGTGAAAGTGCTTGGAAAGGTTATTCAAGTAAAGCTTGTTCAAGCACATTTTTGACAAAGTACCCTTTGCACCTCGGTTTTTTGCACTGCCGTCTCGTGTCCTCTACCATCGTCCAGCGCCCCAGACTGTCTGTGCGGACGTCTGTCAGGATTGTTTCGTATGCAGCCGAGATTAGAAAGAGCTCTAGGGTTGCATTGTACCACTTACCTTTCATTGAAATTGATTTGTAGGCTAACAATATGCTGAGCAAAAATGGCACAAAATACAAGGGCAAAAGAAGGAACATACACAAGAGGACAGGCGCTGTCCTGTCTGCATCCGTCCTGTCGTGTACATTCCTTTTGTCCTTGTCTTTTGGAGGTTGGTCACTGAGGTGTCCGTCCTTGCTGGTCTTTCCCAGCTGGTTCCTTTAGCCAGCCCTGAAGTTTTTTTTTTATTCCCAATCGACTTTTTGGTGAAATTTGCACTTGATCCTAGGATTCATTTTATTTATATCAAATTGGCTTTAATATCGGCTGTGCCTACACCGGTGGTACCGACCGAGGCATTATTTATTTTTCAATCTTTTTACAAGCCTCACCCTATAAAATGTCCCTGTCTTTTGTGCTGTTTTTGTTCACCATTTTGAGCTAGTTGGTAGTTGTTATGACTACCAACTAGCTCAACTTTCAACTTTATTAAAGCTAACGATACTCTTTTCAACGTCGCTCAAAACACGACACTCGCACGTGATTGCACGTTGATTTTTTAGAATTCACGCGTAGCATTTTTTTTTTGTCGGGAAGCTGCAAATTAGTGTACAGTGCAGCTTAGAAAGTTCATTAGGGCTAAGACATTTTAGAAAGAATTTTAAATCAACATCTCATATGATGGTTCACTGATCTAGTGACTGAAACACCTAGTCCTCCATAACGCCATCCGCTGTAAAAAGTCAAGTCGTAAGGTGTATATGGTGCACTGGGGTGCATGTCGCGATTTCACAACGATAGGCATCCGTCACTTAGATGGAGGCGACTTTTTATAGAACGCATATATGTCACAAATTCGCGACACTTGCCCAAAAAGGGTTAACGAAAGACAGAACAAAAGAAACTGTGCCTTCTCTCTGGCCAGAGAAACTCACCAAAAGATACGTAATGCGACATCATTCGAGTTGCTTTGCCTACTGCACTTCAGACGTCTATCGAGGTGCCTCTTTAGTTGCCACATGTGCTCCACTCCCCTCCTAGGTTGCGACTAATCACAGTGACCCTTCGTGCGACACCGCGTCATATGATGCGACAGTGCATAACATGGTGTCACGGGACACGTCACTGCATCAATTATACTCCAGCTCGGGTCTTTCCGCTAAGTTTAATGGAGAAACTTCTCCGCCGAATTTAGCTCGAGGTCCTCATACAGATGGACGCGCATGGTCTTACGGTTTGGCAACTAGTGATGGGCCGAACTTTTGCCGAATCGAAAATTCAACGCCGAATCTTAGGATTCGGCAAAGCCAAATTTTTGCTGATCTTTTCTAAAGATTTGGCAAAGATTGCTGCCAGACCTAGAAGTTGATGAAATACATTGCTGCCAGACCTAAAAGTTGATATTTCATTTTTTCGGGAGAAAAAAGACTTTAGGTTTGTTTTAAATGCATACTGACACAGCTATTACTAAATAAGGTGATATTCTACAAGATAATTGTATCGGCGTCATTTTTGTGTGATTACTGGCAATTTTACAGCTACGTTTTGCAGAAGTGGTGCAACGAGGTTGGGTAGTGGCGCGACCGCAGTCACAATACTCGAGTTTCGGTTTTGAGGCCTCATCAGCGCAAGCCCGCAATTGCGTGCACATTGTTAAAATAAAGACGGTAACAGTGTACTTACTTTCTCTGCTAGTCACCGTTTCGTGCGCGAAAATGAATGCAACAGCAGCTGAGACTCCACCAGAAGAGATAACCATAATATTGTAAATATGCACGTTTTCTGATTTTAGTCACTTCAGCTTTGCAGGAAAATGCGTCCCATATTCGCAACATCTCGTTTTTAACTTATAAAAAGCCGGCGTCTGATGTCAGGACACACGTGGACGTTAAGGAAGATGGGAAGTTAGGAATGTCGGATGTGCAATTTTGAACATGATAGTTGTGTGTTTAGTTTTATGCAAGTAGATGAAAACCGTGAAATAATTATAATTAAAAATCAATATTATTTGTTTTGGCACAAACTACTTGTGAGCCGAAAACAGGATTGCTATAATGGCGAGGAGTGTTTTAAAGTACTTGTTAGTCAATGTTGCAACTACCTCGTTGCATCGCTGCAAAGGTCAAATGAAAATCACGTTATCCAGAATGTACCGCATCATTTGTCCCTTGTGCTGTGGACTGCGTCAATTCCTGATCAACCTTCTGTTCTTGAGGCAGAAAACATGGAAGAGAACCACACTCACAAAGGCTGACAAACACAGAGTTACCATATACTCCGCTCCTCGCCGTAAGCGCTGGTAGTACTGCACTATGCAATGGTAACCGCACGGCGTCCATTTGCAATCTATAGCCCCCTTGCGCTCTCGCTTGTGCGTAGACGTTTGCCGAATCTTCGCCAAACTTATTTTCAAAGTTCGGCATGTGCCAAACTTTGCCAAATGTTTCGGCAGATTCGGTTCATCACTAAAAGTGCTATTGCATCCAAGACAGTTTGCAACCTCATTTAGTATGATTGACATATCTATGAGTCACGTTAAGAGGAGGAGACAACTTTATTTATAATCTATTAGATTTGTAGGGTCAAGCCGATACGTGGAGAGACGGCCACGTGAAACATTTCCTCCCTGCACCGTAGCAGGAAAGCTTTTAAATACAGACCCGGTTGCCCTCGCAAAAAAAAAACAATCTTATTTCTACAGGGCCAGGACGGTCTGGGGTTTCTCAACGTGTCCAATCGCTTTTGTCGGGAACCCGTCCGGGTGGCTTACGTGCTTCACCGTTCTCCAGGGAGGCGCAGGCAGAAGAAAACAATCTCCTCAGGACCAGACTGGCAGAATTTGAGCAAACGGTGGCGCAGCTCAGGCAGCAACTCGTCAACGAACAATTCGAAAGGCACGTAACCGAACCTGCGGTACATGGAACGCGTCTTCAACCGGTGCGTTCGGCGTCCCGTCCTGCCCACGCGTCGAAAGTGGTCCCGAAACGGCAACAGACAACGCCGCAGGAGTCGGGGCATCGCCATCATCTCGACGTCCCAACTCCCAGTTGCCGAAGCTCCCGCGGACTGTAACATTGGAGAGCGACCTGCTGCAGAACGGGCGTCTGCCACATGCACCCCCGCTGCTGGGATACTGCCAGGAGCGCGACCGGCGACAGCACGACATTTCTACGACGTCACCGGGCGGAAATGAAGGGACCACTTTTTAGGAACGCAGTAAACGCACCGGTCGGAGACGCGCTCCAGGCATCATACCGAAAAAAATTGTGCCGATGTTTGTGCAGATTGTTGTGGCGTAACTTCCCTTCGCGTTCTCTCGTTCAGGGAGAAGTGCCAAGAGGACTTCAGACGATGGAAGGAACAGCAGCAGGGTGGACTGCGGGGAAGATTGACGCTTCATGGTTTTGCCGGCACTCTGCAGACTAAGCTGAACTTCAGTCCGGAGAACGGAGCACAGCCCCAGTGATCGGGCAAAAGACCCAGCATCCACTCCATTTAGCTCTTCGAGGGACCTCGTCACCTTCGGCAGGAACTTTTATGAATACTTTACGTACTTGTGCTGCATGTTTTAGGACGTTAGTACCTTTGTACATAAAGAGGAATGACTGATTTTAATGTGAGAAAACGGATTCATATACTCGGTGTTTCGGCGAAGACATTTAAAACTCCCAGTGATGCGATTGCTGCGCCATTTGTGCCAAAACTGTGAGGAGCTTGCACCAACATTACGCCAAAACTTCATTCCGTTTATTAATACTGAAAATATAGTGGCCACACGTTCGAATCATTACGGTAGACTAGTGCGAGGTTTCACAAGTTTCGATTTTAACCGCAAGTATTGTACTATCCTATATTTGATCTCTCTGTCAGTGTCAAACTCTGACGGTATCTTCAATTTTCGCAATATCTCTCATGTTCCTAATCTGCTCTGGCGTGGAAGCTAGCTTTGTTGAGCACGCTTCTCGCTGCGCTCGTGTACTGCAGTGAAGCAGCAACCGCAAGTAAGCGTCAGAGTGCTAAAGGGAAAGCATTTGCCCAGAGAGGGACATTAAACACGCAAGCGTCAGGTATATCAAACAAAGGAACTTCGTAAGTGTTAATGTAACAGCTCTTGGGTGCATTAAAAATTTCAGAATTAAACTGTGGCTATATCATAGGATAGGCTGCAGTGTTCTGGTGATATCTTACAGTATTCAAATTCGTGACTCAGCGAGGGTACTAACAAGAAAATCGATATGAACTGCTTGGTTTATTCTTATTATAAGTCTGTTGTTTAGTTGCCACCTTTATATACAGTGCTTTATCTGTTCAAGGTAGTTGATAGAATAAATTAAAACTAAATTAGGTAAAGCAGTAGAAGGAAGATTGGACTTTAGCTGGATTGTTTTAAGAAGGCATACTTATTGTTAACATGCCGACCTCTGTTTTGAGGTTCTACATACAAAATGTCTTTAATATCACTGCTAATAATTTCAGTGCTGTGTCCGTGTTACTTCTTTGTCTGGTCCTTCGTCTTTTGCGCTGTTTTAGAGCGCAGCTCTTAGGGGCCCGTTCCCGGCTTGAGCGGCGTCGCCGTCGGCGTAACCAAGGTCACCCCAAGGTCACATGACTCCCAAGGTCACCCCAAGGTCACACGACCCCAAGGTCATCCCAAGGACACTAAACCCCCAAGGGCACCCCAAGGTCACGTGACCCCTCCCCAGTGTCACGTGACCCCCAAGTCACGTGACGCCCTGAGGTCACGTGACACCCCCGAGGTCACGTGACCCCACTGAGGTCACGTGACCCCCCCAAGTCACTTCAGCCCCCCCAGTACCCTTCCCTCCTCCTCCTCAAGAGCTGCGCTCTAATTCGGCGTTACAGGGAGTTGTAAACGGCTTTCACTTTTTAATCCCAAATCATGTCGTACCAACTCGCCCAAGCCTCAACTTTAACAATTTAAAGAGAAAGGATCTTTTTTAAAATCTAAACTAAGAATTTGGTCTATTACAACCTTTAGAACTTGAAATGAACATCAATTCTGTGTGCTCAAGATTGTTCTAACATTATTTTAGTGGGATATACTATTTGGATTTACATTTTATTTCATACCAAAATGACCATTCACAGTTGTCCATACTGTCCTTCATTGATCAGCATCTTGTAGCCATGCCTAATGCTTCATGTGCAACTAAACGGCTAGTTCTGTGTTTGAGAAAATCAAACCTGCCATTGCACAGGAGTGTGAAGGTAAAGCACGCACGTTTTCTAGTTTGATAGACACATAGGAATCTTAACATACTGTCGAGTCTGGTTATAACAAAGTCAACTATAATCGCTTTGCTATATCCGCTTCTTTGTTATATCTGAACTCGTACAAATAACATGAAAAAAAGAAAGATAGCACGGGCTGTCACGGGCACATGTTTATTGAGCCTGCAGAAAGCAGTTGAGGCTTCCTTGCATGCATCCTCTGCTGGATCAAAGCCGCTTCTTGCCAACTGCGAGAAGCTCCGATTTAAAAAAAAATCTTGCTACGTACGAACCAAGCCGACACCTGCGATGGCCATTGCGGAGGACGCCGGCGGTGGACAGCATTTTTTTTTGTTTATGGGTACTCCATTGAGGATGGCACGTTTTTGATTCAAGGAGATTGTCTTTGTCTTCACAGTCTAGGTGCCGACAGTGCCGAGACTCTCCATCGTTGAGTGGCGATAATTCCATGATTCGGTGTTTCAGCGAAGTAGTCTTTCACACAAGAGCGGTCTCACCGACCAAACGCCGACACGGATCATGAAGCAAACAAAGAAGCGCACGTGGCACCGAGTTTGCGATCAAGCTTGTGTGTTGTCGGTGTAGAGAGCCTAGATTTAAGAGATGGTGCAACTGCTCGATTAAGGTCACGTGGTTTGTGGGCCGCGTTTGCAAAACGAGCTGCGGCATGCAAGGAGTCAAAACTCAAAAGCGTTCACCTCCTACAAATGTGTCCGCCTCTCCGCCCAGTTTCCTCGCCACACTGGCCACGCGACAATCAAATCCAGGGGTACTTACTGCGCCCCTCTTAAATCGAGGCTCTCTCCGTCATCTCTGCCGGTATGTTGTCGCTGGCGCTCCGAATGCCCCCATTGGCTTCTCCGCGTGGGATGCGGTAAAGCCACTTCCCAGATAAGGAGCGAGGAGCAGACGACGTTGCAGAGACCGTCACCGGCAGCATTCCCAGCATGTTCTGCAGCCTGTTCTGGGTGGCTTATTGGCCACGGCAGCAAAGTGCAGCGGTCCAAGACTTGATACACTTTCCAAATTTTATTGTTTTTTTAAATTATCACAAAATTTCTCTTCACTATATCTACGGGAGCCGCTCACTTTCCTTCGCTAAAAACTGACACAAATGCATTGAAAAAGTGCAAACGGGAATGGGGAAATCGCGATCGCTTTGCTGTAGCTGCTATTTCGTTATAACCGACTTCGTTATAAATCGGTCTCGACAGTATAATATTCCCAGTGGTATGAATAAAAATGAAGCATGTGATTGTACTCCAAAAGTACTTTTTGCTGCTTCTTAATAGACATTTGGCTGCTCCGAACGGTACTACAACATGACTCAAGTCAATCGCATCACTGAAATCCCTAAAAATTGGGAAATTGAGGAAAAAATTTTCCAGGAACAAAATGCCAGCCATGGCAGTTGTCAGGGATTGCAAAAAAACATGCGAAGTAGCTAAATAGTTAAGTTTATAATTAGTGAAGATAAATACGTATTTATTCGAATATAGGTCGACCTTTTTTTTTCGGAAATGTTGTCAAAAATTAAGGGTCGACCTATAATCGTGACCAAAGAATTTCGACCTAATTCGCGACCAAAATTTGAAACCCTACCGAGGGTATGGAGCTATCAATCACCTAGCCGGCGTCGCGGAAGAGCCGCGCGGCTTCTTGTTTCAAAAAGCTTTTGATGCACAAAAACAGCCGAACAGCAGCAGCCGACAGCCCGTGTCCGCTACGGCTCTCGCGCACATTCCTCGGGCGTCGAGTTTCGCCATCACGCCTGTAGCGTTCCCCTCGCTGGGCAAGGGGGAAGGGGAGGGAGAGGAACGCGATGCGCCATGCACTTTGCACTTTGCCCTCCTATGCGCTCCATTCCTCTCTCCCTCGCAAACGCGCAAACAAAAACAAAAAGAACGGAGCTACTTTAGTTTGCTTTTTCGGCGGGTCGCGTGTTACTCACGGGGCTCGCAGCGTTACTCGTGTCTTTGTGTTAGATCTTTCGTCGCTCGCTCGTCTCCACCTTCTTTCGTTTCTTCTTGTCGTCATCCATTTTACAACGTTGCCGATTTGCGAGGATGTCTACCAAGCTGACGAAGCTTTTTTGACATCGCCCCGTGATTTAGCTGAGAGTGCTGTAAATAAAGGTTTGTTTCTTTTGCCCTAACTTTCCCCTGTTCCTTAAAAAAAAAAAAAAAAAAAATAAAAAAAAAGGTCGACCTACATTTGAATTATTATTTTTTATTCTCGGTGGGCTCAATAAATAGGGGTCGATAAATCAACTCATTAGGAAGATATAAGTAGGGTGTGTACTTTCCGGTGTTTATTTGTGAGAAAAATCGGCGGATGTTTTTCGGTGTTTATTTATTTTCAAAACACCGGTGTATTTCGGTGGAACGTCTCACGACCAGGCCAAAATCGGTGATTATCGGTGAAAAAAAAAGCGATTGATCACAGACAGAGTTTCAATTTTATTCACATAGTTCATATACTTCTTCTCTAGGAAGCCACTATTTCTCACACTTGGTTATTTTAGTAGATGCCAAGCATACTTTCATGCTTGCATCTACACGCAAGGAACGTGCTGCCGTGATGGCAGCACGTTCCTTGCGGTTCGCAACCCGCAATTATGAAAACGCACGCTCTTGTACGACACGGACGTTGGCATTGTCTTCTAGGAACCACAGCAACCTCTGAATACGTGGCTTGCACCGACATCACTTGGCCAGACACAATGAGGAAAAGGCACGTGAGAGCCTACCCTCCACTGCGTTAATTTTTCCCCAAAAGTTGGGGCTATTGGAGACACAATGGAGGAAAGGCGTATGAGAGCTTAGCTTCCACTGCGTTCACTAGACGCTTTTGACCCCCAGAAAAAAGGGTGGACTGACGCCACCTGCAAGCCATGTATAAACACTGGAAGAATGCAGGATCCACGAGATAACACGTTTGACGAACCTCTACGGGGAAAGGGTTTCGCTAGGTCGGAAACTAGCAATGGCCGATGTTTTTCGGTTTTAACCAGGGCGAACATGTCCAACCACCGGTGTTTTTCGGTTTTAACCGATTTTATATTTTCGTCACCGACGGATGTTTATCGGTGTTTTTCGGTTAAAACTGGAAAATGCACACCCTAGATATAAGGCAGGTGCAGCCTTTTACGGTGTTCCAAACGAACATTTTCTTAAGTGACACCCCCCAATTTTTTTTTTTTTATTTTTTGGCAGACAATTTAATATGGTGTCAATATTTTGCTACAGTGTCGCATACCTTTAAGGCAGTGACTATTTCGACGTCCACCATCAAAATATTTCTGAAATGATTTTGACGTCTGCGACGTCACTATGGCAAAACGTCACTTCCACAAAACGTCAAAATAGTGGCTTTAATATTTCAGTGTCCTCCTTCAAAGCAGCAGCAGCAGCCGTTTTGAAGTTTCGTTCTGTGTAGTTTCTGATGGCGTTGTCGGTGTCGTGTGGGCATTTTGACGGATTCATGTGTTGCAAGCCTAAGAAGTTTCGGTCCTAGTTAGCAGTGTGTGGGACTGGCTTGACAGTTGAACCTTTCGGACGTGACAAGCCCAGTGGCGATATTCCGAGCGTTCTAAGCTTGCACCTTTGCATGCGTCATTTAAAATTTTGAATATACAACTCTGTCTTACCTGCACGTAACAAATGTACCGTAAGTGCTTTCACTACGTAATACTGAGAAATTTGGTGCGCATTTTGTGCCTTTATATCATGCGAGCGTGTCTTCGTATGGGTTGCAGTCTCGCTTTGCATCTGTCCCCTGCGTTTTTAACCGGGTTTTGCGAGTTCGTTTTGTTCAATTTTTTTTTGTTTTTGTTTTGTCCGTGTATAGCGCATGGGTTAACCACCAAACAATTGGGATGTTAAATAAGAGGTTATGAATGCAAACATTGCCTCCTCCTTGGCATTTCTTGACCGGTGCAAACGAACAAAGGTTCTGGCGCAATTGTACGAGATGCACACATTTTATATTAATTGCAAATTTTATGACACGGCATTCAGCTCCTTTGTCTATATAAATCTCGTGAAATAAATCGTGAAAAGCTCCGGTTCCACATTCTGCAATGTTTGACTCTACCAAGCAGATGTTACGTGTGACCTAATAAATAAAATACTTCAAAGGTGTTTTTCTTTTTTTTTTTTTGCATTTTCCTTTTTTTAGAAGGTCATAAAAACAGCTGTCGACTGCATAACATTTGTTTTCGGAAATGCATGTCAAAAAGCGACTCTGCCTGCAAGCTAATTGATATTTTTTTGACCGCCACCCTCGATCACTTTCCAGTCCGGACTCGAAGCTCCAAAGTTCAAAGTTGGAGACGTCAAAATAATTAGAAAAATATTTACACAAGGGACGTCAAAATGTTTTAAAAAATATTTGCATGTCTTCAGAAAGTGGCGTCACGGACGTCAAAATACTGTTCAAAAATATTTTGAGAGTGGACGTTGAAATAGTCAGTAATGCAACAGATTGAAACCGAGACTGGGGAGGAAGAAGAAATGTGGAAGAGGAGAGGGTTGCCGGAAGTCACGTGTCTACACCCAACTGTGTTTTGCTTTCTTTATTTGTTTTTTCAGCTGTGCAAAGCAGGCGAAAAACAAAAAAGCAACCACTTGGTGCTTGACGCTTGTGAATTTTTCAAGCTCTTACCAATTCGTGTGCATAAAACGGGCTGAAGCGCACACCCAGCTCGACGCGCGTGGAGCGAAAGCTCACGCTGCAGAACCCAGGGATCCTGGGTTCGAGCCCCACCCCTGCCCGTTTCGATCTGGATGAGCATCGTACCGGCGTGCGGTCGTGTATCACTACTGCGTGGTGCACGTTAAAGACCCCAGGCTAGCGGTTGTACCGCACTGGCTGAATTGCTCATCTACAGTGTAAACCAGTGTCGCCCCTACTGGCAGACCAACCTTACGCTGTATAAATCACTCAAACGTCCAATTTGACTTTGATTTTGTCTTCAACCAGGAGGAGCGATGACTCAGCGACGCCTTCGTGCCAATCAGCTTGGTGGTCGGGCGTCTTGTATGGAATAAACCCCAATTGTTTTGATCGGTAAACAATTTATCTCTCTAAGCTAGACAGATTCGCCGGTATCGCTAAGGACAGTTCTGAAGTAGAGGTCCCACACTGTCAACTGCCACCATTGCTTAGTCCACTTGGTTCAGCCGTCCAGCCCACGACACGACGCCATGTTGAGAATTGCGCAGAGAATGCACCAGAATGCAGAGTGCCTCTGGTTCTCTGTGCAATTTTTTTTTTCTTTTTCAATCAATGTATTATTAGCAGCCTTTTAAAAGCCACCAAAAATGGGTATCTTCTTTTTTTCTATTTTTACTGTAGAGCTGTTAAGGGCTAGTTTCCCCAGAATCGTGTCCATCCTCAAATGACCCGATGACACAGAACTCGACAGCTACCGCCATCTATGAGCGACGGCGGCAACCAGACTGGTTGTCTGGTTGCTGCTGTCGCTCATAGATGGCGGAAACCGTTCGAGCCTTTCCACTCTGGCTTGCCGACTTGCGGCCGGCCATTGCTTCATTCCCACCATAGAACAGCTCCGCTGGTCTTCCTTCATCAGAGTGGAAAGGCTGAAAGTTTTAATATTAAGTGTGCCTTCGATGGCCCACGACTGATATATTTGGTATGTGTTTAAACCATAGTGAACAGCATGTGACCACAGCGCGGCTCGATCGGCTGTTTTCGGGCAGAAAGAAAACCAATTTCAAGCTGCAAATTGTGTTCTGGGTAGATATGCTCTCATGTCATGTCTAAATATTTCACCTAGTGAGTAAAAAGAACTTGTCAGTGTCCCATTAAAGCACATCCTCACACCAGCAGTCCTGCCCCCTGGTGGCCGAGGCACACGACGCATGTGCGCCATATTTCATTTCATCCTTACGAGGGAGGCAAGGAAGTAGCCGCCCGGTCCGTTCAGATAGGAAATGGAAACCTAGAATTGAATTCACATGGAGCATATCTTTTTACGCCATAAAATGGTGTATCTGCCTTGTATCTTTCTAAATTAGGTCGATTTGGTGGTTTTCAATGATGCTCAGGAAGGTTATATTTAGAACCACATGCTTATTTTTGACAGATTCAAAAGTTAATTATTAAAGGTTAGCCATTTAGCTAACTAGTATGCCTTTGGCAATCCCTGCTGCAGCCTGTTCCTGGAGAAGTTTTCTCTCGCCCACCCTTTAGAAAGTCTTCACCGAAACACAATGTCTGTTCTGTATTGCGAAGGTCGTTTTGAATATATATTGAGCAAAGTTCCCAAAAATGTTTTTTATTGCTGCCATTTTTTTTTAAACAAAAATATGTATATATAACATTATGTACAGTTTGCCTCAGTGTTCATACAGCTAATAATAAATTAAACGTATAAATCTGCCCCCGGAATAGTCGGCGTCTCTGCCGCTTCGATGTGACCCGGACGAGTGGAGAGTGGTACTGGCTCCCGCCGCACGAAGACGGTTAACGGATGTTTGGGCGTCTCGACGCGGCCGCTCACGGCGTAAAGAGCAGCTCCACGGCAAAGTCTGCATGGTAGGTGGTCCAGGTCTTCTGCTTGTGCGGGTTGTCTAGGACGTCCCTCTTCAGAAATAAGCTGGATGAGAGACACCAGGTGTGAATGCAACACATGCCACGCTTCAACGCACCTTGCACCAAATCCGAGCACAGCAAACGCCACGATTCGACGAAGCAGAGCCAGAAGGGCATCGTCGCGGCACTCGTCTTTGCGTGTTGGCTATCGTCGGATAAACCAGTCGCGCACTTTTTTCTGCGCGCGACTTTCTTCATTAGATTGTTGCATCAGCTGCGCTCGGGCATAGTGCAAAACGGAGTATAATATAAAAAGCAATATTCGAAGTGATCAACGTTTTGAAACCGCTTTTCCACACAAGGCCCGAGAGGCATGTCACGAATAGAGCCTAGAGTATCGGCAATCCATTCCCTGACCTTTCATGCTTAGTGTAGCGGGGATGCAGTTGGGATTCGAAAGTGCGACTTCCCGAGCTCTAGAAGGAAGCTCAGGCAATATTGTTACGCTCCGTCATGGCCCGTTAACAGAAGTCTGGAGGACAGGAAACTGTTTCCTACAGTTTCAGATGAAGCTTCGGAACATCAATTTTAAGCACCAAGACGGCTTAAGTGTCGCACTCTGAAGCCCGGTTTATTCAGTGGCTCTAGTCACAGAGTGCACAGACGAAACCGGTTTGTCTCGACGTCGGAAGCGGCGGTACAGTTGCGCCGCATTTCGACGGTGCCCCTACAAACGGAGCGTTTTTCCGAGCTCTCGATAGCCCTACGCAAGCGATGAAACTTCCCATAGGTTGACGCGCCTTTTAGAAACAAGCCCGCATTTTCCCAGATTAGGTGTGGGCAACGCACATGCACAGAAACCAAAATCGGGCGAAGCGTCCGAGCCATGCCGACAACGGGCAGCGATGCCGCAGCAAAGCAATGTTCCAGTTGCGCGTCCATCTGCGCTCCGACGGACAGCGGAGGAAGCCACAAGCCATCAAAGCCAATTCCGTGCCGTGCAGGGCGTCGCCTTCGGAAGGAGCGCAGCGGCATGCGGGGCATGTGATCGCGCGAAGTTATGAGCACCGAATCGGCTAGGATGGCTCGTAACGTCCGCTGCAGCCCACCCTTAAGATAAAACCGAGCATGACACTCGTGAAACTTTCTGCGGTCACCGGCAGAGCAAGAATGACAGAGAGGCCCTTCGGTTGTCATCCTCCTATTCTCATCCCGCCATTAACTAAAGTGAGATACAGTGATCTAACCTCTTGTCCCTGATGAAGCTGGTATGGAACCAGAAGAAGAACGGACAGTCCTCGTAGCCGCGCGGAACGGATGACTGCGGAAAAACGGAACAAAGATGGTTCAGCACCCAATTCAAATCAGCACCCTGGTCGTCCCCGCTTAGTCACTCACGCTTTGGCACCAGAACCTGAACTTGACGTCTCCCCTGACGACGGGGAAGTTGATGGGAATCACTTCAAGAACGTCCGCCTCCGAACGGTAGTTGGCCTGCGGAAATTTAGACGCAAAATGTGTTTTGGGGCCACTGTCCATCGGCGAGAATCGAACCGCAGACCTTTTTCTTGGTAGTCCGATGCCCTACCCCCGCCAGAAGAGCAAATTCTGTTAGTATCGTTATACTGTAGTTGCTCTGTGCTCATGTTGTCACAAAAGCTTCGCTGCTCCAATGCTGGAGGGAGTCACAATCACGCAGTCACCATAGATTGTGTGATCACCATGTTAGGTGATCGTATAAGCTACAATTACATGACGCGGCGGTATCACGTGACCCATAGTCGCAGCAGTCATGTGACTCATAACGAGACCAACCGTGTACAACCATGTGACCCATAATCGCCAATTACAAAGGGGATAGTGAGCCACTGCGGCTGCCCCTACAGCAACTGCAGCGGCTCCTCGCAGGTCAATTTAAGCAGTTTGAGCTCTCCCTCATTCTTCACAAAGCTGCAGACACCATCCCTTAGGGACCAATATAAATTTAAATTTCTCTTAATCCTACAGATAAGGTTGGAAGGCGCATTATGTGCGCTGTGACTTCAGAGCTCAGAAACGCCAGTAAATAAACGCCGAGGGCAGCTCAAAGCACTCAAAACATTCTCTATCTCCCATCTTTATTTAAGATATTTACAGTCACATCTTGTTAATACAAACCCTGTTAATACGGATACCCTGCTATATAGACAAAGTTTTCAGGGACGAATTGGGTAAATACCATGTTTCTCGAAGTACAGTATGCATTTTCTTTCTATATGTATGGACCTTAACTGCAGAAATTTGACATGGAGGTTATATTCTTATTTCGATTTGTTGACAAAAATATCGAAACTCGCTCTTGCTTGCGCATGTATAGCGATCATAATAAAGTAGTGTTGTGCAAATATTCAAATTTTCAAAAATTAGTTTCGAATATTACGCTACTCGATATTCACTTTCAGATGAACTGGAATATTCGAACTTTTTGCAGTGTTAATCACGGTGAGCTAGCCCCGTTGAGTGCGCTTCTCACCGAGCACCTATGCATGCAGAGCGGGGAAGCACCACCGCCGGCGTTTGGGGGCTTCGAAGGTAGTGCTTCCCCGCAGTGCACTCAACGGGGCTAACCTGCCACGATTATGTCACCTGTGCTCATCATTCGTGCTCACTTTGTTGTTGTTTTTCGACATATTGGAAATTGAAAAAAGAATATTTGCATACAGCAAACAGATTTCTAAACACTCTCGATTAGGATAGCCGCGACAATCTTGTCGTTTGCATGCCACAGGTCATAAATATACTGTAAAGACCGGTTATAACGAAGTCGGTTATAACGAAATAGCGACTACAGCGAAGCGATCACGATTTCCCATTCCCTTTTGCACTTCGTTATAACCGAAGTCGGTTATAACGAAATAGCGGATATAGCGAAGTGGTCTCAACGGTAGCTACATTAAAATTAACTGAGGTTGGAAGTGGACAAGTGGAAGGTAGTGAACAACTTTCACGAGTACAGACGAATTTTTGTTTAAGCATGGTGCATGACGGCGAAAGGCTCGAAGAAACGATTCGGTATTCAATTCGAAAATATTCGGCCAAAACCACCATTCGCTTCAAACTCAAAACCCGCTATTCGCACACGACTGCAACACACATATGCGGGCATTTCAATCCAGTTGTGCTGCACCGAACGTACAAACATATAAATGCGACATATACAAAGGTGCCCTAAAGACCAGAAAATATGGTACACACACTTTTGTCTCGGTAGTATGGACAACTTCGCATTACTGACTTTTTGGGGGATCACCATATTATCCCGACAGCACGACGCCATTGTGATTCAGGAGAACTCCTAGTGGCAATCCACATTAAAGCTGTAAGCTACAGTTCGAGCTTAGCACGCAAGGTTCGGCTTCAGCTGTTGTATGCTCGAAACAGGGCGTACAAACCAACAAAACATTCGTACAAGGGCAAAAATTAGCCCTGGAACACGTCTTCCGGCGACGACCGTATAGAAACAACGAGACGTGCTTCGCACCTGACAGTTCATCTGGCGTCCAAAGTCCATTTCGAACACCTTCGTCCTGCCTTCGAACACCTCGCACGAAAAGTCCGTTCCCGTTCCGCGTCCGAGACCTGCAATCGGAACGTGCAGAGACAATTCACCGTGGGCTAAAGACTGGTTTCAAACATATGCGTCTGACCGTACCCGAAGGCACTCCATTCCCCCGTAACCATTTATGCTGAGCGAACGCACTGGCAGTGTCTGTCGAGTAGCCCCGAAACTGTGTATATGGGGTGTCTCCCGAGCAGACCTTCCGTCGCAAAACGAGCCAGGAAAATCTGAGAGCACAAGCTTCCCCCAAACGTGCACTCAGCAGGTCGGGCTTACTGTGCGAAATCTCGGGGCGCAGTTCTCTTTCCGTAAAAAAAAAATTGGAGCAAAAACTTGCCAAACTCATGGTTGGGCACGTTCGCAGACGACCATGTTGGCAACGCTTATTACTTGCGGTGCCATCTCCCGACAGGCGCAGCAAGCAGACAACATACCCTGTCGTCTGCTCGCTGCACCTACTGGGAGATGGCGCCACAAGTAATTAGTGCTGCCAACTCGGTCGTCTCCAAACGCGCCCCACATTGACTTTGGCAAGTTTTTTGCTCTCATTTCTTTACAGGAAGGGAATTACGTCTCGACATTCCACACGGTAAGGCTGACCTGCTCGGTGCACATTTGGTGGAAGCTTGGGCTTTTTACGTGCAGGTGCCGACTTTTCCAGCTGGTTTTACAGCGGAAGGACAACTTGGGACATCCTATATATAGCTAGATTGAAGGGTCTGCAGTATTTGCAAGATAAACCTATGCACTATCTACGAGAAATGGTCGTTTAAACTAAGATTCCACTTTTTCGGGATTTATTTTTTCTGAAATCCGAAATGCCCCATTCTCTTCTTTTTTTTTTTTTAGTTTTTGGCGTTGAACAGAACATGGATGCTTATTGGTGCTCGTGTTGAAGAAAATAGAACACGAGAATAGATTTCCCTAACCATCAGGGAACATACGCATGAACTAAATATGAAATGAGGGGTGTGGTCCCAAAAGAAGCAGCAGCTTAGCACACAATTCAGGGGGCACTCTGTTCTGGGTTAACACAAAATGAAACCATAGACAAAGACTATTTTATCACGAAGCTTGGGTTTTCCTTTTAAAAGGAGAGTGCCAGTTCGAGGTTCTTCGGTTTTACCTATTTTCATTAAAACCATCCCGGCGGTTTAATTTTCGGGGCTTATCAGTACTTACCAAAAACACAGGATCCTACAAGTAACATTTTCAAGCCCACAGCGAAAGAATGATGCGTAAAAAATTGTAAATAAAAATTGCACAGACAATCGTGCCACGCAATGCGAACGGACAGCGTTGGCTGGTGCGACATTTCAATGATATTGCGTCGCGATCGATGGGAAATTCCGGTGATGTTACGTCATGCAACATTTCATGAACCACAACCGATTGCACGCAAAACGACTAGCACCAGAGACGTCGAATGCATTCCATCCCAACACCCGCGGCGAGACCGTCGGCGCCCACACATTCACAACGTTCTCTCACGCAAGCATTTGCACCGTCGAGCAGCCGCCACTTTCTTCGGCGCACGCTTTGGCCGCCCCATCCTCGCGCGCAAAGGCTTAGAGCGCTGAGGGAACGGGCGATCAAAGGCGAGAAAGCAAGTGGCGAGGAGCGCAATCGCACGACCGCTGGCGCAACCGCGATTGGTCGAATGCACTGCGCATGAACTGCGACTACAATCGGCAAAAGGGCGAGGGTATCAATGCTGTACTCTCCCTCTCCCAGAGTCAAAACCACCCGCAATAAATGGGCACATGCTCAGTTTGTTTTGGGCAACACAACACTTTCCCAGCACAGCCGATGCTGTAAAATATGTATGTATGTATAAGTGGTTTGGGGATACATAACCCATGGTGTCATTGCGTTGTCTCGTCATACGCAGCGACGAGGAAACGCACCTGAGCACAGACATGCAGTCGGAGGCACACGTGTGCACCAGCCTTAAATCGCTGGCACACAGAAAGGCAGCATGGCGCCAAATCCGCTGCTCACCGGACAGCTTGTAGATTCGGATCTCAGACACCTTCTGGGGGACCTCCTCGGGGACTTGTCCATTGTGTTTCTCCTTCACCTCCTCGAAATACTCCACGTAACGATTCTAGAGACAAAGTATGAGACTTAGGCATGCAGACATTTCTAGCAGAGGAAAACTGTCGTCTCCACAAATGTCAAAGGAAATTAGTTGGGGATTAGAGTCAAGAGATTTGAGAGAGTCGGAGAGATGGGAGAGCTTTCGTACCTGGCTCGGAGTCTCGACACCTTGGAACTTGGTCCCGACAGTCTTGTCCGTCCGCACGTTGCCAAAGTACTCCAAACTTGCCTGAACAAGGGTTAGACGATACAATTAATGTGTTACTCTAGTATTAGCATACCTGCCAGGAAAAGAAATACTGTCAACTTATTCTTAAAGAAAGTAACGTTTCTCATCTCCGCTATAGATAAGAAATGTAGCGAATGCAGCACGACTGCTAGCCTGGGGTCTTTAACTGCACCACGCAGCATACTGATACACGACCGCATGCCGGTACGACGCTCATGCAGATCAGAGCAGGCAGGGATGGCGATCGAGGTGCCTCCAAGCTGTAGCAGTCGCGTTGCATTGCTCGCGTCAAGCTTCACTGCATTGCTCCAGTACGTGTGTGCCAAGCTTCACCTCTATGTGCTGGCGTGCTTGGAGAAGCCACTGGCACGAAAGAGCGGCTCAGTTAGCTTTTAATGGGGTTGGAAATCTTGCTCACTATTACGAGTCTACATTCTTGGTCGCAGTTGTAAATCGACTCCCAATTTTCGACAACTTTTGCAGAAAACAATCTTCAACCTCAAAAAAATAGGGAATATTCATTTTCAAATCAAGAACTATAATAAAAGAAAACATGAAAGTTACTCCTCGTAAGAATAAATTGGCTTCCACCGGAAATGGAATGCCCCCTAGGTGGCCACTGAAAAAATCCACTTTTTTCAGCGGCCACCAGTCACCCACATTGCGCGAGTTGCGCTCCATTTCAGGTGGAAGCTAATTTGTTCTTATGTAAATCTTCCCCCCCTTGAAGACTTCCCTTAAGAATTCTCGGTAAAACCGAGAAACGTGGGGCTTACCTCGGCCGACTCAAACAGCCCATTGTGCACTAGCAGCATGCATATCATGGTTCCGGTACGTCCCTTGCCCCCCTTGCAGTGAATAGCCACCACATTCTCGGGGTCCTCGTTGAGGAATTCCTGCGCCTTTGCCACAAACTGAACGGCATCCCTGCAGAATCGGTGACACACAACCCCAAGTTGCAACACTGACCAGGCAGTGAACAGGTTGCACCATCCGATGCAGAATTTTAGCAACCTCGAGACTGCCTGCGGTCGCCATCATTGGACCCAATCTCGAGCTCGAACGTTACTACCGAACTGCAATGCAGCACTCCTACACAATCATTCAGTGGTATGGCCCGTTCAGAATTACCCTTGTTTTTGGCCATGACCAAGCGATGACCAGCAGCCAATCGCTTTCTGTTCAATGGTCTACAGACCATTCCAATAGTCACCCTCTGCCACCTTTTTCAAACCAGGCTATGGGATCTGTTCCGAGCATGCACAGCAGTTATCGTCTGCCAAATATTGCACGCCGTGCATATGTGCGAGACTGTCCTTTTCATCTAGTTAATAAGCTCCGGAAAGGTGTATAGCTGGCAATGACAATGCACAATCGACTCCGACGACTTTTAAATTAAAGCAGAGAGTTACGATCATGAGGGATTCAAGGAAGCAATGGCGGACAACAAAACAGATGGTACCCTGTACTTCTTCACATTCACTTTACTATGAGACTCAAAATAAAACATCCCATTGCACATCGATGAGCACTCCTTGCAGCAACTCTCAATGGTTTGCACAAGACCCAAGTACGTAGCCAGGATTTTGTTTCGGGGGAAGGGGGGGGGGGGGGGGGGGGGGGGGGGGCCGCCCATGACAAAATGCTGTATGAGGGGGAGGGGGGAGAGGCGTCCCTAGCAAAATGAAAGATTTCAGGGGGGGGGGGGGGGGGGTGCACCTTGTGGGCCCTCACACTGGCTACATGCCTGAACCATGCTAGCTGACAGTGGAACAGTAGTTGAACCATGTTTTTAGTATATTCATGGAATTTTAGAATTCTGTCCTCCTTACAGAAAAATTACCCTAAAATCTCGTAAGGGCGCCCTCCCCATTCTTCTGGCTAAATATCCGTAACATAAAAATTATAAACTTCGTCGGACATTACGCAATGTTCGACGGGAATCGTATCGACTGCGCGATCTGCTGTACCGTCTTGTCTGCGATCTGTGCATGCGGTATCGGTTCCTGAGGCGTGCAAGTTTGTAGCCGGTTTCCACGTGTTTATCGCACTGCAAAACATGAATCTGCTGCATCTGCAGTCTGCAATATCCTCAGCGACGAGAGTTTGTAGCAAATTCCCACTTGTTTATCGCGTTTTGAAACCCGAATTTGCTGTGTTCGCGATTTGAAGTATCAGTTCCCGTGTCACGTATTTTATAGCTAGTGCCTGTTTTTCATTCATTTTTTTATAAAATTTTGCTGTCTCATTTTACCATTTTTTTTTTTTTTTTTTTCATTTTGGGTGGGTGTTCTTAAGGGGTTTTACGGTCATGTTTTGCTTCCCTCAAAAAAAATGGCCTTCGCCTAGAAAAAGTTAAAAACTTACTTGAGTAGCGGCACGTTGTGGTCGTCAATGAGATAGCGCTCGATGCACCCCTTGAAATGACTGTTGTCATATGTGCGTTCACCTGCAAAGTGCTCTTGTCAATATAGCCTGCTTCAACTGCACGCGTTTCCAAATATAATATGTGGAACATGTGCTGCCAACTTACTGCACATGTTGTAGATTCGGTAGTGACCAGAGTGCTTGGTCTCAAAAAACCGTTCCACTTCCTGTTGCAAAGATACTTTGATTAGAAACAATTTGGTATTAAGATCACTTTTTTTTATTACTGTAAGAGCAATCCAACTTACTTGGATGGGATTTCGGTACCAGGACATTCTTCCGGACGACGGGTAGGACATTGCAATGATTCGATCTGACATGCAGTGGAAAGACAGAAGTCCCGTAAGACTAACTTAGGGAGTTACCCGAGTTCCTCAATGTGTCTAGGGTTCAGGATTTCTAAGCTTCTTTCAGAAAGTGTATTTGACCAATGATTTTTTAGTTCTTTTCGTTCGCTTCCTCCTGCCTTAGTTGCCCCCCAGGTACTTGTTTTCCTCCCTTGCTACCCTTGCAGTTTGAGCGGAGAAAGAAGAGGAGCTTCTGCCTTGCAGAAGACTGGTACTGTGCATATGATTATAATTAGTATTATTATACGTTGGCCTTTGAAACCTCACTCCTTGCACTCGGGTATGGCCAGGAGCATGATCACATGACGAAAGACTGACATATACCCTGAAATCGTCATGTTCATGATTTGGCTACCAGCCTTGCACATTCCTGTGTGCAAGATAATGCTACATATGCTATCACATTTATTTTATTATGGCGGCTGTTTCTGATCACAAATGTTTGTTTATGCTTAATCTCCAACACATTGCTTCGGGGTAATCTCCTGCGACTCGAGTGCTGCACAAAATTCCCCCAAGCAAAGTTGACTTCATACAAAGGCAGAATGACATTAACAAGAATGGCAGATAGTTTCACTACTCCGAGAGGTCAAGCATTCCTGCTCGGTACAAACTTCTGCATAATGATGCGACTGCAGCTCTTGCGGCTCTTCAAGAAAAAAAGTAGCTTTGAACAGAGGGAAAGGGCAAACAATGCTAGTAACCCCCACTCTCAAACTGGTATTAAATAAGCTAGCAAAATAATCTCTGCAAAAAAAAGCTTTGATTTTGAAGGATTTAGGCCTGCCAACATCTGAAGACAATTTTCAACAAGTGCCATTGTTTTCTGCCATAAAGTTTACTATAGTCCGTTGCAACCTAAGAACGAAGGGCGAGGGTAAGACGGGTCGGGGAGCAGGAAGCAGACTGAACGCTGCAGAAGAAAAGGGGAAACCTCCTTCTCTCTTTACCGTTCCGTCTGCTTCTTCCTCCCCGGCCCGTCTTACCCTCGCCCTTTGTTCTTAGGTTGCAACGGACTATAGTTACCATTTCAAAAAAATGTTGTGGAAACTTTGAATTAATTTTTTTCTTCAATTTAGTGTTTCAATATATATTTCATTTTAGTCACTGCTTTTTGATAACAAGATTAAAAGAAAGGCTGTCTTCTTTTCCTCACACAAGTTTAATTATAAATGCAGTTCAAAAAGCTTCTTTTTTTTTTTTTACTTTTCAAGGTTTCTAATAAAAAAAAAAGTGACTTAAGGATTTGGAAAGTGTAAAACATGTTTGAGTTTGCAGAATAATGTTATTACAAAAATAAATTACTTACGACAAAATATTTTTACAGTCGCACTCACCAGGCATTTTGCATTGTATTTAGTCAAGAAATGCTGAACACTGTAGTATTAGTTTTCTAGCGATAGATGGACTAAGAAATTCTGGTGTGTCCCCGATAGAAACTGTTGTAATTTTCTTCACAATCAATCCAAGGGTTCAGAAGTTGGCCTTTTCGGGCAGCGTCTTCTTCTCCCTGTAGCAGCGAGAGGTTATGAAACTGGTGCCAACTTTGACGCCGTCGTGCAGGAAGGCTAGAGCGCGTATTGAGCCTAGGGTGTTGTGCCTTTAGAAAAAAAGGAAGAAACAAACCAACCTGTGACATAGACGAGGTCCAGGTCAAAACCATCTTTCTGGTAGCGACGCTTGTTCTCGGACACCATCAGCCGAGCACCACGCGTTAGGTTTTTCTTTTCCGTGCATATCCGGACTAGGCTCACCACTCGCACCACCCGACCAATCACGACCAGCCTGGGAGATCACAATCGCATGAACGCATGCAAAGATGTCATCGTCAAACCCTCACACAGCGTAACCGTGCCAGTTCGCATGTCAACAAATGGTGATTCAAACTCTCAACGCTTCTACCGGGCTGATAGCAATGGACAGCAAACAGCTCGCATAATTTAACATGGTCCTTAAAATATGAACCGACTAATAATAATCTGCTGTCTTCAGTGAAGTATGGGCTAATGATAGCTGCAGATTTGCATCATTTTGACTGCCTTCAATGATGAATAAATTGACCACATAATCGGCCGGCTCTTGGCACATGACGACAGACCTCCATGTTGAGACTCAATAAGCATCACTCAGCTAATGTATAGTCTGTCGCAAGTTCAAAGTAGCGGGACAAGCCCTTCCCACAATGCTCTTTGCTTGTGGTGACTAATGATTTTTTCCTTTCCAGTGATGCGACTGGTTTAAGTCATTTTGAAGCAACTTTTGCAGCAGCCAAAAAACCAATTTTGGAGAAGCAAAAATAATGTTGAAAACACAGTCACACAGTTCATTTCTGTTCATACAACTGCAAAGACATTGTCTAGTTTGCCTGCACCCTGCTGTGCAACTTTTTACGAACAGGCTTGATTCCCTCAAACACAAAGCAAGCTCGCCCTCATACACAAAACAAGCTGTTTGGTTGCGCATAAAAGAACCATAGGCACTGCAGCAATATTCCAATTGATGAAAGATAACATTAACTGCTCTGAACATTTTCTGGGATACGGAATAAAAGGTAAACCAAATAGTATATTCCACCAAAATATTTTTGGAATAGGTTGAATAAAACATTCTTAATCCTGATAAAAACAAAGCTTTTGTCATTAGAGTTATGAACATCAATGACATTTTACATGTAGAAGTTTCTAACAAAAATTGGACGGGAAAAATAAATATGCCTCCTTAGAAAACAATCCAGATGAACTCATTAAGCATATTTCTAAGTTTCCATCCACTGATCTAGCTCATTTAGTTTTAATTTATCTATTGACTGCGACATCAAACAGCTATATAAAGGGGACAACTAAACGAGAGTTAATATAAAAATAAACCTATATGTCTGTAGACAAAACAGCTTACAATGCCCAAGAATCCTTGCATAATTACGAATTTGAAAAGCAAAAATCGTCAGGATATTGCAGTCTATCACCATAGCAGTTTTATTGAGAAACTTTACTGCGAGGTAGCGTCGTTACAACAGCACTTTATGTTTTTAATTTTTTTTTTTCTTTTAGAACCGACGTTTGCATGAATAAAGTTACGCTCTGGATGGGCATTTTCTCTATAGCCTGCGGCAAAGCACTGTGTATCTTGCTTTGCTGCGGCAAAGCAAGATACGCGAACTCGCAATGCCTGTTTTGCGGTTGTCTCTTCACCACAGTGCACCAGTGCACGGTGAGAAGCGCACTCAACGAACCTTCACTAGAACAGATCACAAGAAATACTGCGAGACTTCCAAGTACTGTCAGTATTTGGTAGAAATAAAATTAAGCAGTACGTTATTTGAGGCAATAATCTAAAGTTCTGAAGATTCGCATGAGCCTATTATATATCACATTTTAAGAATTAATAAAGTGAAGTTTTGGCACAATGTCGGCGCAAGTTCATCACAACTTGGCGAAAGTAGCACGGCAGGGTCGGCACTTTGGAGCAAATGGCGCAGCAATCGCGTCACTGCCTTTCTATTTGCCTTCTCTCCAGCGTTCGCTCTGCCTAAGTGGAGGTCTTTGTCGGTGGAGCTCGCTCTGCTCTTCTTAACCTGCAGCAGACTGCAGTGTTCATGGAAGCGTTAGTTTTATCCGATGAGACGTTTTTGGAGGGAGCTGGTAAAGTTGTATCCATTTGCCGCAAGGCGAATATTGTTGACAAGTGGCTTTTGCCATCCGCTTCTTCATACTCACTTGTAGTAGCCGGAGATCTCAACGGAAGCGTAAGCTACTGTTGCAATGAAAGATAGTAGAACAACCACGAAGTCAACAGCATTGTACCAGTGCCTTAAGAACTCGCTGCCACTGTAATCGAAAGGGAGACAGGACCCTATAAGCATGGGCTCAGTTTTTGAGTGAAGGGCAACGAACGGTGCTCACCCTTGGGAGTACATTCGAAGTAGAATCTCGAATACAAAGAAGCAGACAAAACATAGGGCAACTATGTCATAGGCACGCTCGACTTCACTGGGCTTGCCGGGCTGCGACACGTCTGCTATCAGCACAATGATGTCGATGATGATGAGTAGAAAACTGAAGAGCCTAAAGCGGGACAAAGAAAGTTAGCTCCGGATACTGACATATCGGGCATTTGAAAAAAAACTTCGCTGTCTGCTTGCATCACTATTAACTCACTCAAATGCAATGACGCAGGATGGAATTTTGTTATTTCTCTCGGATGTTTGAGATATACAGGGTCTACAATAGACTTGGCACTATAAAAAACGAGCCACAAAAATCGGGATCTGCAAGTAGAGAGTTATAATTTTTCACTAAATGTGCAATGAGGTGGTAGATTTTACCTGGTGAAATTTCGCGGCACATCTCCCATTCTGCGAAAAATTAGACTAACAAATTTGCCAGGGTCGATGCATGGATGTGTTTGCAGGTGACCAAGTTGGCGATGGTTCCGATTGTGGCGCCATCTCCCGACAAGCGCAGCGAGTAAACGATGCACTCTTTCATCAGCTCGCTGATCGGGAGATGGCAGCATTTTGCCGGTTAAAATGCACTACCTAAATGCACATTTGGTGAAATTCTGATCTCTCTATATGCAAGCACAGATTTTTCCAGCTCCTCTTACAGCGCAAATATTCATTGTAGACACCTATATATATAGATTTGCTTGAGTGACAACAGTATTCGTGTTAGTCAAGTTTTGACAGGTGTAAAAAAATAATTACAAAAACAAATTAATTACGCAAAGTATCAGTACCTGAATCCAAGATGTTGTACAAACCTCCTGAGAGCAATGTTTCTGTAAACATAAAAAAAAAAAATGTAGCTGAATTCGATATTTAAACGCCAATGCCGATCGAGGCAATGCAAGTCTCACCGGGTGGGCTTCTCTGTTGATGTGTCGAACGCACTCGTGTTGAGCTGGTGAGCTTTTTCGACAGTGACTGCTTCTGGCACGTCCTCGCCCGCAGTCATGCTATTCACCGCAGCAGCAGCGAGCTGCTCTGTGCTCTCGTTCGCAAATTGTGTGTACTTTACCATCCTGGAATGAAGTCAAGCGTGCGACGCGTTCGCATAAATATGGAGGGTTGGAAAATGCGCTCTCAACGGAAAAGAAATGAAAACATCCTCCGCACGCAGACGTCGCATCATAAACATACCAAGCAAGTTTCCTCGAATATCCGGTGAACGCGTTGGGCAAGGGTTTGGGAACGCGATGAAGCGTTGCGCAAATAAACACACTCAAAAGTTTTAACTCGTCAACGCGGTGAGTCGTCACTTGCTCCGAACAAATTCCTATGCCGGGTGTCAGAAGCTGGCAGAGTTTTGACAGCTTCAGGTAACTTTATAAGTTGAACAAAAAAAACATACCAAGAGGCTAGGAAACGTGGAAACAGCAAAGAAAAAGTTTCACATGAGGGGCGAAAGTAAAAAAGAAATAGATGTATACGCTTGGCCAATGTCCAGATCCGCCCCTTTGAGCGCAAACAAGTGGTCGATATCGAAAACGAAAAGTTAAATTTTCGTCGAAATTGCCGAAGCTTGGTTTTACCTGGCAGTTTGACGAGTCCGCAGTCCTTTCGGAGTCTGCCAGCACACCTCCGGTGCCCTTAAAAGTTTTTTTCGCGACACCACAACTCTCGCGATAACTTTTTCTAAAGTTCCTACACCCCCCTTCACCTGTCCCGTCGGAGAACACGAAGATCTTTGCGCACAACTCGGGTGCTAGTGTATCAACTCACCGCCAAGTGCGCAAACTGCCGCCCTATTGCCTCATTCAAGAGATCGAGTTGTATCCACCCGTCTATTGTTCGCTCCCCGCCGCTTTTTGCTTACTCTAGCAGCGCTTACATCTGAAACCGAAACTTATAGAAATAGCTCCGTGTTTTTTGCACAGTGCCTGGGTTTGTTTTGTAAATTAAACATAAATCGATATATTTATTGACTCTATTCACACCTAAGCTGAAAATGCGGTGGGAAAAAATTTCAAAAAAGATTTACCCCTCGTGCTTTTAGCGTTTTATCGGAACGCCAAAAAATGTATTCCTTTCAGTCGTCTATGCATCCTCTTTTCTTTATATATATATATATATTTTTTTTTTTTTAGCAATGGTAGGAAGTGCAAGAACAGGCAATCGAAACGCGACCTAAAAATATTCGGTTGTGCTCGCGAGGGGCGCTGCTCAAGAAAACGTCACGTGACTAAATTCGGCGAATAGCGGCACCGCGCGTTTGAGGCGCGCGGCGCTGGCGGCGCGCTCAAAAGCGAGGGAACGTTCGCCGGGACGCGTGCAACGTCTACTTCCCTGCGCAGCACTTGATCCGGCTCCTCACGTGATCGGACCTCGGCGGATAGTGGCGCGGCTGCACGTGGAAAACGGACGCGCAACTCTGGAGTCTTTACAGAAACTCTACTTCAGCCACAGGCTTGTGTCCACATGACCAAAGCTTCGTCCAAGATGTGGAAGCTATGCGCGGGAGAGGAAAGCCGCTTTTGTATGAATTTAGGCAAATTCCGGCGGCAGGCTAATCTCCAAAGGATTGTTCCTTCTTGCTCGAGTCACTCCTTCCCCTGTACCTTTGGTAAATACTGTGCACAACTATCAAGACAAAAATGTGGGTTATTGTTATAGATCAATGAGAGAAAATGACGCTGTTTCAGGGAACGAAGGATCCAGTTGTGCTTTGGCCAATTTATTTACACGAGGGTAAATTTGCAGGGTAACGCAACAAGTTGAAAGAGTAGTAGCGGCTTTCAACGCAAACTGCAGCAGGAGCAGCATTGTTTGCCCTTACAGCAGAGATGCTCGTTGAAACACCAGAGCTGTCCACTTGTCACCATGCTTGTGACACCGAAACTCCGCACAAACGACAAGCAGTGGGAATAACAGTAACAGACGTCTGTCCACATTGGCTTCTGGTGGTAGCACTGCTCTGTACTCCTATTTCTCCCTCCAGTTTGACTTCTGAAGTGGCTCGATGCCGTCCAAAATGGCAGAAACTTTTACAATGGGCGCTTCATACTAAATAATCAACTGCAAAATGATTCAACAGAGTTTCGCGTATATCCGAGCGCCAGCCCTGCATAAAATGAATGCACATATCATTGAACAAATGTAGCGAAAACTAACTTGTACAGATACCAGTAGGCACTGCATTTAGAGCATTGAAATTTTATGAGCAAAGAAAGTTTGGAGTGAAGAATAGTGACTTTGACTACAAAGCAATCTACAGAGTGTCACAAAAAACATTTAGTTTTTTTTTTTTACCGCAAAAATAAACTAGGCGTCGCCGAGCGCTCATTCTCCGCCCAAAGGTAGCGCTCTAGGTCACAACCAGATGCCAAATTTTCAGCCCGATCCGATACCTTAATCAAAAGTTATAAGTGATTTTCTGAAAATTTCAATGGGTAAATGGCGGCCGACGGAGTTTTTGAATACACGGGGCTCTATGGCACCAGAAACCGCAAACGGGTGGTTGTGACCCCTAGCGCTACATTGGGGAAAGAATGAGCGTTTGGCGATGCCTAGTTTATTTTTGCGGTGAAAAAGACCCTGTAAATTTTTTTTTTTTTGTGACATCCTGTATATGCTAGTGGCAAGCTTCATCGATAAAATTGCCCATCTATGCTCCTGTACCAATGCCAAATTAACTTTTGTCCAAAACTTCCAGTTCAGAAAGGCTCTCTTGAAATTTCAGCAATTTCACCAACCAGGCATAATTATTCTTGTTCTATCCTCAGCAGAATAAATTCCACAAAACCAAAAACTTGACCTTCTTTAGCTCTAGAAAAAATAGGTCTAGTAAAACCAATGAGGTAGAGGGCCTTAGAGCGATAAACTGGCAGCTGAAAGTGACCCCCAATTGGCCGACGCCATGTTGCACATTTTTTACCACTATAGACACGTGACCTTATAGTTTTGCATCTAGATTTTAACGAAGTACCGCGCACAAATAATTGCTTATTGATTTTTAATAACTGTGCCGACGAGATAAGTTATGTTTTGTTTGTTTAAAGTCCAAAATGTGCTTTTACGACGAAAACTTGGGCAGGTTTGCAATGCCTCCGCTTGATGCCGTCAGCCACGGTGCTGTATCTTAGGTGTTTATCGGAGCTAGACACCGATATCTGGGGCTAACAGTATCGAAAAAATAGTTTATCATGATTTTTACAGCAATCACAATACAAAGCTTGGCTCAGTTTTGTGTAAAAGCTTCAGGATTTGGTACGGTCACGTGTCTCATGGTCAAAATTGTACAACATGGCGGCAGCAAAGTGAGGGTCACTTTTGCCTGGTGATTGGGACACCAGTTTATCGCTCTAGCCCCTCAACCTCGTTGGGTAAAACACCCTGGCACAGGTGAATACTAAACTGCCTTTCCTTTAGAGTCCTGGGTCCACGCGATCGCGCATGCTCTAACTTTCAAAATGTCATTTGCCTACTACATTTATTATTCTGTTTTTATAGCTACTCAGGAGAGGAGTATGGCAGATGATCTATTTTGGATGCCCGGCCTCCATTACACCACTCGTTGCCTACGTTACTGCTTCGATTGACAGCTTCGGCTCAAGGCTCACGAAACGCCGAGGCACCATCGAAGGCGGGGAGCTCCTGCCGGAGGCGGGACAACAGAAGGACCTCCCAGCCATTCTCGTCCTTTCAGCGACCACAGTACTTCCTCCCCGTCTGCTCACACGTGCCGCTCATTTCAGGAAAAACTAGCGCCCAAAACCGCGCGATAGACTACTTAACAGTTGCACCACTCCAATAACAAACGTCGACGGTGAAACGCAAAAACGAAGCGACGTTGCCGCTTTTGGACGCCGCAGCCACTTTCCGTCAAACCTCGGTTCGAGTCTTCGACCCTGGAACACTTCGGCACTTTGTACTATCACTCGGAGTCCACGCTAGCAAACGAGCCAGAGTCTCTCGCACGGTCGGTCCGACGGTCTCTCCCACGCCGCTCGCCTCGTGCTGCGCTGCCCGGAATGCCTCTTAGACCGGCATGTCTGGCGTCCCGTCCCGCTTGTGCGTGTTACCGTCAAGATCGCAACGTCGGACGGCGCGACGCTTGTGCGACGCGGTCGGGACGCAGCAAGCGCACCGGTCGGAGGCACGTTCCGGACGCCGTAGTTGTGGCTGCGCCGTCGGTCCGGCGGATGTTCCGGCGGCTCTTGCGCGCGTTCGGTGCAGACCGGCTCCGGACGGCTCACTTCAACGAGTCGCTTCGACAGATGGACTCGACGAACTCGTCCAGCTCGGGTAGGCTGGCCTCGAGTGCGGCGAGGGTGGCGTTGATCTCGTTGACCTGCTCCTCTAACGTGGGTTCGTAGGAGTAGGATTGGAGCATCGGGGCGCTCTGGCACTCCTGGAAGAAGGCCCCCAGGTCCGAGCCGGGGTCCCCGTCTTCCGCGAAGGGGGGTTTCTGGAACGAGAACGCAGGGACAACGGAGCGTGAGGTCCAACGTTCCGCGTTTGCTCTTACAAGCTCCGGTCCCACGGCGGTCATCTCGAAGGGCTACTAAACGGTTTTAGTTTATTAGGAAGACATAGAAATGCATACTCGAAACTAGCTTTACTAACAGATTCGTCGTGTTCTTGGGCAAGCTATTTTAGTCATTGGATAATTGATTAACTGTTAGATAATTAATTTATACAGATTCCCAAGGGCTTCTCATTTGTCTCCTCCAACATCAATGCTTAGAGGGCGATAATTTTACACTGCACACTTGATGATACAAAAAGAAAGTGAATTAAAGCTTTTTATAAAAAAATAGTTTAAATGTGTTTTAAACAATAAAATGCTTTGCGGTACATCCAACATATTCTTTAAAACACACTTTGAAAGAAAGTTTTCGGAAAAGCTCTTGTATCCAAACCCCCCTCTTTTTTCTTTTTTCAAAATTTGTTTTTGCAGACTGAGTGCACACTATAGCTTGGACAGTAAAGGGTGGCCAGGGTGTTCCTTACATTGTAAAACAAATTCCAAAATCGGTGCCTGCACATGGTGCATTTAATGTGCATTGCATAGTTCTCTTCCCATAAAATATGAGACCAACAAACTTGCCAAAGTCAACAGCAAATGCGTTTTCAGATGGCAGAGTCAACGAAAAATGTAACTTGGCGCCATCTCCCAATAGCGAGTGAATAACGCACTCTGTTCTTTGTTAGCCGCACTTACCGTGAGATGGACCCCCCCCCCCCCCCCCCCCCCCCCACAACACAAGTTACGTTCGTCGCTAACCGACTCGTCTGCAAACACGCCCACCACCAACTTCGGCAAGTTTGTTGGTCCCACTGTTTACGCGAAGAGAACTAGACCTCGAAATTTCACGAGGCAAAATCCACTACCCAAATACACATTGGGCGAAAGTTCGAGCTTCCTATGTGCAGGCGACAATTTTTCTGGCTCGTTTTGCGGCGCAAGGAATGCCGTGGCCAGCTCGTACCACGTTCGAACGGCCCTACACTGACCTGAGCGAGCAGACCTACCAGCTCCACGAGGACGAAGTCGTCCACAGGCAGCAGGACCTCCTTGGGCTCCACCAGGGTCTCCCCCAGCTCCCCGTCGCAGTCCTCCTCGTCCGCCTCCGGCGGGTCTCCACCCGGGGGCTCCTGGCTCAGCAGCGACATGAACGCCGGCTCGGGGAGCTCGCACTGGCCTTCGCCAGCACCGCTGTCACGGCGCTCCGGTGCAAACGCCCCCTGGTGCAGCTCTACAAAGTCTTCTTCTAGACCCCCGTGCCTAGAGGGAGAAGAGGCCGCCGTCAGGGTCACCAAACGCGCAGAAGCCCCGAAGCTACGGCGGGCACTGGCGACATCGCCCAAGAATACTAAACACGCGCACAACGTCGTCGTCGGTGGGTCCTCAAAACCTGCCCCAAGCGCGCTGAAGCTCAATGAAGTCGGAGACGAATTCGTCTTGGCGTCGACGCTGCAAGCGTCAACGCCTGCAGAAAATGGCGTGGGCCTTGCCATCTGTGTTTGTGGTAAACTCCAGAACCGCAACAAATAAAAATTCCGGCCGGTCGCGGAACGTTACTAATCTCCACCTTCGCGCAACGACTTAGGATGTACATACGTGCGCCCTATATTAGCTTCGTGACATTTCGTCGAGATGTACGCGTTTTAAACGTAAAAATATAGTTTCTTCCTTCAACGACAAAATCTTGCTAGAACTACTTGGCACTTCTTTTCTTGATGCGACGACGAGCGTAGGTGGTAGTGGCTGCAGTCATTCACAAAATGAGAATAGCAGGGAGGCGCTTCAGTTGCCCTGCCTCCAGCGCAAGCTGCCTACCTTAGACAACGCCTCGTGCGCCTGGAGCACGCAAGCTCGGCCAATGCACGGCGCAGGGCACGGAGCACGTTGGATGGCAAAAACTAGGCAATTTTTTCGGTTCTCAATAAAACAAAGGAGGCAAAAAATATTTAAAAAAAAAATGCGAGGGGTTGGTCGACGACACGAGATTCTGCAAGGCAGAAGATCCTCCTCACCCTGGGGGAGGAGGAAATAGGCAATGGTGTATGGGGTAAAGGGGGAGAGAAGGAAGTGGGGGAAAAGTGGAAAGCGCGAACTGGGGTGGAATAAAATGCTCCACCTGCCCTTTTTTGTTAGCATTTTCTATCTCAACATCCAAAGCTTCCATTCACTAAAACCAGATGGCGCAACCACTAAGTCAGTGTTGAAACACGCGAGCCGTCACCTGCTTCAAAGCGCTCAACCCCACTCGTCCATCCGTCCGTGCCAATATGAGATTACTGTAAGCTGGTTCTTAGTGAAGCCCAGCTGCTCTATCTACACGATCGCAACATAAACCTTTAATGAATTGCTGACGAGCCTTTTTCCTGCGGAGCGTTGGGAGGGTGAATCACCGAGGGAAGTGGAGCGAGCCTCGGAAAATGCAAAGCCACCGTGTTGGAATCAAGAAACGCGATCTGTGCCGGAATTCTGGTGCGTCAAATGTCGCATCCTGGCTTCCCAGTACGGAGGTCGTGTCTCTTGTTGAGACGATCCTCGGCAGACGACTTGCAATAGGCCACTGGTTTCTAAAGAGGCTTTCTTAGGCATGGCTGGGAACTTGAAGCGGTCTGCCATGTTACGGGACGCGGAACGAGGGAAAGACACGAGTGCACAGAAAGGCACCAACCCATTGGAACAGCCGTTGTGACCAGCGGTGGTGCACTGTCGCTTTGCCACCTCGCCAGAGGCAGACGAGTCTTTGTCACTGCGTCTTGTGCCGTCTGCCATCATGTCGCTTCTGCGGGGTGCAGAACAAAATCGCAGTGTTGGAGAAAACAAACTGAACTGAAGTCGTCACAGGTCGAACTTCTTAACTAAACTTGAAAGCCATCTAGCGTATTTTCGGCACTTGGGAAGTGCCAAAAATACACCCAACAAAGGTACAAGTAGGCGATTGCGAAATGCATTCAAGTACCGTGTGTTTCTGAGATAAGAAAACCTTGTTTTTCTTGCTGCAGAAATAATTTCTGCATCACCAAACGCTCTGCCCCCACCCAAATGTATAGCTAGTGGATGGAACCAGAAAAGTTTCAGAACTAGCCTTATCTAATTGAAAAGTTATAAGTAATTTTCAAAAAAAGTTTTCATTGAGAAAATGGGGCATGTTTTCGGTAGTGCGCCATTCATCTCCATGAACTGATGGACTCCGCCAAACCCAATTTCTTCGCTGAAAATTTCCGTAAACCACTTATAAATTTGAATTAGATAAAAGCCGCTGAAACTTTGGCATCCGGCACAGAAAGCTGGCACTGCATTTGGGCGGCTGAAGTTAAAGAGGCGGTGCAACCATTTTCCAACTTTGGCTAATTAATTGCGGGAATGAACCTGTGTCACCTATGAAACGAAGAACAGGAAACAAATTTTTCTCGCGCACTCTAGTTTTTATTTTAAAAAGCGAAACAAATCGAAGCTGCCCCTCCACTCTCGTGGCGTTTTTCGAGCGACACTTTTGGGGACCACCTGGTTTCTTGTTGGTTTATGTCTTCAGAGCCCCCAGCCGCTCCCTCTGCAGTTGTTGACTTTTCAAGGACTAGCCTTGCCGAAGGTCGCAGCGAGAGATCGATACAAAAGGTGGTTCGCCACGGGCCTCACGGCGAGGGTAGAAGCGGAGGGGGACAGGTGTTGTTGACTTCCGTATGTACCACAGTGACGGAACACCATAGGTCCCGTAACTGCCACAAGCAGCTGCAGATAGGCAAATGATTTGCTTCTTACTTTGCGATTACGCGAAGGAATAGCAGTTTTTCGGGGGAAGGTGGTGCGTTTTTTCTCACTTGTGCCGAGATAACCAACATAAAAAGTACCAACTGCAAATTCTTTTAACACTAAAAGGGACATTCACCAACAACATGGTTTTCTTTTCTCCCAAACATCCGGTACTTAAAACACACCCAAAGTATGCACCATAACTCGAAGCGCAAAGCAAAGGCTTACCCGCGTCGGGCGAGCGCCCTCAGCCCCTTGGGACTGAGGTCGGGCTTGAAGTAGTCGCTCTTGAGCATCATGGGGTTCCCCTGGGACATGGCCCGCTGGGGCGAGATGGCCAGCTTGGTGCGGTAGTGCACGCGCAAGGACAGGGTGCCCGTCGGCGTGCCCACTTGCCCCACCTGCACCTTCTGGCTCCCCTCCCCCAGCTGCTGCTCCTGCAGACACGTGTTCGGCATTGGGAAGCCGGCCCAGGCACCGGAGCAACGGGCATCGACCGAGGCTCTCGCTCTTGCGTTAACGATAGTAAGACTATCAGTTCAATCATACCGGGTCTACTAAAGGCACCTTGCCATTGGATAAAGTGCTACTCGCTCAAGGAAGACATCTCTGGGATTTCTCATCGAGACACTCGGGGGCCACCCACCTGGGGCTCCCCCATGTACACCCGGTAGCAGACGACGTAGGAGTCGGGCCCCTGCCGCAGGGACAGCTTGTACGCCGGGGTGACCCGGGTGACGGCCACCAGCGACTTGAGCAGCAGACTCATCCGGTTGTACACCGTGTAGATGACGCGCACCGACGCGTCGCACGCCTCGCTCCCAGACAGCTGCCACGTCTCCAGCACCAGGGAGTCCCCCTCCACCGTCTGCAGCGAGATCTCCGTGCACAGGCTCGGCCCCCCCGCCTCGGGGATCTGGCTGCCCAGTGCCCGCCGCACCTCCTCCGTGATCTCGGGGATGTCGGGAATGTCCAGGTTGAACTGCGGGAGGGGCAAGGAAGCGTATGGAAAGTTAGTGCAAACCTTCCGTCCACAGGCCGGCTTCTCTTCCCCCTCTTTTGCCTCCCAGCAGACGACGCCATTTTTTAGCATGGCCGTGCAACTGCCCTTATAGACCCCTTTTTTGAGGTAAACAAAAACGAACGAGATGGCGGGTTCCGGTTGCCAGATTCATGTCCGATTGTTGAGTGTTGTGCGTGTTTTCCTACGGGGATCGTGCAATTATGAGCATGTATTTGGAGTCTGCCTTCAAATAGTCGAGCTTGTTATGGGTAAAAATTAACGCGACTAAGAGGTCCTAAACTCGTTGACCCGTTCGACCCAACATATGGAAGGATATTAACAAAGAGGGCATTGGAACTGTAAAATCAGTGCTATGCACAAAAGAATTTTTCAAATTGTCCCGTGCATAGCACTGATCTTTTCTTCAGTTTTTTTCATTTAGTATTATTTTTTCCTGTCGGCTGATCTGCCAAGGGGGCAAGGACTTTGTCAAGCTGCACTTCTGCAGCTTTTTTTTTCAGTCTCCATCACCCGTATGTATGATGGGGGAAAATAAATGAATTGAGCGGAATTTAATTAAACACCTTGCCAAGCGAGTGGAAATCCAAGCAAAAAATACTTCCTGCAGAGTTACAAGAAGCTCCTATGCAACCGTATGACAGTCTCGCACAAACTTCTGCTTCATAAACTTTCCAAGCTTATGCAGACATTCTTTCATGGATTCCATCTTTTCTAGCCCACCGGTCACAATTCGTTGCTGTCAATAACAGTCAATCTTCTGTCTCTCTTGCTTCCAGGGTTTTCCACAAATCTCTTTTAGGACTGATGCTTTTATTTAACGACCTTCCAACAAATATCTCCTCATCTAATGTCTGCTTGCTGACAACTGTGATTTACTGTGAGAAACCAAATCATTGTAGTACACGCGTAATTAACTCTGACATCAACACTGTCCCCCGGTGGTGTGACTAATGGTCTACGAAGCTCACCGCTAACAAATGCAAGTATAGGTGTGTGTTGTGCCGGTCTTATGAAACCGGTAATTACTACCTCATTTAGAGTTGGTAACTTCATACCTCAATCAGGCTCATTTAGAGTTAGTAACTTCATGCAAATATCTAGGTGTTCACATAACTTCCAACCTTTCATAAAAAAAAAACACTCAGCAAATAACCACTAAAGCTAATCGCATGTTAGGTCACCTTAAGCACACTTTTCTCTTGGCACCTGTTTCACTCATGTTAATCCTTTACAAAGATCTCTGTCTGGCATCGCGGACAAGCCACTCTGGAAGTCAATCAAAACAAATCTACTCTCTTTATTTTTACAAACTACCACCACCAATGCAAACCTCACCACCATAAAAACTACTCTGCCACTGCCCCCCCCTTGTCCTTCCGTCAAAGAACTGGTTGCCTTTCTTTATTTTATGAAATTTAGTTTGCTAATGCTACCCTACGTAACAAACTGATCACCCACCCTCTTTGTGATTCTTCTCGCCTTGAATCATCAGCACAAAGTTGGCATCCCAAGTTCGATCTTGACGTTTCGTTCGTCTTTTGTCCCCCATATGTCCCAGGACTGGAACCGCTTTCCCAAGACACTTGTCACAATCAGACACAGAGCTCTTCAAAACTGCCATTAATATATATATATCTTAGGGTTGGGCAATTGATCGGTTAACCTACTGATTAATCGATTAAAGCTTTAATCGTGATTAATATTTTTAATCGATTAATTGGTAAAAATTTGACGAACGAAAAGAAAGTAAAAAATTCAACACCATGCAGACGTGGAGCAGTACATCTCTGTGAAGGGCGAACCTTAGGTGAACTTTTAGTCCAAGGAAGACTGTAGGTGCGAAATTTGTAACCACAGACAATTGCAGAAGGTTACAGGTGTCCCGTCCACTCTAACGCCATTCGAGTGTCCGCTTAATGCAGCGGGGACTGTGTGAGTGTCTTATGAACTGTTCTCACCAGCACATCGAGGATGATTCTAAATCAAAATTGTATATTGCGCCGTTTGTCACATAATAAACAAAACCAAAAGAACAATTTTTTTTGCTTTCTTATATATTTTGCGTAAAAATGAAGAGAGTGAATAATTAATCAATTAAAGTATGGCGATTAATCGGGTTAAGAGTCTTAATCGACTCCCAGCCCTAATATATATATATCTGGTCAATTGTGCTTAATTTGTATTTTGTTACTGTCCCAATTTTCTTTCCTGCTCTACCCCTCTGTAATGCCTTAGAGGTGCACTAAAGACATTCCTGGTATTGTCTGTTCTTGGCGATAATTCATTCTGTGGTATCTTAGCATCCCAAAAATCAAGAAATTATATCTGTGCGACGTCTATTCCCCTACCAAAAAAGTGACCGAAGTTTGTGCGCCTTTCCGAGCGGAAAAATCTGGAGCACAGAATTCAGCGGAAGCGCTAGCGGCGTGACGACATGCACGCGTCAGCCAATCGCAAGCCGCCTCAGATTTCTAGGATGCTTGGAGCCCGTAAGACAAGTTATCACCAAGAATCGACAATCTCAGAAACGTCTTTAGTGCACCTTTAAGGCCTTGACGGAATGCTGAATGAAAAAGGGAAAAAAAAATTTTATAACACTTAAATCTCCATCTCGGAACTGACTTTAATCGACAAAAGATTTGCCTTTTATTTGGCAAGGATATACAACTTATTTTTTTATATTCCTCGGATGGCTTGAGCACCAATGGCAACAATCTATCAGCAACACGGAATTCTTCTTGCGAATAAACACCCACTGAGGCCCCAAATCCCCCCAATAAATATGCCTCAACCCAAGCAGTCAAAATATGCAGATGAGCGACGCGAAAAGACAATAAAAACGAGCCATATGGCTCCTGCAGATGTCGAGTTTTTCAATACCGATAAACAAGAAAGCATGCATATACATGCGGCAGGACAAACAATAGAAAAGCTCTGGAGTACGAACCAGATGCCAAAAAATGTTGCATTGCATTCCACGCAGCAGCATGCGACTCCAGAACACCTCCGACTAAATATGCTTTGTTTCGGTGCATTTGCAAGACAGATATGAAAGACCCAAAGACAAAGTGGGGTAGTGCAGTGGTTAGCATACTTCACCGGTAATGAAGAGATCTGAAGATCAAATCTCGGCTCCACCAAATTTTGTCTTTCGATGCTTCCTAACTTTCCTTCTCATTTGATTAATTCGGAGCCACGCAGAAGGGAGTCGCAATTTTTCTCTGTCCCAACTGTTCCCCAGCTGAGTTAGTTTTATGTCGTTCGATTTTCCCTAGATAATTCCACCACCACTCCAAGCTACCCTCTTTGCTGCCTCTTCCCTCTAGGGTGCCGCATGCAGACCTTCCGCTGTAATAAGAGCCTGAAAAATCGGCGCTTGCACATAGAAAGCTAAAATTTATACCAAATAAGCACTGAGTAGGTCAGTTTTACCGTGTGAAATTTCAAGCCATAGTTATCTTCCTGCAAAAAGATTAGAGCAAAGCACTTGCCAAAGCCAATGTAGGGCACGTTTGCAGATGAGAGTTAGCGACACTAATGACTTGTGGCACCATCGCTCGATAGGCGCAGCAAGCAGACGACGCACCCTGTTGTCTGCTCGCTGCACCTATCGTCAGATGGCGCCACAAGTAATTAGCATCGCTAACTTGGTCGTCTGCGAAGGCACCCAACATTGACTTTGGCAAGTATTTTGCTCTCAGTTTTTACAGAAAGATAGTACGCCTTGAAATTTCGCACGGTAAGACTGACCTGCTCAGCACACATTTGGTGGAATATTTTGCCTTCTATATGTAGACACCAATTTCTTTGGCTCGTTTTACAGCGGAAGGTCTGGTTGGGACACCCTATACTATACACCAACTCAACTCTGTTACGCCACGTCGCAATCGTGGCACTTTGGGCGCACTGCCGCTCTGGGAGTGTGTGCGGAAGTCGCCATGCAGGATGGGAATTCCTGCGTTGTTTTGGAAGAAACCAGACCCAAACCTGCCTTCTCATCAAAACTCTGCGACTGGGGCTGTACCAAGAGAGCTGGGAAAGGTGTGGATATCAGTTTTCAAGTGTTTTCTGTCTGCTCGCTTGTCCATGAACGTGGATAATGCCGTGAAAAGGGAAAACCGGACACTGTCAGACCACGATTGCTTGTACGGGAAGCACTCTGGGTTGAATTCACAGATACTTGTGGTCGTCAGATTTATTTTTGTTCCAACATGAATGAGGGACAACCGTCAAGTTGTCTGGACCACCCGCGGATCACGTTCAGTGCATCTTCATATTCAAAAATGGCAGTCTGCTTGTCCAAACTGTCATCTGAAACGGTAATTAATAGACTGTAACAAATTTCTTTATTGTGCCCCACGTTTTGAAGCCAGGTCGGCTCCTCGTTTACGGGTGATTGTGTGTAGGCCTAAAGGTTGCAATCTTTCATAGTGATCTTCTTTCTGTCAGTTTTGTTTTCTTCTATTTTTGTGATGCATTGCAGCCTGTGTACACAGTCAAACCCGCTAATAACGAACAGCAGGAAACACTACAATCAGTTCGATATAGCAAGTAATTTGATATAGCAAGAACTATTTATAACAAACTTCCACGATGCGTTCGTTGTAAGGCGAGAGCTTCTCTTTCTTTCTCATCTCTTCGCTTCCACCTTGTAACAACGCTAAAAAGGGTGTTTCTTTTTTTTTTCCCCCCCATGCATGCAGTTTGTGTTTTCAGCTTATCTCCCCTTCTGAATCGCTTCTCTTCGTGGGCAACGGTTTTGGGATGAATTTTTTTTTTCTGTGCGTGGGTACAGATTATTTATTTAGCTTTCTCCCCCCCTCCTGATTCGCTTCTCTTCGCTCAAGTTTGCAACTTGAGCGTTTGGAATATTCTATCTTTCCTACTTTTTTGGGGGGGAAAGGGACAGGCTAAAAGACGAAGGTTTGCACGTTTTTGGAAGCCTTCCCGGGGGGGGGGGGAGTTTGCTATAGTCAATATGTTGTTCGTTATACAAGGTACTTTTTACATGCATTTTCATTTAAACTTTCCGTGAGTTCGATATCAACAATACTTCGCTGTACATGGGTTCATTAAACGGGTTTCACTGTACGGCTGCTTGGCAAAAGTCTGATGGATCGGTTCAGGTTGCTGTGTGTATTCTGCACCAGAGCCGTATATTGGGAGAGTTTGGCCAGTGAATGTGGCGACGAAGGCGCCGGAGAGGAGAAAAGTAAATGAAAGGGAGGAGAGCGCCGAAGGAGCGAGAGAGAAAGAAGGGAGCAGGGAGGAGACGACCGCCATTTTTTAGCAACACTGTCGGAGAAGAGCACTGCTGAGGCTACGCGTCGTCTGCTTCGGGCCGACTTCTTTTTCGCCTGAATAAAAGTATGTGGCCATACGCCGAAAAATCTTCATTTATTAGCTTTTTAACCCAGCGAGGAATAACAGAATGTCATTTTCTCTCCAGAGCCAGCCATATAAAAGGCAATAATCGAGATTTAGATGCTGATTCCATGCATTCCGCCGGGAGAATGATCGAAGAGGGCGGCCCTCCCCACTCAGGTGGGAGCAGCCGAGAGTTCACGCGCATGCGCTCATGCTTCTCGCTCTACGCCGTGTGCTGATTGGCTCACTTGGGAGGAAAGCGTTACGGCGGCGATATCATAGACTGACCAAACTCTCCCCATATACGGCTCTGTTCTGCATATGCTGTATATTCCGAGCTGGCTTTGAAACGTCGGGCATGATGAAGAAATTGGTTAGAGTCTACTAACTACCCCTTTCATATTGCTTACCTAACCCCCCAGGCAGAGTTCTGCCAAAATGTTTACATTTAAACTGTCATCTGCTCGTTCAAACGACAGCAGCTCATAGACCAAACGGTGGGCCAGTAATTGCGATATGGAGTGGAAGCCTCAAAATACTTTTTAAGTTTAAAAATTTTTTTGGGTAAGTAGACAGTAGATACAAGGAGGTAAGAGAATGAACTTACGAGTGGGTTGGTAAAGACGATCTGACCATTAAATGTTGGTCGCTAGTTGAAAGAACTGTACTCTCTGTCACTGTACCTACATGTTTTATTCTTTCGTGTTTTTCAAATACAAGGAGATGTTGATTATTGTTACCAGTGACCATCACTGACTCGTTATGCTGAATTCACTTGGTTTGATCCTGCTTGCGATTTTCGGCAATGACGTCATGCATTGCACCTACCATCCATGCTTTCGCAGCCCGAGCAACGTCGTGACTGAGAATAGCGAGCAAAATATCACCATGTGAATCAGGCTTTAGCGTCCATTCTGCGGCGTTCACGCAGAATGCCTCGGCACAGATCATAATATTTATGTAAATTTTTGCACTGTAATGAGCCTTATTAATTTCGCTCAGGCCACTAAAGTAGTAAGACATTACTAGGAAAAGATTGTATCAACAAATTCAACGCGAAAAGGAACACGGGGTCTCACACCGACAACATCACATTCCAATGGTTTTGTTGATGCAGGAAGCCGTGCTTCTTGACCGCACCCCATCGCACATGCGCGGCACAAATGGTGTGCCACTGCTAGGGGAGCTCCGGTCTGTTCGGAAACATGATTTGCTGTATAATCCACCCTTCCATCTTCTCTGGCGAAGCGCAGGGATCCGGCTACATCTGTCGCCCCTTCAGGAAGGGCAGGAATAAGTCCTTTGCATTTTAGAAGTATGTGCTCAATTGTCTCCCCTTCTGTTTTACATATTGCACACACTGTATTTGTGTCTTCAAATTAATTTTTTCGTTGTTGCCCATACAGACCTACAGTCTGAAAATATGGGCTAGCACCCAACATTAAAAATGAAATAACTTAAAAAAGGCCAGGACAACTCCACTCGGATGCTAGCTGTGCCAGTCTCTGCACTTCCCTGTCGTTTGCTACTGCATGGTAGAAGAGCGTGTTGGTTTAAGTCATGGATGAAGAAAGAATAAACAATTAAAACAGGGAAGATGTGGTTGTGTTGTCCCTGTTTTAATTGTTTATTCTTTCTTCATCCATCACGTCTGCTACTGAGACAGCAGATCTCAACTGTGGCAGGACTGTCCTTTGCCTCAATCGCTGGGTTTTCTCAAAGCTCCCGTTTTAATTAGAAGGGTTCAGCAATACCGCTGTGACGTGCTAGCGGCTCCCCTTGCCGCCTGCGGCTCGAGAATGCCTTTCGTATTGTGCCTTCCCAGGTAGATCTTCATCTCTGTAAGCGTGAATTATGTGATTCAGTCGCTAACCACCTTTTTTATATTATTTCCCTTTGTCAATGCATTTTAATGTCCAGATGCCTGACGCACATATTAGCACTATCAAACTTTTTTCTAATACGTCTCTGGCGAATACAGAGAGACACGTCTGTTTGAGCAACTCATTGTTTAGTAGAATTGCTGATTAATATTTTGTAGAGGTGTTATTATGCAACTATCCTGAGCTGGTGAACTTCAGGGAACAGAGGCCTTGTCAGGCACCACGCCTTTATCTTTGCTGCCTATGCGGTGAATCCGCCAACCCAATAAAGGAAACAAGAAACTGGACTGATTTTTGCGTGATCACAAGTCAGGGCTCTGCAGAAATTGTTTCGAGAAAGTTTGCGATATATTTATGTTGTGTCATGTATAGGTTTTATGGTTTGATTAAACAAAGGAATGTTGCTTCCACTTCCTCACTGGCAGACGACATGAAAGTGTAGTGTGGCGCCACGAGTGCTGAAGGGGAGCTCTCTTAGTAGCAGCGTGCATCAGATTGCAGAAAAACCAGACAAGCGGCTCTGATAGTACCGCTCGCCACACGGAGCAGCGTTTTAGCTCATATTGGCTGCAATAGTACACTCATGACTTGTAAACCCTGGCACAGCGTGCAACAAAGAAAGCTGATGCAAGCACTTCCAAAGAGAATTTCCGGAAACTTGTTAAGAATGTGTTCGCTGTGTCGTAGGCATTTTAGTCCACCTTTTTTGAAATAATCACACTGGGGTCTGATGTCCCCCTTTCTAACGCCAACATTCTCCCCCATACGAAAAAAAAAAAAAAAAAGCAAAGAAGAGAGTAGGTATGTGCAGTAACTCTTATCACCATGCTAAAAAGAAAGAGAGAAAAAAAAATAAAAGCTACTTTTGTTGTCGAGCTATCGGTCTCTGCTACCTGGACGCTGTCCTTCCGAGCACGATAGCCTTGCAGCGAGCTGTAGGATCGTAGACCTCGAAGCGAACAAAAACGTCAATAAAATAAAACGAAATGAAACTTGTCGGAATGAATGCCACCACCCCCGCACAAAACGGCAAGCGTGTACTACTACCCGAATCACAGTGCCAACAAAAACAGCAGTAAAGCAACATAAAAAGAAAGGCGAAACAACGCTAAAAGTGTTTTTAAGCTTGACACCGAAGCGTGATGAAAAACACGCCGGGTGTTTTTCATCTATTTTCAACACCTATTCAGGTGCAAGGGGAACGCATAACTTCGATAAGATAGTGCCCTGTGTTGTTCCGAGCACCACTATTGAGACCGATCATGCCCGATAGCGCGAGCAATCCAGACTTGCCGATATCAAACAGAGACCGAAAAAAAAAAAAAAAAATTACCAGACAGCTCACCCAGTCGGAGACCGTTGAAAACGGCTTGGACTTGGTTTTCTGCTTTTCGCCCAACCGCGACTGCACGATGACCTGGACGGATTTGAACGCCAAAAAGCGGATGAACTTGTCCAGTTCCTTCCTGTCGTGTGGAGACAGCTTCATCGTGGACATGCTGACAGGAACAGGGTTACATCCGAGACAACTCCGCCACGACGCCGCAGTGTTATTTTCTTTTTTTTTTTAGTCTCGATCTTTGGTGTTTCAAAAGCCCGTCAAGGGACGCATCGCGGCGGGTCACAGACGGTTCGGTAGCGCCAGCGGGCGATACGAACAACGTAAACAAGGCTGGCGGAGTCGATTCTTCAATATGCGGAACTGTCGCGGCGGCCCCCCTCCGAGACTAGTCCCTGCCGTTAGTCGCTTGACGGATCGCTCGGCTGCGGTCGACCGCTTCACCATTTGATGCGCGCGATTAGGGCCTTCATTCGCGTGGTCGCCAGTATTGTGCGCATGGTTTCGTGCGACGACGTGGACGAGAGGCGAGCGTAGAATCCCATCGTTGAACCGCAAGAATCACAACACCACGACATCGCTGGTTTTCTGTCCCGTCATGCACCGCGTTCCAAAATGTCCAAATTGCCAAAATGTCGAATTTTTGTTTTTCCTATTTTCTAAATAAGCCGCGATGGTTACGTAGTTCAATAAATAACCGCCGATAATTGCCCATAGTTTATCATGTCAATTATTTTTTTTATAAATTAATTATTACGCTGTTAGACAAATTTATCCACTCGCGTTACGTCTTACAAAAACAACGTCATGAACGTCAAAATACCTCGGGGAGTTATTTTGACGGGGGACGTGTTGAGAAGCAACATAATAGTTGCTATATGTTATAACCTGATATGGATTTTCGCACTCGTAAAACAGAACATTTTGATGAGTTTTCCTGATACGTGTCGTGTTTCGCCTTTGAGTTGGGTTGGGCGGCTTGTCAGCCCGCAAGTCATCCACTATGGAGTTGGACGAGTATGAAAGTCTGCCGACGGGCAGTGCGGTGACCCACATGGCTGCGGGTGCCGCGGCCGGAATCATGGAACACTGTGTCATGTACCCCCTGGACTCTGTCAAGGTAAGTGTTGAATGATGAACGACGCCTGGCATAAGGGGCCTCGCTATCCGTCCAACCGGCCTTCCTATTTTGGCTGCTCTACGTGCGCGCTCGCCTCTGAAACCAACCCCCGATCCGCTCTCAGTCTCCCCGTTCAAGGGATCGGTGGCCGAGTGGCGCACGGCAATCGGAGCACGTGGAGCGAAAGCTCGCGCTGCTGAACCCAGGGCATTGCCTCCTGCCCAGGGGCCCTAATCCCCACCCCTGCCCCTTTTCGATCTGGGTGAGCATCGTACCGGTGTGCGGTCGTGTGATGCACGCTAGCAGACTAGCGGTTGACTAACTTCCGGCTGTATAAACATACGCACAACGTCAGTATTACGTTCAGGAGTTAAAATCCATACCCGGTGTTCACTTGGAAGCGAGGTGATAGGTAGTGTACTTTACTCCCCACAAATACCGATCCTGGACCGAAAAAACGAGCCTTCGACTTTGGGACCCTTGGGCATCCCGTCTCTTGTTGTAGGGAACTAAGACGGGGATATTTTGCCGGCAGGTAAATACGTATCTTTATCAGTCGGAAGTTAGTCTGCCTCGATGGGCGACTTGTCGCTCAGCTTTAGATGAGAAGCTTAGTCAGTGCTGTAGAACCGCGAAAATTAGACTTGCTAAAAAGAGATTTCATATGACGCAACTCCAGCAGTGCGGGAAGAACTTAAGAGAAACATGGAATATCGTAAATCAAATAATTGGCAGACCCCCTAAAGATAATATAGATGCATGTATACAAAAAACTTTCGGTGCAACTGACTTAGATAAGCTTAGCAATGAGTTTAATAACACCTTCATCACAAAGATACAAGACTTGCGTAACCAAGTAAACAGCATGGTAGGAACAGCTAAGCTATTAGGGAATTCAACTGTTTCGGCGTACTTGCCCCAAATGACAGAATCAGATCTAGAATACATAGTTAACAATATGTCTATAACAAAGCCAGCGGGATTTGATGAAATAAGATTTAGAGATATAAAACATAACATAGACTGCTTAAAACGCGTTCTGCTTGCTATAATAAATGGTATGTTGTCTACAGGAAATATACCCAGTAAGTTAAAAGTTTCAATAGTACGGCCAATTTATAAGAAAGGCAACAAGAAAGATATTGCTAATTACAGGCCCGTTGCGTTGTTGCCGGCAATTTCTCAGATAATGGAAAAATTTGTTTTACAAGTCATGACTTCGTTTTGTGACAAATTCTCACTAATAAGCAACTGCCAGTATGGATTCCGGCAACAAAGAGGCACGATACTTCTACTGGAGGAGATAACAGACTTAATTAATGAACAAATTGATAATAACAAAATAGTACTTACACTGTTTTTAGACCTGACAAAGGCCTTTGATACAATAGATCACTCACTTTTAATTGAGAAACTAGATAAAATTGGTTTCAGAGGGCATTTCCGTACATTTTTTAAAGGTTACTTCACTGAAAGAACCCAACGAGTTCGAATAGGAAATAGCACAAGTTCTACTGCGCACCTGAACTCTGGGGTGCCTCAGGGTTCGGTATTGGGTCCCATGCTGTTTAACATATATGTGAACGATCTCTCTTTGCTTCCTTTGAAATCAAAAATGTATCAATACGCTGATGACACAGCCTTGGTTATTACACACGAAGATTATAATACTGCCGTTTCAATTTTACAGGATGACATCAAACAAATTATGAGTTGGTTTTCAAAAAACTATATTTTTGTGAACAATGATAAATCGAACCTCGTGTGCTTTCGAACTCACCAGAAACGAATTAACCTTAATCAACCCATCTTTTTGCATTCATCGGAATGTAGACAATGTTCTTGCTTACCACTACCTTACGCCAGTGAAACTAGGTACCTTGGTATACACTTTGATGAGTATTTATCTTGGAATCATCATATTGACTACCTACTCAAACACCTGCGAATAATTTCTTCATACCTCTATAAACTCCGAAGGTCTGCAAGTATTAATCTAAGGCGATTGATTTATCAGATGTCAGGTGAGTCAAAACTAAGATATGGTATCCACATATATGCACTTTCATCCAAATACAAACTACAGAAAATAAATAACCTAATTAAAAAAATGATACAAAACGTGACGTATGGTACACACTTAGAAAGTCTTTCGTTTCAAGAACAGCTGTCAGAACTCCAATTGCTAACAGTGACTGACCTGCATAAATTCATGGTCCTCACAAAATATTATTTCACACGCGATTTCAAAATACCATCCGCTAAAGAAAAACAACTAAGGCACACAGAGAGATTTCACATACCAAGAATATACACTAATTATGGGAAAAGGTTGAGGGAGTATTATGTACCAACATATTTTAATAATCTTCCCGATGGTTTACTTAATTTGCAATCCTTAGCACAGGTGAAAAAAGAAATGCGTAAATGGTGCAGTACGCCAGGAGAAGAATAGAGAGCTCCCAAACCCGTGCCTTTTTTTTTTTTTTCACGTCCCTAATGTATTTTAGCATTCCTTTTGCACGCCTGCATTCACTGTTGTTCCATTCGCGACTGTTTGTATTGCCATGATTTTAAAAGCTAGAGTTTATTATTCTGTGTCATTTTTGGTATTACAAAGTCTATGTAAATCATTACTAATATTGTATAAAAATAGGTAATTTCGTTTCATGCTTACTGGCCTAAAAGTTTGTGCTTGTATACTGTTAAGGCGATGAACCATTTGTTTTCTTTCACTTATGTTGAGTTCCGCATAAAAAGGACTCCAATCAGTGTATCAATTTAGTTTACATCCAATTTGTTAAATTCATCCTACGCTAAACTGTAAGTACTCACGCACAAGCACGCAAGTGCTTTTGTGAGACTAAGTATATTGTATGTATGCTTTCTTTGTGAATAAACTTATTATTATTATTACCTGGGGTCTTTAACTTGCTCCACGCAGTAGTGACGAGCGTACGCCGGTACGATGCTCATCCAGATCGAAACGGGCTGGGGTGGGCTTTGAACAGGGTCCCTGGGTTCTGCAGTGTTCCCTTCTTTCCATTCCACCTTGCACTCTTCTGTCATCTCCCCACAGGAACAGGTCTCTAAGCTACTCCCCACAGAAAGGAGGAAGGTTTCCCTCTTTCTCAAATGGAGGGAGAGCATCCCCTTTTCTGGCTGCTCGTCGGTCTTTAACGCACTTGGCCACCGATTGCCCACCCTCCCGCCGGCAGCCCGCATACTAGCCCGTAAAAAAGATTGCGAGCAGTTGTCCCCCATTGGCTGGATACATTCAAGTGACGACTGCCGTAACATTTCTGCGGGTGATACTGTGCCGGCAGAATAGGATAGGGGAAAAGACTGCCGGCCACTTTGTTTACCTTTGCCTCAGTTTAGACTGCGCATGCAGGTTCGTTGATGGTCTGAAAGAATCTTGTTTTCAGGGCCTTTGAGTCGCCCGTGAGACAGGGACCAAGTCCATGGGCCCCAAAAGCGGCGCGTGCGACACTCACTGGCTCAAAACAAACTAATCAGGTGGAAATGCAAACGACAGTGACTCCAATAGCAAGAGCAAACCCGAGAAAACCTAAAGCATGTAACAGTGGACATTCAGGGCTATAAGTAACCTGAGGTACACCACCTTCCCCACAAACCAGGAGGCGGCAGCCAGCAGCGTACCCCACATAGGTGCCGTATATTCCTTGTAGGGGACAACTTTCCTTTCCACGACGATGCAACCCAAAGTTTATACTAGAGCGTGTGCACCAACCACGGTTTAAATGTGTGCATACGCACTCCTGTTCAGAAATGCCACAGTGAACAAGAGACGGATGCAAATGTAGCCAGCCAATGAGAGGACACTGCCGGCAGTGTATCCGCTCCCATGGGAAGCAGAGACACAAGAGAGCCTTCTTGCGGGTTTTCTGCAATTCGTGCTGCTTGTAACATACCTGGCTACAAATATTGTGAAGGCTAGCACGTCCCTACAAGGCCGCTTTTCAACCGCCAAGTGCATGAGCAGTGAGGGCAGAGCCGCTTCGCAAGTTTTGTTAAAAGCGCATACCACCTGCTCTAGCAGCTTGATCATACTAGCAGCAAGTCGACCACTTGCCCTCTAGGCGTCAGTGGATCTTCAAGCTGTTGGCAACTTCATGTCAACAAACCATACCATTGTGAAAGTAAGTCGACCAAGATGTACAAGTGCTAGCCGTGCACTAATCAATACTCATAAAATACCCAGTTTCAAACAAATATCGGAATCAGTGCAGGAGTTAGAGCACAGCTGTTGTAGTGCGAGTAAGAGACAGCCCCAGTGAGACTGACAGATTTTATACCTCAGTGCTGCAACCTACCTGTTCATCTGCACCCTATTCATTATCTACAAAAGCTCCTCCTCGAGTAAGAGTTGATAGCAGAAGTCGGACGGCTATTCCACAAGCTTGGTGGACATAGGAAGTGTGCAGACAGGCCGTCTCTTTGCTTGCAGACACGAATGCAAAGCCTGCGACCAAGTCCGGGTGCCAGGTATCGCTCCATCGCAGACGCCTTCTACAAGATAGTGCGTCATGAAGGGGTTATGCGGCCTGTGCGGGGGATGAGTGCGGTGGTCATTGGCGCAGGACCGGCGCACGCCCTCTATTTTTCCTGCTACGAGAAACTCAAGCGAACTATCAGTGGCACGGAGCACGGCACCAACAGCCCCATTTCTCAAGGTACCTCGATCGTGTCACACCTCTGAGGCAGTTGCTCAGATTGTATCAGGTCTGAACAAAGGCAGGAGTTTGGGTCAGTCGTGAAAATGAAGTGTCGATACCAAGGAGCTGTACTTCCACCCCAGAACATATGTTAGAAAGTTTTAGGGAACAGTTTTTCCACATCCGAATGGTACGGTGGGCCATCCATACAAACTGCGCGTGAGGGCCCATCATACCGCATCGGATGTGCAAATACGGTTCCGTAACAGTTCCTATTACTGCTTCCAACAACTTACCATAGACATGGTAGCCCTGGAGCGAGGGGACAAAAAAAGGACGGACAGATACAGAACTCCGAACACAGCTAAAGATTTATTTTCCAGAACTCCTCATTAAATAGGCCCACAAACCCACAAGAAGGTACACGTTGCCCAAGGTCACACAACCGTGGCAGATAAGAGCCAAGAAACAAAAAATGACTGCATCTCCACGTGGTGAATGATGTTGATTGGTGCGAAGCTCTGGTGGTGCTGACGATACTGATTTTATTCTTGATAGGTAGTGCTGATGTTGCTGATTTTTTTTTATTGCTCATAGGTAGTGCTGAGTTCCGGGTTGCATGTCGACTTCATTATTACTGCTTTTGTGGTCGGTGAAATGCAGAGCCGGTGGTTCTTCTAGCGGATCAGCTTGAATCCGTTAGAAGCCGTGGGGACACATCTGCACTGCTTAAGTCAACGGTCCAGGTCAGAAAGAGAATGTGTGGTATGGAACATGGTTATATATGCTTTTGAGCATTTGACCGCAACGCCCTCTTCTCGTCTATAAACGTTGAGCCAATGCATGCAAAGTTTAATGCGATTATATACGCATTTGTCCGCAGAGCCCTCTCCTGTATAGACGTTGAGCTGCTACATGCAACGTTTCATCCATGACAGAAACCCCAGCTTTTGAGTTACTACCACATTTCGGAGCCCCCTACTCGTCCCGCAGTCGTGGCCCAGTGGTTAAGGTGATGGACTAGAAATCTATGAAGGTCTCCCTGCAAAGGTTTGACTCCTGTCGACTGCGGAAACATTTTTTTCTTTTTATGTGAGCACAGACGCCGGACGGACGGACGGACAAGGCTAGACCCTAAGGAGCTTCGCCCCTAAAAAAGAACAAAAGACCCTGGCTACCGACAAGAGGACACTAGTTTGTAGAGACACAGGGAAGGCCCGAAAGAACCAACACACTCTGTAAAGGCAAGCAACCAACACAAAGAAACCAACAAGAAAAGCGCTTCAACCACACCCCAACCCCCCAACCAGCGTTTGACCTAGTAACTAGTAGTCCAAAAGACCAAAAAAAGAAAATCGAAATTGTGTCAGGTTTTTTTTTTACATTGCGGCACTTCAGCAACCAAAGGATGATAGAAGATACAAACTCACTACCACAACCACTTATGTAATGTAGAATACCTCATCCGCCCATTTCACACTGAGCGCCCTCAAAATTTAGAGATAGTTGCAAAAAAATGGGGAATGGTCGCTTGTCCGGCCATCTATTTTACATATTAATGTACTCTGCATATTTTCTCAGATCTTACAAATCAGAAAATGGGCACTTTGTGTGGAATGGGCGGATGTGTGGTATTCTACGGTACATAGACTGGCTTTGGCTGGTTATGGTAGTGCTTTTGTATCTCCTATTATTCTTTGGTTGCTAAAGTGTCGTGATGTTGGAAGAGCTAATGCAATGGATACGAGAAAGGTTGTCTGTCCACCATATTTTCATAATATGTTTCATAACCTGAAGGCCTTGGCAGGGAAGTTTGGAGCTACTGTAGTTTTAAACACGATTTTCGTCTGGACAGGTTAACCCCTTTTTTAGCTGAGAGATGTGGCTGTAGTAAGAATCATAGGTAACCTTCTGTGAGTTGTGGCCCTGGTGTAATGTACAAATTCCCGTAAAGTGTGGCTGTTGCTATATTGGCCAGACTGCTAGATACATAAGCAACCCACTGTGTGAACATAAGAGAGTTGTTAAAAATAGCAACAAGGCTTCCAAGTTGGCTAAACACATGTCCCAGTACGTTGATTGTTGTGTTGTGTGGCAAGACACTGAGGTTCTGTGCAAAGAAAGAGTTGTCTTTATATAAACGCATTGTAAAGGAGTCAATGATTTTGTGGAATAGTGGATATTTTAGCAATATGTCCATCATACTTACCAACCCTATTAGCACATTTCTTAACACTTAATAAATATATATAATTTTTTTTATTTTTTGGGGGGGGCTAGTCATTAGGCTGATTGCTGGTTGGTGGGAAGGGATGTGGTTGAAGTGCTTTTCTTGTTGGTTCCTTTGTGTTGATTACTTGCCTTTAGAGAGTGCGTTAGATCTTTCGGGTCTTCCCCGTGTCCCTACAAACTAGCATCCTCTTATCGGTTGCCGGGTTCTTATCTGCCACGGCTGTGTGATCTTGGGCAACGTGTGTCTTCTTGTGGGTTTGTGGGCCTATTGAAGGAGGTGTTCTGGAAAATAGATCTTCAGCTGTGTTTGGAGTTACATGTCTGTCCGTCCTTTTTTGTCTCCTTGCTGCAGGGTTACCATGTCTATCATTAACCAGCTCACCTGCCTACTTCAACGTAGCATAACCACACACAAAAAAAATAAAAGTCTTGCTTGTGGTGAAGGAGAAGTAACAAAAGAAAAATTCTTCTCCAGGAGAATCGTCCTCGGCCCCCAAGATGTGGTGGCTAAAACAGCCCCATCAAACTTCTGCCCTAGTTCTTTGTTTACAGAATACCTACAGTGCTTGGACTGGGGCCAGCTGAACTTAGAGGAAAGATGAAGCGTGAGAAACAGGGAAAAAAAACAGGAGTGTCTATGTCTTTTTCTGTCCCTGTTTCTCACGCTTCATCTTTCCTCTAAGTTCAGCTGGCCCCAGTCCAAGTAACATGCACCAACTGGCTCAACTGAAACCCGTAACCTACAGTGCCTTGAGGGCACTATCGTAGGGGGACAGTATAGGAAATAACACACAAGGGTCACATATTAGCATAACTAGTTATGCAAACGAGAGAAAAGGACACTGTTGCCCAAGATGCTTACCACTTCTTCTAGCAGCAAAATTCCATTCTCGGATTGTTTTTACAAACAAGGAGTTACAACAACTGTTTGTTTTATAGGGATATTAAAGAACCTTTCTAGAATTATCACACCTTGCGGAAGCGTTCTGTTAAGTTCAAGCCACTGCTAAAACATCCAGTGCTTGGAGATCCTCGTTCATCACGTCCTCTTCCTCCTCTCCTTCTTAGTCCATTTCCCGCTTTGTACACTGATCTTCTTCCTTTTTAAATTCACTCTCGTAACATTATTCTCTTGCGACACATGTACCTTGCCCCGAGGTTCTGCAGAAATATTAAATTGGAGTCATATCAGCCTAGACAATGAAAATGCACCGCCATACGACTCCGCACATAAACAGTGTCAATGGGTAGCTTGATGATTTCATAGGGACCCTCCCAGTTGGGTTGAAGCTTCGGGTTACGACCTTGGAGCGACATGGCTGGCGCAGCCATATTTTATCTCCCGGCCGTAGTGGACGGCCTTCAGCACTCCTGTGGTATCTAGTTCTTGCACTGTGACTACTCAGGTGCAGGTTCCTTCGTGCAAAGTCAAGGACCATTCACACACTTGCGACTCCTTAGAACCAACTGCCGTGAAACCTCTTAAAATTTCTTATGTCGAGAAGACACACTGGCACCATCTATCGGGTAGCGGTGGAACACATGGCGGTCCCATATATGTTCTATTTCTTTCGCACATTATTCTTTCTTTTTTGGCTCGAGAAACTTTTGTCAATGATATAAACAAACATTTCTCATAAGTAGTATGTACATTTGACCTTGCAAATACCGCCAAACCTTCGAAAAGCGGGAACGGAATGAGCAGTGATGTGCGCAGCAGCGCGAATGGTTTTGCAACCGCTGCAAGGCCGCTATCGCCTAAAGTTCCATTGCGTCTAGCGCTTCAGATTTTCTTGCGGAAGAAGAGCAGATTGCTCACCTGGAGAGCCACTGCCGAGAACAGAAGCTACAGCTCCGCTGCTCTTTCTTCACCAGAGTGGAGAGGCTGAAACGTCTTTGCTATGCATAGTCCCTGTAACATTACTGTGCGCAAAAATTGTTCAATATAAGGGATAATGCGATGTAAACGGATTCGAATATAGTCGGGTTTGACTTTATCTATTAAAAAAGCTCGCGCTACAGAACCCAGGGATCCTGGCTTCAAGCCCCACCCCTGCCCGTTTCGATCTGGATGAGCATCGTACTGGCATGCGGTCGTGTATCACTACTGCGTGGTGCACGTTAAAGACCCCAGGCTAGAGATTGTACTGCACTGGCTGGATTGCTCATCTACAACGAGTGACTCGTCGCAACTTTAAATGACTGACCAACTACCCGCTGTATAAATATCCCCATAACCCTATATTATCTATTAAACATAAGGGATTTGTTTTAGCAGTTCTTATAATACAATAATCTATTGTGGTAAGGATATCTGGTTTATTATGAGCTTCTGTTATGAGCAGCAGGGAATACTAGCATAAATGACGTTATGTCTAGTACAGGGGTTCTCAAACTTTTTGGCCTCACGGAACCCCAGGAAGCCTCAAAATCTGCCGCGGAACCCCCCCCCCCCCTGCCCCCCTCCATATTTTCCGACTGAGAGGCAGCAGATGCACAATTGTAAACAATTTTGCTTGAGTTGCTTCCCATATATCCCCACCATATCAATCGCGATGTCAGTACGTGAGATGAAGGCGCCTTGCATAATCCTGCTGCGCAGCCTGTGGCATGGGGGGGGGGGGGGTTGCAATTTCGGTGTTCGCGGAACCCGTGAGACCAGCTCGTGGAACCCCTGTGTTCCCCGGAACCCAGTTTGAGAACCCCTGGTCTAGTACATTGGAAGTCGACTTAAATCAAAAACGGACGAGAACAATGCAGCATTCTATTAGGCTGCAACACCAGCCGGCGGGTTCAACCTTCCTCAAGAAGCAACTGCTGTAAACGACTTAATTTTTGCGTAGACCTAATTTTCGCGAATCGCCTACAATTAGCAAAAAATAGGTCCCGCAAACAAGTCCTGTAAAATGTAAACACATGGGAATCTATATTGAGATTGCACCGCATCGTGAAAATTAGAACCCGCGAATTATTCAAAAACTTAAAGGGGCCCTGCAATCATATTTAAGTGTCTACCTTTTATGCGGTTTCCACGTCTCTTGGGGTTCGGGCAAGCCAGCGGGCACGGAAAGAGTAGCTAAATATCAGTGCGCCATATTTTAAACGGACGACACGGAAACCTCCTCCACCGACGAGGGCGACCCGCGGTACCGAAAGCGCGCAAAATGTGACGTCTTTGGTCCTGGGCTTACTACTGGTCAGAGCCGCTAAAAGCTTCTTTTAGTCGAAATACAAAATATAAGTGGCGCGAACCGTTTCAATTATTTATAAAAGTAGTTTTTGTTCACTATTATAGATGAAAAAAAGAAAGAAATGCAGTTTATAAAGTGCGAAACAAGAAGTGACCCGTCGACATACCCGCCGCCAAGCGGTGGAAAAGGCGGCGCATGCTAGAAAGGAGTAGTGGGATAAGGCGCCGACACGGAAAAATTCCAGATGTATGCGGTGGCGCTGCAGTCGTATGGACAGGAGGATCCGACTGGCTCCGAGCGTTCTGAAGGCCTTCGGCGAGAGGCTTTGTCTTGCGGTTTGGCCGTTTCGCGGTATGGCAGCGCGAAGTGGCTCCCATTCTGAACTGATCTTTACTCCGTGTTTCCTGTCGTTTGTGGCCAATGAAGTGTCATGCCGAATTAATGTTTAATCGCGCAGCAAACGCAATGAAAGCCGCTTTGGCTGCCCGCTGCATACAGCCTATCCAGAACATGCTTTAGTGGCGCCCTCTGGCGCCGTCGACACGGAGTGCAGCGGCCGTGAGCGCTCGATGAGCTCACTATTCCTCCTCTAGTTCACGGCCACTCAAGCCAGGACCTACGACGTCATGAAGGAGGTTATTTTTTGCTTGTTTTTGTAATTCTAAATTGCCTATAACTTTTAAAATAAAGCGAAATTCGAGAAAAGAAAAGTTTCACTAAGTTACTACGTTGAGTGCGCTCAGGTTCAATGCAAATTAAAAAACATGTAAAAAGTCCTTGCGGGGCCCCTTTAAGCTTTGACCTAAATCGTGAAATATTAACTCCATAAAGAATGAGTCGTTTACAGTATTTTTGGAGGCTCTATTTGTGTGCACGAGTTAGCTGGAAAGTAGGCATGGTGCCGACCGACTCCTTGACCTCCGCAGGCTTGGCCGGATGCCTGGCCACCGTGATGCACGACGGCATCATGAATCCCGCCGAAGGTGAGCCCCAACCAGAGCTCCCGCCGCCTTTTTGCCTGACGGCCCGTGCGGTCTCGTTCCAGTGGTGAAGCAGCGCATGCAGATGTACAACAGCCAGTTCAAGCGCTGCACCGAGTGCTTCCTCCACGTATGGCGCCAGGAGGGAGGGCACGCGTTCTACCGCAGCTTCACGACGCAGCTCTCTATGAACATTCCCTTTCAGTGCGTTCATTTCGTCACCTACGAGTTCATGCAGGTGTTAACCAATAAGGAGCGTGTCTACAACCCCGTGGCACACATGGTGTCCGGGGGCATTGCGGGTGCCTTTGCGGCAGCCGTCACGACGCCCCTGGACGTCTGCAAAACCCTGCTCAACACGCAGGAGTCTTCGCTCCTCAGGACCAGCCACCAGCCGCAGATCAGCGGCCTGGTGAATGCAGCAGCCACCATCTACAGCTGCTGCGGCTTCAAGGGATACTTCCGGGTGAGGCTCTGTCCAGCATCTATACTCGGCATCAACCATTTGGCGCTACACTGCCAGGGTTGGGGTGGCCTCCACGGTAGTGCAGCCCCACACTGCTGAGCGTGTGGCTTCGTGTTGAGTTTCATTCGCACTGCGGAAGCTAAGCTAGCCTCGATAACGTAGGAGCAGTGTGGTGAGTTGGGCCAGTTGGTATTGAGACGACGTAATAAAAAAATATGGCGCACACTGGACAACAGGGGAGAAACACATAGAGCACGCAAGTGCCGACTTGCAACTGACGTTTACGAGAGAAAGAGGAAAAGTTGTTTTCCTCTTCCCCTCATGAATATCAGTTGCGAGTCTGCGCTTGTTTGTCCTATGTCTTCCTCTCCTGTTGTCTTGTCCTGTGTGCGCTGTTTTTTATTATGTTGATAACGTAGCACAAAGTTGGCCTTTCGGTCTCTTTAGATGCAGGCGTGCATTCTTATTTCTGATCATTCTAGAAAAGTAGAAAGATCACTTGTGATTAATGCTGAATTTCCAAGAATCTGAAACACAAATAAAATTTGATGAATGTTGAATCTGCAGTAAAAAAAAAAGGCTTCATAAAGCCTTCTTAGAAAAAAAGAAATTACCATCCTACATATAAGAAATTTTTCAGGAGTCAAAAAGGGGTTAAGAAGTAAAGAGCAATTTTAGTAGCATCGACGTTTAAAACAAAACAAAAAAGTTCTAGAGCCACTGCATTATGTTTGTCATCCACTTGCTGCTTGTGCAATACTCTCAAATTGTCACTTCTCTTTGTATGCTGCACTGCCTTAAAGGGACATTGACAACCCAAAAATTCATTTTTATTTTTTGCTTGTTGATTTATAATGGTGTCGGAAGACTATCCAATAAACATTTTGCTACAGCGTCACATTTATTTTTAATAAAGTAAAAAAACGCAAGTGCTCAAAACCGAAACCGAAACTGGACTGGGGAGGAAGAAGAAATATAGAGGAGAGAGAGGTGGCGGAAGTCACGTGACTGTGATACTTATTTTTCCCCAAACAACGCATTTGCAGCTTTCTAGAAGCCACAAAGAAATTATTATCATATTTATTTTATATTTTTAATATTTTGTGTGTGCCTTCAATGGGTTGTGTCTAAACCATAGAAAACGGCTCGTGACCACAGAAGAGAGTGAGCGCGACTCGAACCGGCCAGCTCTCGATCGTCTGTTTTCAATTGGAAAGAAAACAAACTTCGAGCCGCAAATTCTTTTTTGGGTAGTTGGGCTCTCTTAAGTAATGTACAAATAAAAACCTTGGCACGCATAAATACCCTGTCTGTGTCCCTTTAAAGGGGTACTCTGGCGTTTTCTTGATAGTCTCCGATTTGCCTGAAAATTTGCTGAACGTGCCAACAAACATCGCTGAAATAATAAGCCAAAATATTGGACTGAATTAAGTTTTTTTTCGCAATGTTCTTGAATTTGCAATTTCAATCCTCACCGTGTTTTTTAAAGTGAAAGTCTCTACTGGCAACCTTTAAGTTTGTAAAGCTTGCAGAATGCTGAATAGTGCAACGCACCACAAGTTAAGTGCTCATTTAAAGGACCGACGTACTGCTTCCCATTACACTTGTTAATCGAAATATATACTACCGTTCTGACAGTTTGTGCTCCTTTCTCGGTGCAGGGTTTGAGCGCCAGGGTGCTGTTCCAAATGCCCGCGACGGCCATCTCTTGGTCTGTCTACGAATTCTTCAAGTCTAGCCTGAATCGGCGAAGCTCAGGGGAAAGCGAGTTGGGCCCGGCGACCGGCGTCAACACGGCTGTAACAGGCGTTTTGACGGCAAGGCCGAGCATCGAGACGGCAACGAGCGAGCGTTGATTTCCTGGGGAAAAGCTCTCCACGCCGCAACCCGCGATCCAGAGGGCTGCGCATCGCCTCAGCTCGACGAACAGCAATGACTAGTCGGGCCGCGGTTCATATCGGAGACCTCGTGGCAGTCTGAGCACTCGCTACCAGGTCGCTGGCAGAAAACGCTGGCAACTGGCAACACCGGTGTCTGTCGTCTTTCGGGGCGGCCATATGTCGCGAGCCTGCGGTAGGTCCGACTCCTCGATGCATTCGTTGCCGTGTGCTATGCTCCTCCGCTCGATGGGCAGTGGTCAGCAGTCGTCCCGGTGTCCGATTCTCCATGCCCCAGTTGTTGCGCACGCTCTGTTAGGGTATGTGGGCTAGAAAAGGACTACAGGAAGCTGTGTTTGAAACTTCAGAATGTGTTGAGCAACAATAAATCTGATGCAGTAGTTGATTTTTTATAAACTAATCTCCTGTCGTTCTTCATTTTTCGTCAACCCAGCCGTTGAGCATGAACCCCTTGACAGTCGAGCTTCTTCCCAAAAGATGTTTCCCACTGGTTGATTTTTTTTCTCCAAAGGAATAGTATAAAAAAAAGGGTCGGTGCGCAGGTTTTTTCTGGGGTATCTCAAGAGAGCATTTTACAGTGCTTGCGAGCTGCTACGACCTAGAAGCATCGAATTGAATTATCAAAGGCGAAAACTTGTCGGCTTTTCTCCATTTGGTTTTATTTTGGCGCTTCCGCAACGTTCCGGCGGTTCCAGATTCCGAACCGGAGGTACTTTACAGAGCCGCTTTGTCGGATGGTAAGCTCTCATCCTCCGAATTGCCTTCGGAAAGCAAGCGTGATCCGAAAGAGCCGGCTCTCTACATGCCACCACCACTGGAGTAGCCGACGTGCGAAGCGACCATCTCGCGCGTATCACGGGGGTGGAACGTATAATTTCAAAACCATAAATAGCTTCAGCAAAGCAAAACACCGTATGAATATAACGTTTAGCTTTGAGAGAAAACTGTACACATGAAAAGCACTACTAAATCGCTTCCAACGCCCGTCTCGGCATAACTTGGCGAGGGAAAAAAGCTACTGCCCCTGCGAGCCAATCGGAGCACCGCCGACCAGGCAATCGAGCTTGGTTTGACGGGTACCACTATCTTATGTGGAATTCTCGTAACTCCGAGATGACCTCGACCGCGCTCTTCGAACGCCGGTCTCGAGCTTCTGAGTGTTCTGCTGAACTCCGACACGCGTTCGTGTCTAATCGTGGGCGGTGTGGTCAGCCCGAAGTTGCCCCTTTTAACCACCAGTCCCGCTGACCGGCGGCCGACCGAGAAACCTTACGTGCACTGCCCTGGGGCTATGGGATGAGGTATGGAATAGCTCTGCACCTCTGCACTACAGCGCTGCCATAGGCCTCGCCGTAGCCGATTTGGGACCTGCTGTCTAGTGTATTAAATGTAGCTTTTTTATTAATTTCAGACTGTCTTGTACTTTTACGCACAAAATTGTAGTTATGAAAGATTTTGTTTCTCTACGTGGGCCAAACACTCTTAAGCTGCCCCTCGTTAAAAAAGAAGAGCAAAAAAGTGAAAGCCGTTTACAACTCCCTGTAACACCGAATTAGAGCGCAGCTCTTGAGGAGGAGGAGGGAAGGGTACTGGGGGGTGAAGTGACCTGGGGGGGGTCACGTGACGATACCGATGATGTCATCAGTGACGTCACTGATGACGTCATCCGTGATGATGACGATGCGGATGCCGGTGACGTCATCAGTGACGATGACGATGCGGACTCTGATGACGTCATCAGCGATGATGCGGATGTCGGTGACGTCATCAGTGACGTCACTGATGACGTAATCCGTGATGATGACGATGCGGATGCCGGTGACGTCATCAGTGACGATGACGATGCGGACTCTGATGACGTCATCAGCGATGATGCGGATGTCGGTGACGTCATCAGTGACGTCACTGATGACGTAATCCGTGATGATGACGATGCGGATGCCGGTGACGTCATCAGTGACGTAACTGATGACGTCATCAGTGATGATGCGGATGCCGGTGAGGTCATCAGTGACGTCACTGATGACGTCATCAGTGATGATGACAATGTGGATGCCGGTGACATCATCAGTGACGATGACGTCATCGGGGAGGTTGCGTGACCTTGGGGGCCACGTGACCTTGGGGGTCGCGTGACCTTGGGGACACCGACGCCGCTCAAGCCGGAAACGGGCCCCTAAGAGCTGCGCTCTAAAAGAACAGCAACAATACTTAAAAAAACAAGCGGGCTGGTGGTGATTCATTGTAATAAAAACCCGAGACTCGGGAACACAGACAAGACGTGTTGAGTTGTGTCCGTGCCCTTCTGTGTTCCTGAGTCTCGGGTTTTCATTACCATGAGCAAAAAGAAACCAAGGGCACAAGCATCACTAGCTCAGGCAACTTACTTTTATTATTAAAGGTCCACTCCAGTCGAACAAGTGCCCAGCTTTCGTCATGAAAAAGCCAACGTGGTTTCATTCAAGACATCAAAATTCCTTTGAACGGCAACAAATTTAAGCACTACATCGTTCTTCTTTGAAGTTGAAAGATGCAACATTTTCATTTCCGCACCGCAGATGGTAATCTCTATATTTTTTTTTTTACAGCGGAGCTGTTAAGGGCCAGTTTCCCCAGTATCGTGTCCGCGGGCAAACAAATGTCGACACAGAACTCTGGACAACTACCACTATCTATAAGCGACGACACCAACCAGACAACCGGCTCGCCGGTTGTTTGGTTGCCGCCGTCGCTGATAGATGGCGGCAACCTTTCAGCCCTCCACTGTGGTTTTCACCAAAGTGGAAAGGCTTGAATTTCTCTAGGTGTCGCCCTAGAAGTCGTCCTTGAGGTCATCCCAGACGTCGTCCTTGAGGTTGCCTAGACGTCGTCCTAGAAGTCGTCCTTGAGGTCGTTCTAGACATCCTCGAGGTTGTCCTTGAGGTCATCCCAATGGTTGTCCTAAGCATCGTCCTCGAGGTCATTCTCTAGGCATTGCCATAGACATCGTAAAGATAACAGCTTCGCTGGTCCTCCATCTTCAGGTGAAGTGGCTCTACATTGTTTTTTATTTAAAACATGACTATATAGATTATTTTCTAAATTTAAAATCCTTGTCAAGTTTTGCTCAGAGCTTGAAGAACCCCAAAGTTTTACAAGTTTGTGACATCCCCAGTAGCTCCATTTTTCAAATGACATCCCCAATTGTCTATATCTTTTTTTTTCGTCGAGACTCGTGAAAAGGACCGACTCCTTACAGAGTGTTTGTTCTATTTATTTACAAAAACAACCTGCAGTACCAAAGCATTAGAGCAGGTAGAGCTTCGTATTAGTAGCCCCAAAAAACTTGTTTGTGGAACATTAACAGCCTTCACCGATATGCAAAAATAGAAGACATTGCAACTGAAATAAGGACACCGACTCTACATAACAGAAAGAACAAGTTCATTAAAAGTTTCGCCTCCCGTGCGGGAGGCGTCATCAGTAGTTGCAGATCGAGCGTGCGGGTATAACTCTCCACAAAATGCCCGCATAAGATTCGGGGAGAGGGCCCCGGTTCTCGTCTCGTGCCGATGCACCCTTCCGGATAAACCAGGACTCTTAACAGCTTACGTAGGTGTCAACTCTCCTCCCCCGCCAAGGTCGTTGCGGCGGGGAAGTCGGTGCAGTACCCCATTGTCCACACGAGGTCAACAAGTTCAGTCTTGAGTTGGGTGGCACGCGTCGCATAGGTGACGTCATGCTTGTGTTCTTTTAGTCGAGTCTCTCTCCTATGTTCGGTTTTACCCATGTATGATGCAGCATAGTCTTGCGGAGGGCTTTGTAGATTACGCCTCCTCAAGCGTTCAATTTATCTTTTTTTTAATTAGTAGGTTAGTTTTCAGGATAATTAAAATAATTGAGACTTTGCTTACAGAGAAAATGGTGGAAAACCATCTTTGAAAAAGAATGTTTTAACATATGCTCAGATACTACAAATTACGACAAATACATGGTTGGAAGCACTTTTTAGTAGGGATGTCGCGAACCACCCTAGGTTCGATTTCGAAAGGTTTCGATAGTTGCGAAGCGAACTGAGGTTCGATTTAGAAAAATTTCGATATTTTCGTACCGACCGAGGTTCGATTTCGAAAAATTCGCAACTTTTTTGACCACAGCGGAGTTTCGAATTCGAAAATTTCGAAGCTTTCACGGTTTCCAAATTTCGAATTCGAATATTTCGAATATTTTTTTACTTCAGGTTCGATAAATTCGAAGATCTCGAAATTCTTTGTAAAAAAAATTTGAAAACTTCGAACGCTTCGAATTTTTGTAGACATGAAGTTCGAACAATTCGAAGATTTCGAATTTCTTTTTGCATAAAGTTCGAAAAGTTCGAAGGTTTCAATTTTCTTTTAACGCTAAGATAAAAAAAAAAAAAAAAAAACTTCGAAGATTTTGAATTTCTTTCTAATCCAAGTTTTCAAAGTTCGAAGTCCGATTTTCAAGTTTTTCCACAGTTTCAGTTTCAAATAACGTTTTCACGACTCACTGGTTTTCACGAAATCAGGTTTAGAAAAGTTAGGGTGTGATATCTAGATTCTGCGAAGTTGGTCAGGCAATTAAATGAGACGACGAGTGTCCCGGACGTGCTAGAATATTTGCCAGTGCAGAATTGTGACCGCCAGCCCCGGGGGAGGGGGGGGGGGGGGGTGTTTAACCTGCATCACGCAGTAGTGATTGCACGAACACACTGTTTTACGAGACTCATCCAGTTCGAAACGGCCAGGGGCGAGCAGGAGGTTGAGGCTCAGAAAAACCTTGAAGCGACCTGGCAAACTACCTCGCCACCCCTTGCACGCTGGTAGTAATCCGATCCGGTGAAGTTTATAATTGTCCTGGAGGTTTATTTTCTGGGACGGAGGAATCGCCTCGCAAAAAGCACAAAAGCTGACACAACTCGAGGTCGAGGAGCGTTCTACCATACAAGTGGCGTCGGAAGAGGAAAAACGGGGGGAAAGAGGGTAGCAGGGGGGGGGCTTCAGCCTCCTTCTCCCCCTTGCAGGTATTTCGAACTGTTAAAGAAAACAATACGGGGAAAGAGGGCGCGTGGTCGAGCTTATTTTAATCTGAAATTATTTATGCATATGTATAGCTACTGTCGCTCTTCACTGCATAAAAGGTTGCGTAGATGGTCATTGTTAGAAACTCGTTGTCAGAAGGCACTGCTCGTCACATGCTTAGTGGTTCAGAAGTTCAAAGCTGTCTTTTCGACCTAAACACCTGTGCCGATAGTAACAAAAAAAAAAGAATAAATGCGGGAATAAAAAGCAGGAGAAAAAAAAAACTATCAAGAATTCGTCGGAAGTGTTCTATTCTTGCATATTCAGAGGTTCAGAACTTCGAAACAAGTTTCTTTTACCAAAATGTGTACAGGC